ATATAACCAGGGATAGGGACTACTCTAATAGGCCAGAAAGAGTTTCTTATATAGTTTATTCATATAACCAGGAATAGGGACTTGAGTTTATTATATGGAATTACCTATATATAGAGATTCCTGCTATAAACTCCTTATTTAGATTAATTAGTTAAACCTATTTTTAATACTAAGTCTTTATTAAGGTAATTTCTCGCTCCCAGAGGCTTTAGATAAAATAGCTAATAACTTTCTTAGCTATTAGCCAAGACTTATTAGCTAGAAAATCTATAAATAGTAGATGTTACGATTATTACAATATACGGTACTAGTAGGGGTTAGACTAGAGCTAGAGAGGCATCTGGCATCTGAGCGAGGCATCTGTAGTCACCTGATTATTGCACGTGACCCCGAGCTTAAGCTAGCACGTGGGCCCGTGCGTAGCTCGCGATTATTTAGATCCGAGGCTCCTTCGGGATCCTCTTCTCTCTTTAGCTTTGAATCGTCAAAATAGAGATAGTCTAATCACGCCTTCCAGGCCCTAGATCTTGTACTCGTAATAGTAGATAAGATTATAAAGTAGAACTTTCCTAACTATAATACTAAGATATTTTACTATAGTATAAAGTAATTAGATATAGAAGCCCTATTAAATATAATATATCTCGAACTATAAGTTTGCAAAATAGGTATAGGAAGTCTTAGTACTTAACTAGTACTATAGTCTAGCCTAAAGATACTTACTATCCTTTATATTTAATTTAATAGAAATAAGAAGTGCCTATACTTTAATTCGAGGGATAATTAGGACTTTTATATAGACTTAGGGCAGTAATTTGCTCTATAGAGAGAGAATAGACTAGAAATACTTATATTATATTAATCTTTGGAAAGGATTATAGTAAATACTATAATTCCTGAAATATTCTCGAAAAAGCTTTCCCAAACTAAAGTAAGCTAGTTTATAATCCCGAAAGATCTATAGGAGTCTTATATACCCGAGAATATAAGTACTTAAGGTAAATATTATTTAAGTTCTAACCTATAATAAAAGAAAAATAAAGTATATAAAATAAAATATATAAAGTAAAAGTAAAACAAAATACCCGAATATTTAATAAATAAAAAGCCTAACTATAAGTTATAAGAACTAGTACTAACTAGGTATATATATAATAATATTAAAGGAGAAAAAAGGTAAGGGGAACTAAAAAATAAGTTAGTATATATTCCGTAAAAGCAAACGGGAAGATATCTAAATAGCCTAAAAGCAAAGAATATATATTAAAGAAGTCGAGATTAGAGAGAGAAGAGCTATTTCTTATAAGAATAAGTTAGTATATATTCCAAGATAAAGAATAGGGATATTTAATAGTAGCCTAAAGGCTTTTATAAGTATTAAAGAAGGAGAGGAGGTATTAAAGTTCGGAGAAATCTAAATAGGAGTTAGTTTCTTTTTTGAAAGTTTAAGAGAGGGTATTCCTAAAAGGCCCAAAAATATAAGAGATATTAGAAAAGGAAAGAAAGAGATATTAGAAAAAAAAAGAAGGAATCTAAAATTTAGCTTTCTAAGAAGTAAATAGGTTAAAGACTTATAGTATAGGAGTTCTAGATAAAAGTAACCCGGAAGTAGTAGTTAGGTACTAGCTTTTAGTATTATTAGTAGAAATATTAAAAAAAGAGGGGTTTGGAAAAGGGGTTTAGAGAGGTTTAGAGGAGGAAAGAAAGGTTATAAGGTAGTTAGATACTAGCTCTTAGTATTAATAGAAGAAGTATTAAAGAAGGAGGGATTCGGAAGAGGGGTTTAGAAGAGAAATAAAAAAGAGAAATAAGGAGGAATAAGGAGGAGGAAAGAAAGGTTATAAGATAGTTAGATACTAGCTCTTAATATTAATAGAGATATTAATAAAGATATTAATAAAGGTATTAATAGAAAAGATATTAGTAAAGGGCAGAAGCTTTTAGTATTAATAGTAAAGTCGAAAAAATATAAAAGAAAAATAGAGATTTTAGAATAAAGATAAAATAAAGTTATAGTTTTATAGAAAATAAAGTTATTAGTACGGGATAGTTATATTATTATATAATTTCATATTTACTTTTACTATTTATTAAGAATATATATCTTTTAGGAGAAAGTATTATTTAGAATTCTTGAGCCTCTCTAATTTAATAACTATATATTTGAAAAATAAGAAATAAATATAATTATATATACTAGAATAAGAGAATTCTTTTTATCTAAAAATTATAATTATAATATTACTAAATATAGAAATATAGAAGTTTATATAATAAGTTATATATAGAGATTTGAGGAAATTTAAATTACCTCGAATTATTTATAATTAGTAAAGTAAATTAGCTAATTATATAGGTCAAGTATAGTTTAATTATTATTAGTATACCTTAGCTTTTATAAGTTAGTAAGAAAAAAAATATTTATATCTTTATTTTTATAACTATAATATCTAAAATTATAATTTTTTTAATATTTAAATATACTTAATCTAGGGCTATTAAGTACTAATATTTCCATTTTCAGGTATTATTTATTATAAATTTATTCGGATTTAAATAATTATATTAAATATATATCTTTATATCCTAAAAGTAAATAATAAAGATATAGCTATACTAGCTTTAACTTTAGCCTTAACCTTAACCTTAACCTCCTTCCAAAAATAACTTTAATTCCGATATATAATACTATTATTAAAGCTTTCCTTTATTAAAGATATATTAAATATAGCTTTAGGTAATGGCTTTAGTAAAGGCAAAAGTAATAGAAAAGGTAATAAAGCTATAAATAAGCAAAAAGATAATATTTATAATATATTCTCTAATAATCCAGACTTAGTCTATAATATCCTTTCTTATTAATATATTTAACTAATAAACCTTTTTGCTTCTTGATCTCCTTCTTATATATAACCTCTTCCTCCTCCTCTATAATAATACTTTAATCTCCTTATACTACCTAATAATACTACTAAAGTAGTAAAGCAAATTAATAATAAGACTAAAGTTAGAGAAATAGAGCTATACTAGAGTAGGGAGCTAAAGGAATTAGAGAAAGGTAAGGCAAATCTAGAGGTAAGCTTGGTATATACTTGCGGAACCGAATTCTCTCAAGCTTATACTACTTATAGTAATAAGAAGAGACCGAGAGGCCCTTTTAAATACTATATAGTTATAGAAGGCGAATTTGATAGTACTTATATAAATTATAAATATAATAATAATAGTAAAGTCTATACTTTCTATTAACTTAATACTAATCCTACTAAGTCTGGAAAGCCTTGCTTTATATCTGTAAAACCCTTTATACCAAAGCCTTAACCGCCTATAAGATATAGAAAGCGAGTATAAAGACAGATATAAGGTCAGAAGGTAATAGGGAAGGAGGTTATAGTAGAGGAGGGTGAGGATACTAGAGGAGAAGGGGACGAAGAAGATATAGATAATTCGAGTAATATAGGTAGTACGGAGGATATAGAGAGTAAGGGAGATGGAGATATGCCTCGTAATTCATGGGATTTGCCTTACGGACCACGCAAGCTAAGGGGGGGGTTAGGAGTAGTCGAGAATAAGGCGTGTATGCTATACTTTTTTTTTAGTGAGGTGTGGGCGCGAAAATCAGAAAATCAGAAAATCACTTTTCGCTTCTCGGATTTGTCCGCTAGCCCGCTAATGGCCTCAGTAACTACTGCTACATTATGCCAATGCACTATTGAACCACGACTCCGAAATGAGCTCACCGATCTACAAAATACTTTTGCTCCTCCTACTCTCTTCTCTCGCTTTAGCAGGTGTTGCACCCGCAGGGGTCGTCGGCGGAGGGCTTGGCAGTGACGGACCAGACAATCCTCTACCTCACCCTCAACCAAAACCTGCATCACAGGCCGAACCTGCAGCAGCCCCACCTTCGTTACCTGCGCCACCTCTTCTGTCTGGCCCACTGGCTCCAGGCTTAGCACCAGCACCACCGCAGACTCCACCACAGCTAGGTCCACCACATCCACCATCGATAAGCTTGTGTTTATTGCGGTAGCTTTGGAGGATTCCCTGCGCTGGTTCGTTTCCTAGTTATAAAGCACACAGAAAGGACCTCGCAGCTGACTTGGCTAGCTCGACTGCACTACACAAGTCGTGTCAAAATGGTGCACCAAGGACTGCCAAGTTCCGAAAGACTGCACCGTTATTGAGCGTCCTGATTAGTCGTCTGGCGGGTAGCGACCTCCTTGGTACTTCTCCTCGCGATTCCTGGAAAAATCATAACACTAATTGGAGATGTAGTATATTACAATCGGAATTTCTGCGTTTTTAATTGCTGGATTTGACAGGGCGCGAGGAGAGGCTGCGGATGTATTTTTCTGCCGGGTTAGGAGAGGTCTGAACCGAACTAGAGTCTCTGGAACTTGTATAAATTAATGCTTGCGGTATTTTCGCAGAAACCTTGTATTGCCTATTTGCTTCTAGGGCCGCACAGTAGTAATCTCCTCTATTTGCCACTCGGATCATTTTCTCTTGCATATGCTATTCCCAGAAAGAGACTCTGAGCATGACCAGGCGTGGGTGGCGTCAGCGTCGGCGTCAATGGAGAGAGTGGAAAAGGAAAGTAGAAAGGTGAATCACTGAACTTTCAAACTCCAACCCTAGCCAGCACATTAGAGAGAGCTGACTCAAACGGTAGAATGCTAGAGCCTTAAGTACGATAGAAACTTCTTCTCCTGAAAATAACGCATAACCCACCGAAATGATTTGTGGTCCTCCGGCTCTATAAGTTGACTGTGGCGCAAGTGTTGACAAAGTACAGGACCAGGCTCGTGGTGGACAGAAAAAGTGGCACTGATTTTTCAATGTCCTAAGTCAAAGTTGTACTGTACTTCTCAACGCCTATTCTCCAAATCTTCCTTCCCTCGACTCGCAAGTACTGTACATTCAATTTCTACCTCTTCGAGTCTCTCTAAAGTTTCGAAAATACAAAATTTCAGAAACGAAAAAGGAGAGGTAAATGTCCAACTTTGACTTGGGGCATTGAAAATGAGTGTTGCTTTTTCCGTCCACCGCGAGCCAGGATACTCTCGAGAAATAAAGGGGCTCGCTTAAAAGAGGGGCAGTTCAAGGCAACCAATTTTATAGACTTGGTATGCATGAAAAGTAGAGTGTAAATCAGGAAAACGAGCTTCAGGAAAAGACCGTCAATTTCATGAACGCAACCATAATCCCTAAACCCTCTATCTATCACGCCATCCAAACGCATCAAGTCATACCCGCTCAAACACCAGTTATAGTCCTGTCCATCCCACACCATCATCCCATCATAAAGTCCGTCTCACGCCAAGTCCGTTAAGCAGATATCCTCCCATTCTTGAAATCTCACCACCATCCAATTCCTTCTCCCATCTCTCTTCTAGATAGTCTCCCAACCCCCATTGTTGATGTCCATCTCCAGCTTCCTACTAATCACACTGGGCACGCCATGGCCCAACCAAACGGTCCGCAAAAGCGCATCATATCTCTTCTGGTTCAAGAACAACTGTCTACTGTGCCTCAATCCCGGATCTACCTCACCGTATTTATCAATATACGGTGCGACCATCCAAGAGCCTGAGGTGTGGTAGAGGTAGAATACTGTGCACTTGCGAATGTTGATAAAGAGACCGATGTTCTTTTGGCACCTGGGGAGAAAGTATTAGCAAGAAAACATTGGAGAGGATGGGGATTATCAGACTGACTTCAACATATGTTGTTGCGCGCCACCAATCTGCTGAGATCTGCCATTCCGGTTGGGAGGACCTTGCTTCAAGCAGCAGATGCTCTGTCCGCAAGTAATCACACCACAGAAGAGACACAGCATTGGGTCACTGACATCCTTGCCGGTGTTGGGGCAGCGTCTCTTCATTGTCTCTTCCATCAACGTATCATAATTTTTTGGCAGACCGACGAGTTCGAATATAGTAGGATGACTGAGAGAAATCTTGGTTGCTGGGTCATGTGGTGGTGTGTTGGCGTGCATGATCCATCCCTTGACGAGAGTATCAATCGCTGGGTTGTCCTCGAAGCCGCTAGCTGACTGACACATCTGGTCAAAGGTTGGCAAATGTAATGCCTCAGTCAAACGATCCAACTCATCTGCGTCAGGATTGGTGGGTATGTGGTGGTGGAATGCAAGACCATAACGGACGTGGAGGAGCATGGTAACTTTGCGGAGGAATACAAGAGCGTATTTCTTCGCGAAAGCGTGACATGATTCGAGTCCATTGAAGCAAGCCTGTTCCATCGCTGTACTTGGTCCATCTTTGTGGTGATTGCCATCTTCAAGATCGTGTGAGCGAACGATGGCACAGAAGCTCTTGAAAGCATCGAGACCACGAGGGGGTCCAGACAACACTGAGTTCCAGCCGATCCAAGGCAAATAGTCTGACCGGCCCTTATTACGGCTTAGCTTGAGAGCAACTTTGACTAGTTCAGCAAGGTAGCACAGGCGGACCATGTTCATAATGGCGATGTTGTCTACCGGTGCAAGACAAAGCGACGCCTCAGTAAAGAATACGAATATGTCATGGCCCAGTAGTGATTTCCCAGTCTTGCCAAGAAGATTGAGCCCAGATTCCGTGTCAACTCCCGAGCGTGGTGCTTTACGCAGGAACAGCTGCAAATGTTGGCGTTCGTAGTCGATACAGAACTCTCTTGCAACTCTATTCTCCCCTGCAGCTTTGATACCACCAATAGAGACATAAGATGCTACTGTCTCTGCAAGGACTCTCAAGTGGGTGAGAGCCTGTTGAGGAATTGTCTCCAAGAAGGTCATGCCACCTTGCGACGCAACACCACGTTGCTGGATTTCCACCGCAGATATGGAGTAGCCCAAACATTGCGCCAAAGTATCGCTTGAACACAAATCTACTGGGGAACTGTCAGTCGGGGAACCAGCCTGTACGTATGAAAACTCGGTGGGCAGGTCATTTTTCGACATGGTATCCCTCAATCGACGGTATATTTCTACAAGTTCCGTCATTGGCGACACAACTGTTGCTGGCGAATTGGCATTCGAAGGACCAGCATCGTTGGCCCAGATCGCTGGTACCACTGCTCCAGGTGTAAGTCTGAGATCTGCTGGGGTGGCGGAGAACGGAAGAGAAGGAGTCGGTGTACTTGGACTCCAGGCATCGATAAGGAGTTCCGACATCTTCTGGGCCAACGACTTATCAAGAATGCTGTTATTGCGCTCCATGAAAAGGTCAACAGAGTAACTAGTCGTAGTTGCACCTGTTTTGGCGTCGATGCGGTCAGCTCTGCTTATAACATCCGGCCCAGCGACCGACATGACCCAATCGTCGAACGATGACTGCGGCTGGAAGTGGCTCATTGACAGCTCCTCTTTCGGTGACCACATAATTGGCAAGAAGGAATTGCCCAATGCCTTGCATAGTGGACAGACAAACTCGTTCAACTCGAGATTTTCTGGGTGGTGCCTTGCAATCTGGTGTTGATGTCTTCGGTGCGAGGCCTCGTAGTAAACTTCAAAGCATTTGTAATGCATGATATGTCCACAACCCACGGAAACCGGACCGGATCTGCAGGAGCTGGATGAGAAGCCTTTGCCAATAAACTGGCGTTCACTGACGATCTCGACTCCACTCGCGGTGACCTTGTGCACTTTTTCTCGATTGTCGCCGGCGACGCCAAAAGGTCGAATGCTCTCAGTGGATCGATCCAAACATGCTGGTGTATTCGCGACTTCCCGAACAAAATCGGGGTCTTTGAAGTCCGTCTGACGTAAGATAGTGCTATTGGTCAATAGAGCAAAAGTACCGTACAATCTGCCATCTTTGGTTTCTTCTTGGCAAAGGATGCAAGTGCCGGAAGGGTATTGCCAATATGTCTTATGATCCTCTACCTCCGAATCTAAATTGTCATCGCTCGTGTCATCCTCGCCCCAGTCAATATCGCCCTGATTATCAAGGAAATTTTTTTGCTGCTGCTGGAACTGGGCCATGACTTTAGCTTGACGCTCCAACGCTGCTTGTTTCTTCTTCTCGCGATCTTCGAGAACGTTGTTGTTTGCTGGAGAGGCTGTGGAGATGCGGTCAACGGATACTCCCAGCCGCGCAAATGCAGTCTCGAAGTTGCGTGGGCGCTTTTGCTTCATTCTCTTCAGCACAAGGGTAATCTTGGAGTGGCAAGCCTTGAACTCTTCTTTACGAGACAACAATTCCAAGACTGCGGCGATGGTCCTCGAAGCTGGAGCATGAGCAAGGAAGTTGCTGCGAGCAGTGCTCGTCAGGGCAATGTAGACAAATGATTGGAGAGACTCCTCGGACATTTCATCTTCATCAGTTCTGTCTTCGGATATCGCAATGAGGACAAGGTGAAGGACGACCTGCAAGAATGCTTCAACTCTCGTAAGTTGAACGGACGGTGTGAGGTCTTGAGCCTTGAGTGGATACAACAGTGCATAGTAAATGATCTGTGCAAAGATGCCAGTTCTTGTGAAAGCTGAAAGGTCCGAGAACGCGCCAGACTCAATTGGTCGGAGTTTTGACTCGAATACAATATCGGATGCTGCTCGGCCGGTCTTCTTTGCCATCCAGTTCCTGTATGCATTTTCTGACTCCTCTCGTTGATTCTTGTTGTAATGAGCAATATAAGGGTCAATGTCCTCTAGGAACTGTTCCTTTAGCTCAAAAGTTCCCACGTCAGATAGGCCCTCCGGAGGCTTGAAAGTTGTCATCTCATCAAGGATATCTTGACATTCTTCTTGGTCTTGGAACTTGTCCGGGAGCTTGCCGCATATTTCAGAGAAAGATAACGGCTTGAAACACAGGACGTGGGTAATGTCCCGACGCATAGCAAGGACATGAGGACTTGGCTCATCGTCACTCGAAACCAGAGAAGTGCGATCGCTGATGAGTACAATGAGGAGGTGAATCAGATCTTCTGCAACATCCAAGACCTGACCATCTTCGAGCCCATCCGATTTTTGCTCATAAATTCCCTTCATCCAATGCTCTAAGCCATAGCGGTCGATGATGGAGACCAAAACACGAGATGGTGGGCATACAACCATGGCCGTCTGTAAGAGGAAGATATCCCGGTGATGGGACACATCTCGTTGACTGACACCACGATAGGTGCCTTGCTGGTGCCGAAGACTCATCCCGTTACGAACCCACATGCCCGCCTTCATCTGAGCCAACCAAGCACAGACGCGCAAGGGATAGTCAAAAGCGGCAATCATGTGATCCTCGGGATTGTATTCTTGACTTGGCATGGTCCGAGGTCCCATTGCTCGCGGTTTTTGTAGTAAATCGGCAGTAGTGAAGCTCAAAAGTTGCGTCAATTGCTCCCGGGACATATTCTTGCCACACTCAATGAGCCATGACAGGGTATAGTGGAGAGCGTGGTGGAAACTGATCGGCTGCGATTCCACCACGAACTTGACGACAGAGTGATGAAGTACGCTGTTCGGCATCTCAGTGGTATCAAACTCGTAGTCACCGACTTTCTTGAACTTGATCTCATCCTTGATCTCAGCTTGTGCGAAGCGCTTTCTCTCCGTACCGAGAGAATTCAAGATAACCGCCTTGGCCGCTAATCTGATGGCTCTGAAGATGTAGGTATGGTCCTCGCCGACACTCCATTTGAATGACTCCGAGAACTGTCTGCATAAGCGGTTGATCTCCCGTGTGATCAAGGAAGCGCTGATCCAGGCATCGGTTTCGTACTCCACATGCTCGCCAACCGCTCGAGTATTCGGGCAGATACCTTGATGAAGCTTGACGAGGTCCAAGAACTGCATCATGTATCTTTCCTCTGTCCGCAACTTTTCTTGGACATGTTCTGAGCCGAACAGATATCTCAAGTCCATGAAGAAATGATACATGCGTCGATTGGTGACCGAGCCTGAGTCGAACGCCAGAGTAGCATTTCCTACAATCTCGTGGGGATGACCAACTTGTCTCGTCGTTAAGAAGGTATACAATATTGCCATCAAATTTGTCAAGAAATTGCCTCGTTCGACAATCTCGGCAGTAATAGTCGGTGTTGTCAACATCTGCAACGAAATGTTGATAATGGAATGATCCGGTTCTCGGTCAGCAATAAGGTAAAGTTGTGCCAAAGTTGTATAAAGGCCCGCAAATCTTAAGCCGAGGATTCGCTTGAAGTCAGGAATTGTCACAACTGTCGATATGTAAAGGTCTCGAAGGTCAACTCGGACTTTCTTCCACATGCGCAAATCAAACAAAATCATCCAATCCAGCCGAAGTCGTCGCCATAAATCCTCATGGAGTGGCACTGATTCCCTAACATTATATCCTTCTGGAGTTTCAAGCCAGTATCTGGCTGGTTTTGGGGGATGTTCTTCTTGCGGCTTGTTCCTTGGCGTCTTTGGAATCTCCATACCAGCTTTGACGTACACATTGTGAGATATCAACGGCTGAATTTCTGCTGTGTCGGAGTCCGAGGGGGTCATATCTCTGTCCCGCATTGGTCTCGGAGGTGCAGGTGGAGGCGGGGGAGGTGGTGGGTAGCCAGCTATAGTGGCTTCTGATTCCTCCATGGGTGAGTTCTCCCGGTCGTTTCCACTCATGTCAACATCACCATCTGCATCAGTCTCTGTTTGTGTTGCTGCAGGACCGGCGAAAAGATAATCGACAGCGTCGGGTGGATCAAGATCGGATCCGTCTTCTTCATCAGTGCCCGTATTCATCATTGCCTGATCAATCTCATCATCCGCTTCGTCTTCAAGGTCAGAATTGCCATCGTCGCTATCGTCACTCTCTGAGGCGGCGGCTGCAGCAATGGCTGCAGCTCTCATGATCTGCGCTTGGCGATCCAGAATCTCCTGGCGATAATCGGTGTCCTCCTCCATTGAGTGGTCATCAATACCTTTCATACCAACATCCTTATTGCTAGCTTCACTGCCCGTGCTCCAAACTTTCAGCATCTCCTCGCAAACGACATAGCGAAGGATGTTGTGGTCAGATCCCACGCTGCACCCAGCAATATCGGTCAACCATTCGATGATAGTACCACACATTTGCTCCCTGAATGTGTCTCGAGCCGATCGGATAGTGACGGTAACTTTGATCTGCTCAATGATTCCGGAAACTCTTAGAAGATCATCAACATCGTTGCTGTACTTAATGATGCTTCTCCCTACATCATCGGTCTCATGAGCTCGTTGAAGCCCCTCTGATAAGGCAACCTTGCAAGCCCTAGCTACCTGGTCGCGGACTTCGTTGACTGTATGTTTTTCGTCGTTCCATAGCAGCAATGCAAACTCGCATGGTTCCTCAACAATATCACCACCGTAGTACTTCGAAGTAAGCCGTGACATTTTCTCATCCAACAAGACCGTCTCCCTGGACTTCGGTAATCGCAGTTGTTCTGGAGAGCAGGAAATGACATCGCAAATGTAGTCAAACGCTCGTCCAATGGTCATTCGTACAGCCTCGATGAGCTCGGCAGGGAGATTTGCGGCCTTTCCTTTGCCTTTGCTCTGTGATGCTTCATCGTGTGCTGTATGTATCGCGCAATGCACAGGAAGTCTCCATGCCTCTGGGTCTCCGCAATCGCAACAACCGCTGTTGCCCAAGGATACGCTGACGTACACCATGTGCCCAGTATGATCTGAAGAATCGTAGCAACGACTGCAGAGCACGCAGGTATCGTCTGTACTGCATGTCTTACACCTATATGTAGCTTCACCAGCTTTGAAGATATGCCCACATGCTTTGCCTCTTGCTGCCTCGGTGAACTCGTCCCCATCAGCCCCGCCTTGTGCCTTTCTCAGCTTCCAGGTTGCATTTGGAAGGGGTCGAGTATTGTCAGGAAAGAAGAGTCGTAGATAATCTGGTCGTCCGCCTGCGAGAGACCAGAAAAGATTCTGTAGGAGTGCATTCTCAGCGGCTTCTGTGTACCTATTCTGATAAACGCGGGGTTGAGTCTTGAGGAATTCGCAGAGCTGCTGCTCTTGTGTCGACATCGTCTCCATCATGTCTGATCGAGAGCTTCTCGCATATCGTATCTTTAGATTGTGTAACAGCCCAAGGAGAGATAGACTCGTGGCGTTGTGGTGTTGTCGATTTGAGTGCCTCGTTGGTGCAGTTGTAACGGCCGAAGCTATTGGCAAGGCACAGCCAGGCAAGTCCCAAAATCGCGATCGAAGCTGACGGACTCTTTTACCGAGATAGAAACGAACCAGTCACTCCTTTGCGCCGATACGTCACAGTAATTATCCTGTCGATGTTGTGGCACTGTGATTGAGCAAGTCCGAGTGGAGGCAATGGATATTTTGTCATCAAGTAGCTCGGCCGGACAAAGAAGGCTGCCAAAGCTTATGCCAACCAAGTCCCCCTAACTTTTTCTATGGGCCAATAAATCCAGACAAAGGGTAGAATTTCGGGCAGAATTTAATGGTGCTTGTCTCATGCAAAATTGTTGGGCAGAAGGTGGTACAATGCTTCTTTTATACAGCCCCAATACAGTACCTCCAGGCCGATGCTCCCCTTCTATGATAGACCACGTCTCTTCTTCCTGCCCAATACACAATGCACTGTCCCTCCTTCAACTCTCCGCCTCTATTCATCGTCTCCGCCCTCAGCCTCGACATATTTCGACCGGATATCCTTCCATTGTCGCTGTCATCGTGCATCAGTCCACATTCCCAACAAGCTCACCGCAGAGAAACATACGCCTTTGTTGAGGTTGTCCCAGATCCTATCCGTTACTGTGTCATATGCCCTATTTTTATCCGTCAGCTCGTGGTTCCCCTATCAGCTGGTGTCTCCACATGAGCGTACATCTCGAATCCGAATGCCCCCGCAAAAATGACACCGAGAAAGACATAGTTCTTTCGGAAGAGGAAGCTGAAACCAGAATACCATTAGCTATCGAACCCCTAGCATAGAATTGATCTCTGCCCACTTCGGAGGGCATGGGAGTTAATCGGGTGACTTGCTTGTAGAGTGGACGACCGGCTGACGCCTGCAATTGAACGAGTCAGCTTGCTCTGGGAGCGTCACAATTCATATCAGGACCTCTACTTACCATTGTGAATTACGTGACTGCGTGCGCGAAAGATCAGACAGGGAGAGTAGTGGCTGGTTGTTGGTGAAGTGTTTGCCATTCGGAAGCTTGAGAAGGTTTTAGCTTCGATAGGAAGGAGACTAAACCGCTTTCGGTGCGAATTCACAGCCTCGCGGGCTCACGGGTTTCCTACATTTTCAAGCATCAAACCTTTGCAATTCCCACCCACAAACCGTGCGGTAGGGTGCCAATTGCTTCACATTGCGAAATCTCCCTTCACACGGTCAATATAACTCCATTACAGGGCATTCGCACAATCAACCACTGCCAAGATGCCCTCCGTGCCGACCCCCTCCAAGGCCGGCATTGTCGAAACCAACACCGGCGAAAGACACATCCCTTCCTCAGTACGACCGGACGGATCAAAGCGAAAAGAAATCAAGATTCGTCCCGGCTACAAGCCACCGGAAGACGTTGAAGTCTACAAAAACCGCACCGCAGATGGATTCAAGAACCGTGGAAGTGGTGGAGTCCCTGGAGCAGAGGGGCTAAAGGACGATAAAGATGAAATACCAGCCACAAGCAACAAGAATGCAAAGAGGAGAGAGGCAAGAAAGAAGGCAAAGGCTGCCGAAGAAGGTGGCGACAAGGTGAAGGAGGAATCGAGCGCCGCTGAAACAAAAGAAGCGAGCAAGGCTGAGGAGGTCGACCCGGAAGTGGAAAAGGAAAAGAAGGCTAGGAATCTCAAAAAGAAGCTGAAGCAGGCTAGGGAATTGAAGGAGAAGAAGGAAGGTGGAGCTGCCTTGTTGCCGGAGCAATTTGCTAAGGTGATCAAGATCAACGAGCTCATCAGGGAATTGGACGCTCTGGGATTTGACGCAGAAGGCGAACCTAAGGTTAAAAAGGAAGACCTCACTTCCTGAGTTGGAAAGCGTATTTTGGGAGGGATGAAATTATGGGTGTTCAGATGCACATTGACCATTGGCGTGGAGTTGGGGATTGGGTTAACAAGCGGCGTATAGAGGATTTGAAGCAGCTGGAAAGCTCTCTGATTAGATGAATCCTCTGGTATAGATAACGCCAGGTCGTGAAGATAAATTCTAAATTTGTCTTTTACACTGCAGGTGTTGTCCCTAATGTGTGCATGAGACATCAAAACATAACTTCTAATCCGAATCTGATGAACATTTTCATTCTCCTTTCAAGACTTTTCTTTATTTTAAACAAAAGCGGGGGAGGGACGCTCCTGAAAATCCAGATAATGAAATGTCCGTTTATCACAGCTATTCCTAGATGAATTCCTTGAAGGTTGAAGGCTCGAAAGGGGTCAAGACTCGTTTGCCCCTGACCAAACTTTCCTGCTTGCTTATCTCCCACTCTTCGGGTTCACTTTGATTCAACTCTATATCAAGAGGTACAGCCACCGATCTCTTCAACAAAACATCTCACCAGATGAGCTCATTTCAAATCTAACAACTGGCTATCAAAAAAAAGTTTTACAATGGTTGTAGAAACGAAAATCCCAGTCTGGTTGGACTGTGACCCGGGTGAGCACTACCTCCGTCGATTGAATTGAGCTGCGCTAACAACATTCTCTAGGACACGATGTGAGTCTATACATATGGCTTCTCCTCTTGCTGAATACGAGATCCTGTGTCTCCTCATCAAGAATGCTTTTATCCTCCCAGATTCAAATTTTGCATCCAAGTCACATGATCAACACCTCTGGAAAACAACAATATCCTCTCTTTTTAAAGCATCATTCTATGTCAAGAAGCAAAAGCTAACGACCACAGGACGCCTTCGCTATCCTCCTCGCAGCTTATCACCCCTCCTTATCCCTCCTCGGAATTTCCACCGTCCACGGGAACTCCTCCCTCCCCCACACAACCTACAACGCAACCTCGATCCTCACCGCAATCGGCCGTCCACAAATACCCGTCTACCCCGGTGCCTCATCTGGTCTCACACGCCCGGCCGTTCATGCAGATGCAATCCACGGGGAGTCGGGCCTCGACGGGACCTCTCTCCTTCCCATCCCCGCTGTTCCCCATGTCGACGAGCCAGCCGTCCAAGCTATGGCTGCTGCTCTCCTCGCAACTCCAAAGGATACCGCATGGATAATAGCAACTGGTGCTTTGACGAACATTGCCCACCTTCTCACGAGCTATCCCGACGCAGCGGGGCATATCAAAGGTCTTTCGATCATGGGAGGGGCGGTTGGCGATGGCTTTACCACAGCACCACTTGGGACAGTTGACGCGAAAGAGAGGATAGGAAATTGGTCTCAGTGGGCTGAATTCAATATCCTCGTTGATCCTGAGGCTGCTGATTTTCTCTTCCAACATCCAGCTCTGAACAAGAAGACGACTCTCATTCCGTTAGATGTCACGCATCTTGTTCTGGCGACGAAGGATGTTCAGTCACTTTTGTTGAATGGGAAGGATGGGAAGGCAAAAACGACTTTGAGGGTTATGCTAGTTGAATTGCTCTTATTCTTTGCGAAGACTTATGCAGAGGTATTCGGTATCACGGAGGGCCCGCCACTGCATGATCCGTTGGCGGTGGCTGTTGTGTTGGACGGAATAGTTGATGCTGAGATTCCGTTTTATGACTTCAAGGAAATGGGCAAGAGGGAGAGGTATGCGGTGCATGTTGTTACCGAGGGATCGCACGAGGATGCACAAGCTGGTGCCGAGACGGGGAGAACGATTGTGAAGTTGTTACCCGAAGGAGAAGAAGGCGTGAAGATCCCAAGGGGTTTAGATTTCGGCAGGTTTTGGAGTGTACTCGAGGATTCCTTAGAGACGGCTGATAAGCTCATTAAGGCTAAGGGGGGTTTATAACTGCAACGTTCTGAAATCGTCTTTCGCATTTCTGTGATACGTGGCAAGCTACTTTTCAGCTTTCCTCCGCTCAAGCACCTTCATCACATCAGCCGCACTATTAGCATCCCCCTTACGCTTCTTAGGACCCCGTTTCCGCTTGCCCTTCCCATCGCCCTTCCATCCTTCGTCGCCATCGTCATCCTTACTTCCCCACTCCGATAATTTCATTTTCTTCTCCTCAAAGTCTTCTTCGTCTGCAAATCTGCTGCTGCCAAAACCCATGTCCATATCTTGGGCATCTCTGTCGTCTTGTTGCACCATCTTCTTACGTCGAGCTGCTTTGGCAGCCTCTTCTTCGCTTTCTGCCTCCTTGGAAATTGGGTTGAGTGTTGACGCTTTTTTGAGTGCGGCAAGAATTGTAGGATCCAGCATCGGTTTTGGTCCAGAGGTATCAGATGACGGTTCTGGTTTGGACTCGCCAAAGTAATTTCTCGGTCCTGTTGGTTGTTTTGGCTTTGGTGGTGGAGCCATACTTCCAGGGGCTGATTCCTCCAGAATTGACTCTTTCTCGGGCTTCTTCTCCTTCGGCTCCGAAACCTCGCCTTCTTCTCCTTCCTCCTCAGAATCCTCATCCTCCAAATCTGCTAATGGGTCGTAATCATCTCCCGCACCCTCGAAGATGTCATCTTCTTCCTCTTCTACCTCCGCCGGCTTGAGAATTTCCGGGACATCCATCCCTAAAGGCACGGCATCTTTGTCGGGCATCAATAATCCATGGCCCTTCTCGACGGCTGGCTTTTGCACCTGGACTTTCCTAACCTTCCTCTTCTCATTGCCATCCTCATCAACTGTAATCAGTACCTCCCTCCCTTTACTATCCCTCTCAATCCTACTTTCTCCCCTTCTATCTCCAACCTTCTTGAACCTCGAGCCTAAAGACGGCTGTGCGGCTTCCTTCGCCGCCAATCTCGCAGCCTTCAGCTCTGCTAAAATCTGGTCTCGATTCCGCTTCTTCCCCGTCAAAGCAGGAGGCGCCATCTCCCCCTTCTTCTTCTCTTTCTCCTTATGGATAGCCTCAACCTCCCTCTCCTCCAACCTCTCAAACTCATCATCAACATCCTCTTCTCTGGTATCAACTTGTCCTTCCTCTCTCTTCCCCGTTCTCCCCTCCAACACATCCTCCGTAGTCAGCTCTCCCCTCTTAACTCTCTCAAGCATACTCCTATCCAACCCCTTCACCAACCCCGCCCGCTCCACCCCCGCCTCGTCACCCAGAATCTCTTCCCTTAGCTTCTCAAAAGTCGCCTCATCAATTTGCTGCAGCTTCATCATCTCCTCTAACGCCTTAACCCTCTGCACCTTCTCACTATCTTCCTCTCCCTCTTCTCCAACTCTTTGTTTCGCGCGGTCGACATAGCCTTCTGGCAACTTGGCACCTTTCGGCGCTGCACTGCTGCGGAATTTCTTGGTGGTTTGGGAAGAGTTGCGTTCGGCGAGTTGGCGAGCAAAGTCGTTGGAGCTGCTGTAACCTGCTACTGTACGTCTGGAGACAAAATCGGTTAATACTGCTCAAATTCAAAAATCCAAATAAGGAGAAGGGGTGCGTACGGTGTCATAGGAATCGAGCTGCGCATCCGCGAGCCCAGCGCAGATGGGGTTGCGCCATTTCGACTTTGCGTAGTCTTATCTGACGGGGAAGAAGAAGAGCCTTGCCGCGCGGGGGTATCAAGGACGAGCTTTCGGAATTGTGAGTTGTTCATCCTGATGTTGTGGCTGGATGGGAAAGTTGGAGGTGAGAGGTTCTTCAGCCTCGCGAGAAAAATTAGCGCCTCGACGCCTGAAGCGCCACTGTGGGTCGCTCGCTAAAGCTCCTTCCCCCCTTTGTTTGTGGAGCGAGCTTGGAAGACATCACTTCAACGGAATTAACTATCAGAATACAACGAAAACAGAGAGCATCCGCGAGAAACCAGATTTTTGCCTTTTCAAGCTTTGGGATGTTAAAAAGCAACGTTTGTTATATTGTGGGTCTATGATAGGACCGACCCGACCCGTCCCCGCGGACTAGCATATTTGAAATCAACAAACGAGGACTGTGACTCGGTTTGCCTTCAACTGCTCCTTCCCTATGCAAAAATTTTGGTGCCTCAAGTGTTGAACTTTGTGAATCCGATGGACGCGCCACATTTCTTGAGTGTTCAAACCCACCCCACTTTGTGCCTTCTCCATCACCACACGTACTAGACTGTTTAAATGTTCCACCCAAGCTGGAACGTTTTTCACTACCCGCAACCCTATACCAAGTGTACTCTGCTTACGCGCCCTCTACCTAAGAGGTGGCTGTGGCCGGGTCCATAAGGGCTGAGTGTGGAAGGTACAGTGTGGACAAGCTTGGTGGCCACAATTCCTGCACACAGTATCCAATCTGGATTCTGTAGGGGGCCCTCTTGGGGGTGGGGGGGTCCACATTCGTAACATATCATGATCAACATATTGTTGGTTTCGTTGGCTCTATGTATGTAGTAAACTGAAGGTTTAATCAAATGGTTGGTGTTGATGAAGGGTTGGCTGTGGTGTCGTCTGCTTGTGAGTGATTGTAACTGCGGAAAGGTTTCAGTCTGGGAAAAGAGGTGGATATTATATAAGCCTAGAGGAAAGGAATCCAACTCTTGAATTTAGCTCTTGACCGTGGAGCAAAAGGGTTCATGCAGGTAAGTTATAATCGAATCGTTAATAATAGTCGGACTTAACGTCACGACTAAAGGGGCCCAACCCTTTAGTCGGGGAAAGCGAGATGTCCCGCACCAAATAAAATCCTTAATAACTTGAAACCTTAACCTTTTTAAATAATTCTAAGTAATAGAATCAAAATATAAGCCTTGTAAACGAAATTCAATTCTTTAAATCTTAAAAAAAGATGTGGGTAGAAAGTTATTAAGGTTTTAATAATAAAATCGCGAGGAATACCAAAATAGTACAGGTTTTAGCGCGTTTTTGACGAAAAGCGGTACACTTAAAAATGGGTGCACCAAAAGTTACCTAAATTATTTTCAACCACCAATTGCTCCACCAAACCACGTCCGAATTAGATGAGAAGTAGATAAATTTACTCCCCTGAAGTAGCTCTTGCTAATGATAAGAGCAAATTATAGCTCCTTACCTAAGCCCGCGCGCATCGCGGCCATCCACGATCTTCTCGCACAACCGGAGCAGAACCGGGAGCTCCTTGAGCAGTGGTACGATAATTTCGATTTTGGATGGGAAACAGGGTGCTCCCGTAGTGTTTTTATGGCTGGGGAAGACTTCGATTATTATAATGGATAACTGTGGTATATACTGGAGTCAGAGGGTGCTTGATATGTGCCAGAAGTGGGAGGGGGGCGGGGGGAATCTGGATACATTGGTTGCCTCCTTATTGCCCAATTTTGAACCCAATTAAGGAGAGCTTTTACGATATTAAGTCTAATATGCAAAAGAACTGCAGAAAAGTCCATGGGAAATATCTAAACTTTGGGGATTATCTGATTAATACCATTTGAAGGTTTGGACGGGGGCCAGAGGCAGCTAGGAAGGCTAGAGGGCACTTTTATAATTCAGGATATCGTAATTTCCCTATAGAATTAGTATAGAATTAATGGAATCGCTATATTTAATATTACTTAAAGTTCTAGTGATTTTAATATTACAAAATATGGTTCCAAAATCACTTGTTACTTTACCAGAGAGCCGACATTAATACTAATTAAAAAATACCATGGTTCTTAATAACCACAACTACTATTAAAAAAACGAAAGCAGATTTAGAATCGTAGGAAATAGCTCTTTTAATGGTTCTAATATATAAAAATCCTACGGTGTGATTGCAAAAATATTTAGTATAAGGGAAAAACTCCAAATATTGACAAACTCGACTAAAAACAATGACCATAACGCCAGTAATAACTCTCTCCAAAAGAGATTAAAATCCTGTAATCTGATTAGTCTATCCCTCTCCTTCCCAAACTAGTACCAAGTAGAAATCAAGGGGGTAGCTCGTTAACCTCGATTCTAAATATCATTCTCCCACCACCCCCCAATCGCCTTGTAATCGTCATCTAATAGCCCAGAACTTATAAACTCTTGATAATCCTGCTTTTGTGAGTTGCCTATACCATGGTGGAAGCTAATTTCGTCTTCAGGATATATGCCAAAGACAATATCTGGCTGAATTAAGTCTTTATTTGAGTATCTGGAATGGTGCTTTGGAATAGGGTTTCGAATGGGACTTTTGAATGGAGCTACCATATTAGTAATCGGTGCCGCTGAGTACCTATATTCGATATAAAAGACTAATTAGCTTCTGAATTCCATACGGCATGCCAAAGGGAGACTTTAGCCTTTATAACAAAGAGAAATTCCCATGAAATGTCATACTAGCCCCCGATTTTTCCATTGCCTTTAGCTATTTTAGCTCAGCCTTCTCCTCTAATACCATAGATATCAAATTACTAATATCTGCGCATCGATATTAATAAAAAAGGGCAAATTGGTTCGTGGACAGGGGAGAAGTTGGGTTTGCTAAGAATTCGGCTCGATGTACAGGCTCAATAGCTACAAATTCGGGGGAGGGAAGGAGGGGGTGGATCGTAATCTGCTTATATCATTAGCAAGAGCTACTTCAGGGGAGTAAATTAATCTACTTCTCACCTAATTCGGACGCGGTTTGGTGGAGCAATTGGTGGTTGAATATAATTCAGTACCATTTTTTTCAAGGTACCACTTTTCGTCAAAAACGCGCTAAAACAGGGAGTTTTTGCATGTTACTGTAAGAATTATTTGTTCGTGACCGTTTCGCGAGTATTAAACCTACGACTTTTGCTTAGTTATAAATTTTTATTCTTTTACTTAAAACTTTAGTCCTTAAGTATGCAAGAGGTAATTATGAGATCGCGAATAAAACGTATTAATTGGATTTTCTATAGCTAGTTCTTAATATTGTTTTTTAGAAGGCAAAAAAGGCCGAAACGGGACAACTCGCTTTCCCCGACTAAAGGGTTGGGCCCCTTTAGTCGCGACGTTAAGTCCGACTATTAACAGTGGGTTAATATCATTTATTTAATCCCATCCTCAATGAACATTCAAAGTACGTGTAGGACTACTGTGTTACTCGACAATAGTGGTTTGTTTTGCCATCTTGATGTTTCAACAACGTGTCTTATAGCTTGAACTACTGGGATTTGAATGCTCCAAGACTTGAAAGCACTTTTTGGAAGCATGGGGCCCCAGTGAATCAATAATTTTCCCAACATCGAGTGGATTTGGAACTTCATTGTTCACAGCTCGTTTGGCATTTGAGAAGCTATGGAAGAATGAATAATATTGACCGTTGGCCAAGGGGTCAGAAACTCTACAATGTCGAATAGCTGTCAAATTCAGCGAAACCAGTGGAATATGACAGCTTATCTAGCAATCTATAAATTCCCGTCTTTCTTACATCGTCAAGCTTCTCCCCCTTCATTACTTTGAGATAGACACCAATACCACATTAACGCTTTTTCACGCCACGGATACTAACGCAGCAAATAATACCTATTTAATCAACTCCTCAACAGCGACCCGAACACCATGGTGTGGACCGAAGCTGAGTTAGATGCCCTCCGTGGACTCTACTATCAAAGCCACAGTTATAACAGACAGGCGGGGTTTGGTAGAGAGCATGGTGGTTTGACATATGCACAGATGGCTACCGAAATGGACAGGATTGCAGCCAGGGAGAACTGGGATCCTGACAGGCAACGCCAATACAACAGTAGAGTGATAGAAGGCCAGCTACAGAGGCAGCGGTTTCGTCCTCCAGAGTACCTTATGGCTCCCTACTCAGGACCCCAGGGACCCTCTGGCTACATACGGCCTAATTTCAACTTCCAATCAACTAGGAGTGGAGGGAGAGAATGGTGCATAGGTAGACTAGATCATAGAAAATAACAATGCCTGATGTTCCAAAATTTTGCAAGATAACAACGACACATGTTCTGCTAAACCATACTTGTGTGCATATCTGACATGATGCGCAACTAACTTAGCGCATAGATCCTCTCGCTCTGATTCACATCTTACTTGGGAAGTACTTTGTACCAAATCGAGCTATACGCCACCACTCACTCACATAAACCACTCGCCTTCCCGATTTCCCCCTTATCTCTACTCTATCTCCGACCTCCTTTGCTCCAAAAGCGCAAGGAAGAGTCGCGCTTCACTGGCCCTTCACCTACCCACGCCTCACTAAGGGACTTTGTCCACTCCATAGTTTCAGAAACCGCCACTCATCACTTCCTTCGTCGCCTTGTCTATTAATTTCATCGTTCCCGCAACCCCTCCTCCAGAGTGATGGGCGCCTCAGCCATCTCCACAAGTGCATTGCTTGCCGCCAATCCCCCATTTCGGTCCTCACCTACCGCAGATGCACCGCAAAAACAATTAGCTCCTCATGTTGATGATGATTCTTCCTAGCCAACAAGTTACACCCTGCCCTTGTTACCGCATTAGGAAGCAAGGATAAGATCCCCTAGCATTGCAAAATGCTTTCAATATTGCAGATAAATAAAGTACGATGAAAGGAGTGAATTTTGAAAATCTTAGGACGTATCCGTCGCTTGACGGGTGGTTACAGTGGCAATTGCAGGCTGAAGAACTCTTTAAGCAAGGCTTGGCGATTCAGTATGGAAATGGGATGGACACGCGTCTGCAACAAGGCATGCTTATCAAGACTTTCTAATTAAGGAGTTAGTCCTCATCCATCGGTTCCGGACTCGCCTCGAGCTCTCTTTCGCGAGTTTCTTCACGGTCAACACTCGCCTCTCTTGGGGTATCAAGCTCGTCGCCATTCTCAACTTTCACCTCCTCCATTGGCTCGTCCTCTGTGGCATCAGCATCTACTGGTGCAGTGTTCACTCCATTCACACTACTATCGACTTCATCCTCATTCACGTCAACCCATATCCTCACGGTTCCATCAAGACCACCACTGACAACTTTCCCGCTCACGCCAGGACAAGTGTCAACCCAAAGAACAACCCCCTCATGTCCACTGACTTTCTGGACCATGTCCTTGGTTCTGACATCCCAGAACACGATATCGCCATCCTCACTTCCGGAAACAATGAATCCTTCTGTCCCTCCAACGCCGAATGCACCCCCTAGAGAGTACTTTTTGTTGACATGGCCTTGATATGTCTTCTTGCATGTGCCTGAGACGTAATCCCATAGACGTATGCACGAGTCGAGTGTGAATGCGAGGATATAACGGCCATTGGGAGAAAAGCGGACGGTGGTAACCGGAGCATTATCTTCGTGGACAAGAGTTCGGAGGCATTGGCCTGTCGCAGTGTCCCAGACTCGACTACAGACAGAACCGGTTTAGCAAGAAGACACGAAGAAGAATAGAAGAAAGGGCTGTGACATACGTGAGGCCATCAGTAGAACAACTGCACACCAAAGTGCCATCTCTGATAAAATCTACCCCACCAACTGGATCTGAATGCGCAGGTAAACTCCTCATTAATCTCCTCGCTCGCAGGTCCCAGAGAAACACAGCTTCATCATAGCTCCCACTCACCAGCATATTACCCTTCGGAGAAAATGCCAGCGAGTAAACATAGTTGTGATGACCCAATAGCGGTGCAGGGTACGGTTTCCCAGTTGCTCTGTGCCACAACCTAATAGTCTTATCGTCAGACCCAGAAGCAATTGTATTCGAATCTGGACTCCAAGCTATCGTCGAAACACCAGCCAGATGCCCTTCAAGAGTTCTCATATGCTTCCCTGTGACGGCATCCCAAATCTTAATTGTGCTGTCCGCTGAGCAGCTTGCTATCCACCGCCCATCTGGCGAGAAGCGCACCTGCGCAACACCCTTGCGGTGACCCTTCAGAATAAATTTCTGCTTGTAATTAAGCTTGAGAGGCTTATACACCGGCGGGGAGAGAGCGTCAGGTGAGGAATGCGACGAGCGATGAGAGTCTGTACTGCTTGAGCGGCTTCGATTTCGGCCGTGATAGGTGTGATCCAACTCATCAACACTCCCATCTGAGGAGCGCGATCTGCGACGGCTTCCCAGGTCTTGCCGCGTCTTCAGCTTCGAGGATCGATGTGGTTTGTGGTCTCCAAGCTCATCCGGGGAGCTGTATCGCGGCGTAGAGGCCTCGGAATCATCGTAAACTCGTCTCCGCTTTGATGGCCGATGGCCTGTAGGCGCTGGAGTGCTGGCTGCGGAATCAAAGTCGGACATGGTGGTGATTGATGTGGGGAGAGATGTTGCGACTAGCCGCGGTTGACTTTTGGAGACGCGATTTTCTTGGAGATCTGTGAAGCTTTGGAGCTAAAATGCGGCCGCTTGAACCCTGCCCCTGAGTCAACGTCATGCAAGTGCGAGTGTGAGGCAGAGGGGAGTTCCGACGAATTCGGACAAGCTATATTCATGCCATAAATTAGGGTGAAGAAAAAAGAATTTTACCCCCGGATTCAGACCAATATTGTCCCAATGGCCATGTATAGTCTCCAATTATAGAACATCCGCCTCCTTTTCTTTCTGGATACTGTTCGTCTTCTCGCAACCATCTCGATCGTCCTCCATGAGTCCAACTTCAGCGACGACAACGGTGATGGACTCCTTGATGCCAACAGAGATCAACGTGATCACCCTCAACTGCTGGGGCTTGAAATTCATCTCGAAGTGGCGCAACGAACGGCTGGTGGAAATCGGGAAACGCATTGCAACCGTAGATCCCGTTCCCCAGATCGTCGGCTTACAAGAATGCTGGACGCAGCAAGACTACCAATGCATACGGAAAGAAACGAAAGACATTCTGCCGTATGGGAAGTTCTATCACAGTGGTATATTTGGTGGCGGACTGGCAATACTGTCGAAATGGCCGATTGAAGAGAGCAGTATGGTCCGGTATCCTCTGAATGGAAGACCAACTGCTTTCTTTAGAGGCGATTGGTATGTGGGGAAAGGCGTTGCGTGTGCGAGGATACGGTACGGTGCTGGGCTGAAGGATGTAGTGGAGGTCTTCACCACGCATGTAAGTGAAGTGTCACTTTTGTGAAGTGAATTCTAGCTAACCTTCGCAGCTTCACGCACCCTACGAAAAGGAACCAAACGACTCATACATCTGTCATCGGACAGCTCAAGCATGGGAAATCGCAAAACTGATGCGTGGGGCTGCAGAACGGGGGCATCTTGTCCTTGGACTTGGAGATTTCAACATGATACCTATGTCTCTGGCTCACAAGCTGCTTAGCACACATGCTCCAGTCCGCGACATCTGGATGCTCTTGCACCCAGACTGTTCACTTGGTGCCGCAGAAGACCCAGTTGAGAAAGCACGCCGTCGACCTATTCCCACCGCAGACATCAATATTCTCGAGAATGGCGCCACTTGCGACAGCGTTCTGAATACCTGGCGATGGAATAAAGGACAGCAGAGGCTGGTCGGATTGAATAAACCGACCATCGAAGTTCCAGGAGACAGGATAGATATCAGAGCCAAACGTCTCGACTATATCTTCGCCAGCACAGCTTTCGACCCCACTCGGCCTGAACAAGGAGGATGGATCGTCAAGACCGCCAAAGTCGGCATGCTCTACCGGCACCCAGACCTAGGATGTTCCCTCAGCGATCACTTCTCCGTCGAGTGTACGCTAATTCACACACGGGCCATCGAAGAAGAAGGCTCCAGCAACCAAGACGAAGATCTAGCCGTCGACAGAGGAGCTTTCCTCCAATCCCCCGCAACCAGTGAATTCCGCACGCACCATTCGCAGCTAAACCACACTTCACCGTCCTACCTACCCGTCGCAATATACGATGAGATCCTCGCTATGATTAAAAAATACCAACTTCGGGAACGTATGCAACGCCGTCTACGGCTAAGCCATTTCGTTGGCTCTGTCTTCATCAGTATCGGCTGTTTCATCGCTGTTTGGTGGAGCCCCAGGAATTTCGTGGCGTTTATATTGATGTTGTTGAGTACGTTAGGACTTTTTGCTGGAGTTATTGATGGCTTGATTGGCGGCTTGTTTGTAGGGAGTGAGATTAGAGCGTTGAAGGAATTTGAGTGGGAGATTAGTAATGCAAGAGCGGCGGCAGGGGGCGAACCAAATGTTTTGCAGGAACTGGGTGTTAAGGATTGGTAAAGGGTGTGGCATGGCATTTGAAAGGAAAATGGGCCTATGGTGATGAGAACATGTTGCAACTTGAGCTGAATTGTCTCTTGCCCCCTTGTAGAAAAGACATTCTCTGCAAGCATTCACTGTCCGATCACGCTATTCCTGTTGTGTCTAGTTTGGTAGTTGACTTTTTACAAAGGAGGAAAATATGATACTGTTAACGCTCCTTTCATTTCACAGACCCAACTGGTACATTTTGCAAACCCTCAAAAAAGGGGGCAGGAGCGGCCTACCCACGTGACTCTAAGATAAGCTTTCGAAAGCTTCTTATCGACCTGCATTAGCGCGGTTCCGGAATGAATAGTTCATCTTGCTCGGCTCCCCTCCATCTTTCTTACGGAACAAGGCTAAGGCGGGACTATTGTTCTGCCTGTTGTCAATGACAATTTTCATATTTGCTATTTATTGTATCTACCATTGTATTATGTCGCATCATTGACCATCTAGAACTTTCACATTTCCCTGAGCAAGTGCTTTCTTCACCTTCGCTGCCTAGTCCTCCGCAACCTCCGCATCCTCCACACAGCAACCATCCCAAAAACTACGCCTGCACATCTGCGAATCAACATCTGGTGAGAGTCATGGCGCCAATGGACCAGAACGAACGATCTGCCAAGCGGCAGAAGCTAGCTTCTGACGAAAGCTCTGGTTTGAATGATGAGGCATTCTTTCAAGCTCGACCGGATGATACTTCCACTTTCAATGTATGATTCTTTCGCTTGATCTCTTATGTTCTCCCTGAATTTTAACTGTATCACTGCTAAATATTTGACAGCATGAAAAAGAGTCTTCCGCGTTCAACATCTCTTCGTCACCCCTCACCTCCTCTTCCGCCCTCGTCCCCGTCCCCGACGACTTTATCCTCGACATATCGAAATATATACCGGCCGGTTGCGTCCGAATGGAGAGACAGGACTGTGGCATATCACCTGAACTGTGGGCTTCTTGCGATACCTGGCATGCGTTTGCGCACCCCCGAGATGTATTCAACACTCGGGATGGACCATTCATCGTCAACGCTCTTCAACAGAAATTGTTCAGCTCAGCAACTCTGCACAATTACATTGGAATCCACTACGCTGGATGGGTGAGAATGGAGTTCAAGGCACGGGACCAAGATTGCGGACAAGTGCGAGTCTACGTCCTTCCAGATGATATCGGCAGAAGCGTGATCGAGCGAGAAGAGAAATCATTACGAAAAGCACTCCACTCATTGTTGGCGCAACTTGACATCTCCAAACACACATGGATCGGCGAACGGTCTCGCGAAACACCAATTATGCACATTGATTCGTCTCTCGATCTGGGGATCCAAGATCAGCCTTCACTCTTCTATCTCTTCAATACTCTACCATCACCCAAACCAAATCTGGACGTGGTCACAGACAGATACGCCAACGATGCGATGTACAGAATCTTGAACAGTGACATTGCAGGCCTAAAGACCCAGATGTATAACTATCAGCGCCGCTCAGCAGCACTGATGCTCCAGCGCGAGACCAATCCTGCCCAGATTATCGACCCACGTCTGAGAATCTTGGTAGATCAGCGAGGCGATGCATGGTATTGTGATTTGGATGCGGGTTCTTGCCTTCGACAACCGCGGACTTTCGAGGCTCCCAAAGGAGGAATCTGCGCCGAAACTATGGGTCTTGGAAAGACTCTGATCTGCCTTGCTTTGATTCTTGCAACTCGAGATACATCGTCTCAAATCCCGGCTGAGCACTCGGTTGGAACCATTCCAGTTCGCCCAAAGACCGGATCCTTGTTGGATATGGCAGCTGATACCATTGGTCGTACCGGAACTCCTTGGAAGACTGAGCTTGCACGCATGGAAGCCGACGGCTCTGATTTTTCAAAATGCCGCGAAGCTCTTAAAAGTCATGCTGGCCACTACTTTCTTCCTTCCCCTGCCCCGCGCAGGGAGTCACGAAAACCTAGAGTTATCCCTCCCCGCAAAATATGGCTCACCAGTGCAACAATTGTTGTCGTTCCAACGAATTTGGTGCAACAGTGGCTTCACGAAATCCAGAAACATACGACTGGTCTCAAAGTCCTTACGATGAATGACCTCTCCATCCCACTCCCTTCTTCCGAAGATCTTGCGGAATATGACATCCTTCTGTTCAGCAAGCAGCGTTTTGAGAAGGAAGCGACATTAATGGCGGAGACAAGCGAGGATTCTCGAACTCGTTTGGCTAGGCTAGAGGACGATCTACTCCGTGACCATGCAGGCTTGGCAATAGCGCCAACTGTGGAGACCTATCACTCTCCATTAAAGAACCTGCATTTCAAGCGATTGATCGTTGACGAAGGCCACACGTTTGGAAATTCTTCATCCAGCTCAAGGACTGAAGCCGTGACCGTTGTGGAATTCTTACAGCTGTCCGCACGGTGGATTGTGTCTGGAACTCCTACCCAAGGTTTGTACGGAGCAGAGGTTGCCATCGGCCATTCTGAAAGTTCCTCTGTCTCGGCCACTCCTCTCGAGGAAAACGATTTTGACAATTCGAATCTTCTCACTAAGGCTTTTCCATATTTGTCTGATCTTTCAGAATCCGATGCATCCCCTCAGACCTCCAAGAAACGAGAGGCAATGTTCTTCAAACAAGAGCGGAAAGATTTGGAGAAGTTGGGCAACATCGCCACCGTTTTCTTGAAAGCTCGGCCGTGGGCAAATTCTTGCGACGACAAAGACCATGCATCTTGGTCCCAGCATGTAATGCAACCAAGACATGGCTCGAAGAGTCGAGGGAATACGGATTGTCTGAAGGCAACATTGGAGGGAATGATCATACGCCACCGTCCCGACGACGTTCTCCTCGATATTGCTCTTCCTCCGCTCCATCAAACGATTGTCTATCTCGAAGGCTCAATACAGAATAAGCTATCTCTCAACACCTTCTCCATGATGGTCACTTCCAATGCGGTCACTTCGGAACGAAGGGATGCCGATTACTTCTTCCACCCACGTCAGCGAAAGGCTTTACTCCAACTCGTCGCTAACCTACGCCAGGCATCCTTCTTCTGGTCCGGTTTTGAATCCGAACATGTGCGAAATACTGTTGAGATTGCCAAGAAGTTCTTGGAAGAGAAGAAGGTGCCGATCACTCTAGCAGACGAGGTCTTACTGGATGAAGCTATCAAGGCCGGAGAAGCTGTCCTCGCAAATGAAATATCTCAGACGATTTGTAAGTATCATGAAATGCCTATGTATATTCAGAACGAGTTTGCGGACGACGTCAGAAAGGCATGGGCTCTCGATTCTCAACCGCTTAATCCGACTTTAATGGGAGCCACTATGGTCCACTCAGCCCAGAAATTTGTCGAATCACAGTTATGGAAGGAGGATCCGATGGATGGCCTGCTCCAGGCAGGTGAAGAGTCGATGAAAGCTGCTTTTGAAGGAATTTCGCAACCGAGCAACCCTCCTCCCAAGAAGAAGTCGACCAAAAATGCACGAAAGAAGGCTGCAGAAGTTGCACCAACCTTAGCAGGTGGCGTTAGTGTTGGTGATGCGCTCAGTCCTCGACGTACTCGAAGCGGGATAGTTCGCCAAGCTCCTTCATCCACTCCTTCATCAGCTGTTCTTGAATCATTGACCAACACTGTCACGAGCAATGGTATCGAAGCCACAAGCAGTTCGTCAGAACATGATCTCAAAGCTGCAGAGACCATGCAAGCTACACCGAAGATGCCATCCAAGCCAAAGTCTATTCTGAAAAAGTCGCCCAAAGTGACCATAGCCGGAAAGCTTGACCCTTCGTTGCCACTTACCTCGACCTCGATCGTTTCGACCGCATCTACCAAGCTCTCCTACTTGATGGATAAAGTTCTGCTTCATCAACAGGATGAAAAGATTCTCGTCTTTTATGAGGCAGACAACGTCGCCTATTATATCGCCCAAGCCCTCGAATGCCTCGGAATCAAGCATCTCATCTACGCCAAGTCGCTTTCATCCGCCCGCCGCGCCCAGTACGTCGTAACATTCAACCAATCCCGAGTCTTCCGTGTTCTCCTCATGGATGTCTCCCAAGCTGCCTTTGGCCTCGACATGTCCTCCGCCTCCCGCGTCTACTTCGTCAACCCCGTTTTCTCACCCCAAGTCGAAGCTCAAGCCGTAAAGCGCGCCCACCGAATCGGGCAGGCGAAACCCGTGTATGTCGAGACTCTCGTCCTGAAAGGCAGCATCGAGGAAGTCATTGTGGAAAGACGAAAGGACATGTCAACCGAGGAGCACAATAAGTGCAAATCTATCCTGGATGATCAGACGATGTATGATTGGATTAAAAACGTCCGTTTTCAGCCGATTCCCGAGGAGGAGGTTTCGGGGCCTGAGCAGATGGCGAAGCTTAAGACGAAGCAGCTGGTGTTTGGGAGAGGTGCGGGGGCGAAGGGTGATTATGATCCTGATGAGGATCTGGTGTTTGGGGAGGGGTATGCGAAGGCGAAGGAGGGGAAGGGAAAGCGTAGAGCCGCGGCGAAGGGGAAGGGGAAGAGGACTGCGGCCGTTGCATTTGCTGAAGGGCTATCAGCCGAAATGCCAGGGAGCCTGCAAGATGCAGATGGCAACGCGGCATCGGGTATGCCGCTCTTGTAAACTTGTATGATAGAGATGAATTTATGGGCTCGAGCTTTTTATCACGCATTCTAAATGTCCTATGAACTTTATGAACACCACGTCTTATTCTTTTCAATTATTCTCGAAGCCCGGAACGGACCACTCCAAATGTGCCACTAAACCCACCAAGGTCCAAATCTGTTGCCCCCCTAATGTCCCACAACACACATAACATCAAAATTTCCAAGATAATAATACGGACCTGAGTCTTCCGTTTACACTATACTACCGTCTAGCAATCTCCCTCCCATCAAATTTATTCATAACCCAAACCAACACAATCATACACCGCCGTCTCCAACTCCTCGTCCACTCCAAACTGCCACTCCTCCACGCAAGCCAAGCCCCCTTCCCCGTCCACTCACCACCTCCATCCACAACACCATCCTTCCTTCCAATGTAAGCACTAACGCTCTCGGATGGTACTTAAAACCTTCTTCTTCCATTCCTTTCCCATCCGCTTTGCGATACTCAATCTCGTTGAGATGTTTGGCAAGCCATTCTGCCTTCTGAAGCGCAACTTCTGCTGTGGGAGGAAGAGCATTGCCCTCGATGTCCGCTGCGTCACCAAGTGCATACACACCCTCAACAATTCCTTCCTCTTTGTCAGGTTTCAACACCCTCAGCCATTTATCGGTAAACACCCTCTGCATAGCCCCTTCACTTTTCTTCACATCCAAATTTTCCACCAAAGAAGTAGCTTTGTTCCCCGCACACCAAACCGCCACCCCAAACTTGACTTCCCCCTCATCCTTGACTTCCATAACACCCCGCTCAAACCCCTTAATCTCCCTCTTCGTGCAAACACGGACGTCTCTGCGACGGAACTTCTCCATCGCGTACTCGCTCAATTTTTCTCCGAATTGGCCGAGCATGCGATCCGCAACATCGTATACGGAGATCGTGGGAAGGCCTTGGAGATCAGGATAGATCCTCAGCAAATGGCCATGAACCAACTCATCAATCTCAGCTGCAAGCTCCACACCCGTCGGCCCACCCCCAACAATAACGAAATGCAGCAGCTCCTTCTTCTTTGCCTCCTCATAAACTGGCAGACTTGCCAATTCAAAACAATCCAATATACTTTCTCTCAGCCTCATCGCATCCTGAACAGACTTCATCGTGAGACAGCAATCCAGCACTCCAGGCGTGCCAAAGGTATTCGTTTCGCTCCCAGGCGCTAAGATCAATGTATCATAGCCTATCTCAAATTCTCCGTCCCCTTCGTGCCACTCCCCACCCTCCCCCTCTCTATCTTTCTCCCCAGGCACTCCATCAGCAGCAGCGAGCCTCGCATTCCCATTACTCCCCACCACAGCTCTACACCAAACTCTTCTCCCCCCAAGATCCACCCGCTCCACCTTCACCTGATACTTCACTAGCTGCCCCGCGTTTCCCAACCGTCTCACCGGCTCCTCCGCGATCCTGAAGTCGAAGATGCCGCATGCTGCTGAGGCGAGGAGGGGCGTGAGGGCCATGGTGCGGTGGGGCGAGAGGAGGACGATTTGATGGGTGGTGGAGATGGGAGAAGAGGAGAGGCGTTGGGCGAGGGTGAAGCCTGACCAGCCGGTGCCAAGGATGAGGATCCGAGGCTTCGCGGGTAGAGGAGGGGGAGGGGAGGAGGATGAGGACGATTGTTTGGAGTATTTTGAAGGGGTTGATGCGGAGGAGGTGGAGAGGGAGCATTTAGAGGACGGTGGTGAGGTGGGTGCTGGTGAGGAGCGGAGGGAGGAGTTTTGGGAGCGTGTTGTAGGTGCCATTTTTCTTCGTATGGAAAGGTAACATGGATCAAATTGCTGTCTGATATAAAATGGCGAGCTCGAAATACCGGAATAATAAAGATCTTGCCTTCCCGGGTTGATGGTAGACGTCGAAATGGTGGAGAGGAAATAGGTCAGCCTCGTCTGCACGGCTTTTGAAGCAGAGGAAACACTAAAATTACGCAAGGCAGTTTCAGCTCTGGACATCACAGGAACGCAACCCGATTCTTGAGACACGGAGAATGAGTCGAAGAAAGAGTAGTAATCACGATTGGAAATTTCTCAGAGGTCGAAGGAAACTTAATCCATTAGCCTCGTCGGTCGAAAGTCCTGACGGCATCGACACTTCTTAGCCCAACTAGCGAGATCAGGAACACAACGATCGGATTGACCAATGCAGTTCGATTTACATGGGGAATAGTGACACTAAGATGAACAAGGAATGGAACGAAACTTCGAGGCTGCTATGAAGACTGGGGGATTGCTCCCTGGGATCGCAAACGTCCTCGTCATATTCAGTCACGTGCGATCGACTGGACCACAGGCTATGTCATACAGGCTTTATTTTCCTCCTTACCTAGCTCTCTCAGTCCGGAGGTCCTTAGACTCTAACGGACACATGTCAGAAGGGCTACCGCCACATAACGCCCCTCCTAAATCCCGAGTTCGCCAGCAAAGTAATCCCGCTCCAACGCAAGCGATGCTCGACAACATGTACCAAAATCGCACAACATTATGCCAGATATGCATACGTAGAAACCTCCGCACCCTCAACTCGCTCTAGATACTCCCGCTCGATCAAGCTCTCCACTCGTCTCTTCATCATGCCAACGTCTGGCTTAAATCGTGTTGCCAGTTGGCCAATGACCTCGCTGAATAGGTGGGTGTGGGCGAGGGTTTTCCGTGCTCTGAGTTTTGTTAGCGTTTTCAAAGTTATGAGAGTTGAGGAAACTTACTTCATAATCCGTACAATCACAGTGTCAATGACGTTGCCTCTGTGCTCGTCATTTCTGTCTTCGGTGTCCTTGCGCTCTTCCTCTCCTTCAACTCTATTTACTGCTCCCAGCATTACAGGGGCCTTGATCTTGACGGCCTTACTAGTGAAGCTCGCGTTGAATCCGAACTTATCTCCCGGCTTTGGAAGGTCTTTATTCGCAGGATCCTTGGTCAGAACCTTTGCCTTGGGATTGACAGCCAAAGTGTGGAGGATGCGTGCAAGGTCCTGAGGGGGAATGTTGGTGCGAGACTGGATTTCCTCGAAGGATAATGTCTCGCCTTCGGCGAGGTCATTGAACAGAAGGAGGACAACCATTCCGTATGTAGGGACGTTAATCTCATGTCGTCGCTCACGACTCAGAATGCCCTCCTTTCCAGGAATCTTGGGGAACACACAACGCATATCGGCACTACCAAGGAATCCCAACCAGGTCAACATTCGACCATTCCGCTCCTTGAGGTAGAAGGCCTTGAATGACTCCTGAAGAAGATGAATCTCGTTTGGCCAAGTGCAGGGTATTTGGGTTCCATCGTCACGCCGCGAGTTGTTACCACCCATTGACTCCATCGGCCAATAATTCGTGGTCAAGACATTGATTCCTAGATCGATTTGCTTTCTGTCGAGATCGCCAAGATTCTGGATATGAGTGCGGTAGCCGGATGTGAGATCTTCGGACATGGTCATATCCTTGAACATGCCCTCGAGCTTAGTGGTGAAAGCGTTACCTATCTCGAGTTTCATCCTCGAAATCATTTGTCTCTCAACATCTGCGCTCTCCGACTTGCCGTGCAGTAAGCGGCGAGCCAAGTGCTTCTTGTAGTACCTCTCAAACATATCCTTATCCTGGATATATCGAAGAAGCGTCGTCGCCTTGTCAAGTACGGCATCAATCTCCGCTTCAGTCTTGCCCTTGATGCCACCCTTGAGATTATTGTCGATAAATAGCGAGACATACTCAGAGCAACGGGGGAACTCGTTGATGAAGTCGGAGAAGCTCTTTGTAAGTGCGGTCTGTAGAATGAGATCTTCATTCATGCACTTCTTCCACATACTATCGAATTTATCTTTCAATGTCAAGACATCATCCACCCATCGTATGGCAGCTGCTGTTTGCTTGGCCGCAGCAGATTGCTGCCTTGGTGCCTTTGACTTGTCAGCGCCTTCAGCTGCTTCGCCATCCTCAGCTGCTCCGGCGACATTTGAGAAATCCGTATTGATGATCATCTTATTGATCTCGGATCCTAGTTCTCGGACTCGTTCTGATAAAGCCTGCTTCAATGGCTCCTTGGATTGGTCGACTCGTGAGATCAGTTGGTAAAGGAGGGTCAAGTCTTCGTAGCGATCGTTCTCAATCATTACCTTAATGCCACTACCCTCCATAGCAAGAAATTCGGACAGACGACTACTGATCATCTCAGATTCAATGACCTTGGCAATCTTCTGAGAAGTGAGCATCGATATTGTAGTTTGCGTCCGAGTCTCCTCTTCGATCAGTCGCTTCTTGGTCTGTCGCAACCAGGTGCTGGCATCCGAATCTCGAAGTAAAGCTGTGCACTCCTTCTGGTAAAACTCTCTGCTGGCGTTTAGGAAAGCGGGCTCAAAGGTTGTGATATACAACTTTTCGGACTCGTTCTCTTCGTCAGACTCATAAAGACCCTCTAGCATATAAACGCATGATCTGACGATCGCCTTATTGATCACATCTCCGTCTCGTTCCATACGAACCATGTCAAGGATAACCGAGTTCAAAATGTCGAAGGTTGTGAGGTCCGAGCCGGTCAGTTGTGAGCGGAGGATGTGATCTCGGAAAAGGCCCATCGATGTCGTGAAAATCGAGGCTTTGCGATTGTCCGTACAATAAACTCTGTCCATGTACATCAAAACGTCCGTGGTCATGTTCATGGTTGTGATGTGGTCCTCCCATGATGTCTTGAGGCCCTTCAGAAACTCTTCTCCGGTCATTCGCCGCTCATTGGCCGTAATACCAGACACGCCGCCGAGGGTGTTATTGACCAGGTTGGTGGTGATGAGAGTGCGAATCTTCGGCATTACAGAGGTACCGAACCATTGCTCCTCGAATTCCTTGACCCGGTCATAGAGCTTGTCGCCTTGCTTTTTCAGGACGATTTTGTAGGAAGCTCGGTAAATTTGTTCGAAGGATAGGGTGGAGGCATTTTTTGTGTGGATTTCTCGCAAAGCTGATCGCAGAATATCCCACTGCGTTTCAAAATCGCCCGCATCGCTACCGATCATGCCCTGCTCAGAATAACTGTTAGCTATTGTCTTACTAAAGGATTTCCTGTAAGAAAGTCTCGAGCAAGAGGAAAGGTGACACTCGAGAGCGTGAAAGGAAACTGACATCGCCGCCGAGGCTCTCCTGTGTTGCATGGTCAAGAGCGCTACTAAACGAGGCCTCAGAAGCCATGATTCAAGACTTTCGAATGCCTCAAGAACTGGGCACAGTAGGGAGAGGGTGTGGTGTTGAGAAAGGAAGTTGTGGAAAGGAGGGGTTCAAATGGTGGGGTGGAAATTCACAACCTACTCTTCTAGGCGGCCTGATCTTCCCTCCCCCTCGCCCTCGTCCAGAAATCATCTTGTCACTTGTGCTTCACCCCGGTGTCTGAATAAACCTTCCCCAATACCAAAACACGAATATGGCGCGTCGCTTTGTTCGTTGTGGGCTACAAGGCTGTCGACGTTGCCATGCTTGCGTTTTCTGTGTTTGTCGAAGGTTTCGGTTGTCGAAGAGGGGAGGAAGCAGATCTGCGGGAGAGATTTATAAACGAATATCGTCGGCGTAGATAATCCGGGGACCGACGATGTCAGGTCGGGGGGCGAGGTGAATGTTCAACGATTCACTGTTTGTTTCGAGGTTGAAGGTGGAGCCTATCAATATCTCGTCATGCAGGCCTCGGTCCGTCTTTTCTCCATATGGCTAGCCGGGTGATTTTGCCCCATATTAGCTTTTGGAGGTTTCGCCGCCTCGCCAACTTGAGAGGTCCAGCGTCAACATCGACAATTTCTTCCTCATACCACAACATAATCCTTCTTTCTGATTGTACAAAAAGAGTCACATAATGCCACCAATACCGACCCCCCTATCCGCTATGCGGACATTCTCCCTTTTCTCGAGACAAGCCTCCAAGTTTACACCTCTGTCAACCCGAAGACCACTACCTGTACAACAGCTCTCGTCCATCCGCTTCGCACGTTCCTCATACTCGACGGAAGCCTCTCCCTCGCTAGCTCCTCAGCCAAAAGTAAAGTCGAAACCACACGCCCCTCCCGCGACCAGGCGACCACCACAACCAGAATATGAGATGACTTTTACCTGCAAGCCATGTTCGACGCGGTCTACACATCGAGTTTCGAAACAGGGGTATCACTATGGCTCTGTGCTTATTACTTGTCCCGAGTGTCGAAATAGACATATTATTTCGGACCATTTGAACGTCAGTAGAAGCTGTTGGGCGGCGAGAGGAGATGCTAATGGAGATAGATATTCGGAGATAAGCATATGACGATCGAGGATTTGATGAGGGAGCGAGGGCAGCTGGTGAAGAAAGGGACCTTAAGTGAAGATGGGGACTTGGAATTCTGGGAAGATGGGACCACCACGAAGCGGAGGAAGGAGAAGGGTGCGCCGGCGGCTGGAAAGGAACCGGGGGAGAGCGAGGTCAAGGGAATCGAATGAAAGGCTCCGAAACCACAGCAAGGACGATAGGCCGGGATAGATGTGCAACAGATATAAGATTCTAGGTTTGTTTGGATTTAGCGGCATGATAGACGGCGTTTGGACCCCACTGTACTAGGACGAAGCTATGGCTGTAGGAATATCAGAGGCCAACTCTCAGGACCTCCGAAACAGAGACTTAGAAAGCCACGATGGCGAACGTCACTCCAATAACCGAGGCGCTGAATGATCTCGCAGGTTTGGTACAATAAAGTCCGCCAGGCTTGAATGTTCCAGAAACTTAGCACAACGAATATTCTAGCGTATTTGGTACAATGAAATCTCCGGCCGGGCTTGAATGTCCCAAGGAATTCTGGTACACCGAACTACAGCAAGGCTTGAAGGCCCGGCGGTTTCGTCTCTACTCTTCTGCTAATCATCCCTTCTCTATGCTCTTTCATCCAATTTTGCCATAGGCATTTGACAAGCGCCCCATCCTCGACAACAATACGAGCGAAAATCTGCTTCATGCACCCTTCCTCTTCTCCTTGCCTTTCGCCAACCGTTCTCCTAGGTTGGCATTCACTCTCTTGCTCTGTCGTCCCTTGTCACAGGTTGAATCGTCTGACACTGACCGCAGTGAGGCGGCCGTAAAAGCAGAAGATATCGCGATGAGAAAGAATGTCTTGGAGAAGGTGGCTTTTATACTCAAGAGCCCCTGGCTGTTTACCGCTACCGCTTTCTTGTTTTGTACCGTCTGAAAGCGGACTAGTGTTGTCACGTGCTACGCACAGGCCACACATAGGCCTATATATAGCTATTTCCCCGCCTTTAGGGCACCATCATTCCTTACTATTATACCAATATACACCCATATTATCCCCACAGCCCCTTCAGGCCTTGACAAGTGTCAACAGCAACGTATTGATGACAGTGCTTTTTTTTTAACACCTGCCTCCAAAAAAGTAATACTGCGCAAAGTTCGATTCACCAACAAGCAACCTTTGCGACTGGTTTCTCGGCTCGATTCGTAGATGCACAATTCTTGCGTTATTGAAGAAAGAGCCCTAGATGATGAATTGGGACTGTCTCTCGAGCAATCGACTTTGCAACCTCCCCAACATGGAGCAGAAGTGTTATTATATCTTCTCTCTCCAGAGAACTGAAGCAACATTCCTAGTCTATTCAGAACATTGCCTACCACAACTCCACTCCACTCCCTTTCTCAACCATGCCACCATGCCACAAGATCTAGTGGATACTATACTACAGGCCCACGTTATCTAGACTTCCCTCCTAGTTCTTTTCCGCATCTTTGTCATAAAAACTCGAAGCATGAGAGCGCACGTGACATTTCATCCTCTCATTCATGGCAGCGAGTCAAACATTCAGAAGAGAGATATTACAGCACGCCATTGCAACAATACTCCAAGACGGTCCTTGATTGCTGCTTTATTACTTCCAGCAACACCCCGAGCTTTGCTCTGGAGACTCTTGAAGTTGACAGTCATTCCAAGAAACCACAGCTCTCTTCACGGTCACGCTGAGCTTCCCCAGGAAAGAGAGGGCCTCTAGCAGTTTATCAAAAGTTTACTTGACAGGAATGTCTTCCCTGATAGCTATTCATCCTATCCCTAACATTGGGACAAACTTACCTGCCAGATCCTTAGCCTAGAGACGAGCTTCAATTCGATTATCAAAAATGAGGTGCTCAACCATTATAGAAAAGTACTTGGGGGCCTGGCCATGGGGTACAATAGTTTCTACTACTCTGTCTATCTGCCATTGTACAACTTTGATTGCAAAATCGGGTTATGGGGACTGTCGGATATTTCTAGATCGCCTCGAGTATTCCGACCTGCATAAGGTAATGCACTCTTCCGTCCGTTCCACAGCAGCAACGAGCGGCTGCACTTTGCAACGCTTCGGCGGGTCGCAGCTTGCTGAAGTTCACCAAGTTCTACTAGTGCCCACACTCAACTTTCTTTTTGCCAACATCCAACTTGTTTTTGCAGGCACTGCAATTTTAGCTCCCTCGAGGAAGTTCTTGGTGGTCTGAACTCACCACTCAACTCCACAACCACAGCCTCGGCCCCTAAAACCTCAACTCACCAAATTCTCGTGAATTATACCCTCATCATGTCTATCCCTTCTTTCTCCTCAATAATCATGGGGTCCCCCAGGCTTGTTAACAAGTCAAGTGTAAGTATCACGTGATTATTCTCTCACCAATCACAGTGTATTTTAATAAAATGTCAAAAAAATTGTTGCGCAGCTGGGATAGAGATTTAGCCTTAATAAGATTGCGCCTTATTGTGATTTAGTTGTGTTGAGGGGGAGGATTAGTTGGGTGAGCTTTAAGGAGTGTGATTTGATTGGCGTCCAGCTTAAAAGAGTGGATCTTGGTTGGAGCGAGTCTTCTTAAGCGAAAAAAAAATAAAAGGAGCGTGAGGGGGTACTCCTCGAGTCAGACTCTCGGCCTATGAGAGGAATCGGAGAAAGAGTTTGAGTTGAAACGAAGTCTCGCGAAGTAGGAATATGGCTTGTAAATTATATAAAGTTTCAAGGTATCTTTTCTCATTCTCTACAACTCCGCTACCCTCATCACTCGTGCTGATAATGCCACGGAACACCACCAAATGCAAACCAATCAACTCAATACTCATTTCTCCTCTTCGCATGCTCGGCTCCCCTCTCCTTCCTTCTTTCCTTCTTCCTCTCAACCTTCTTCCTTTTCCCTTCGCCAAAGCGCTCCGGCGCGCTAACAGCCTCCACCTTCCGCTTCGCACTCCGCTTCACCCTTCTTTCCTTCACCCCCTCTCTAACCCTCAGTAATGCCTCCGTATACTCCTTCGTGCCAACTTTGCGCTTCAAGTTTTCTATTATCACTTCGCTGCTTGAACGCAGTGCTTCGTACCCGCTCTTGAACAAGTCGTCGGTGGAATATGGGATGGGTATTGAGGGGTCTGTGAGGTTTGAGAGCGGGAGAAGAAGTGTTTGGAGACTTAGGATTAGAGTTTCTGGTGTGAGTTTTGAGGTGAGAAGCTCCAGTAACTGCAGTGCGGAGGTCTTCGGTATCAACGCCGGTGCACGAGGTGGTGAAGTTTCTCTCCTCAAAATGAAACTCAGTCGTCCGAATAAATACTGCAGAGCCGTCCGCTCCTCCTTTTCAGCTTCCTCCTCGTCATCTTCATCGGATTCAGCATCCTGCGATGTGCCCCATTTCAAATCGTTGACCCCTGCGCAGCGACCAAGGAACACGAGATTCTTCACGATTTCATCTGCAAGGAGCTGCGTGAGACCGGGCGTCTTGAACATATGTGCCGTGCGACGGATTAAGTCCCTGATGTCGTCATCACGGAGTTTGAGACCACCAGATCCTTTGAGTGGGAGACCTTCGAGGCCAGACTCCATGTTTGTTCGTGCGAAATCTGCGAAGAAGCTGCCAGTAAGGCGGGCAGCGGAGAGCTTGACCCATGCATGAGGGTATGAGAGGCAAACTCGGATCGCGGACCAGAGGCCTTTTGTCTTTGGTGAGAGGAGAGTGTCAGGGAATTTCTGGACCAGGATAGAGGCTAATTGAAGTGCGGCGTAGATCTGCTCCCAGTCCGAGTCGCTATTCTCTGCAGTATTGATGGTAGATTGAATGCAGTCCAGAAGGATTGCCACATCGCTGTCATCAGTATCGTGCGAGTCGTAATAAAATCCGTAGATCTGGAGTGACAGTCTCACCACTGATGGGTTGTCGCTTTCCTTGATCCAAGACCGAAGGAGAGCCAGGAAATTATTTAGTCGTTCTTCGTCAGCTTTCTTGAATATCTGTTTGATAACCTCGCCGGCTGCCATGCGGCACTTCTCGCCGTCATCGTTGGCGAGAACAAATATCAAAGGCACAAACATTGTCGCAGAGACTTCTTGAACGAACTCATCCGATGACTTGGAAAGCAGAAGATGGATGACTTCGAGAATTGACAATCGTCCTCCTTCTTGCTCATACTTCAGGTTTGCAATGATGAATGCAAGCTGCTTTGACCATCGATTTTTCTTCTGTGGATAATCTCGAAGGAATTGGAAGTATGCTCCACGAGCTAGATCTCGCGTATCCTTATCCGGATTCGTGACCATCACAGTGCCAACGTAATCAAGAGTATCATAGACCACGGCGGTCTCGACTTTGGAATCCAAGACTGCTCGTAGGAAATTGAACGTCACATGACGGCGCTCAGGCTCAGTCAAGTCATCTTTGAGTCTTGACAGCAATTCGTCGACAGCGGTATCCTTGACTGGTACGTCTGGCCTATCTCGAAGTACAACTGAGATCAGCTTCAAGGCACCTTGTGATACGTCGGCAGCAGTTGATAAATTTGCAGAAATAGACTTTGTAGCTTCGGCAGCGGCGACTCGGTAAAGGTTTGTGCCGTCGCTGGCAACTTTTAATGGTACTTTGACAATAGTAGTGAGCAGGCGGAAGGCAGCAACTTTCACTTCGTCCTCGGCCTGGACCACAGCATCGCCAAGTATAGGAATGAAACCCGCCAAGTTGCTCGCGGTTCTTAGATTGTCGCATTTCTTCAGAACCGATCTGAGGACGTCGAAGGCAAATCGCACCAGTTTGTAGGTGTAGACAGTCGTGCTTCCTCTCTCGCCAGCCCTTTTAGCGCCCTTCTGGATAAGGTACTTCTTCAATCGGTAATCATCTTTCACTTTCTCTTGGGGCTTTTCGCTATTGTAGACATCTTGGATGACTTCGTAGCAGAATATCAAGCTATCTCGGCTTTGGGCAGCTGAATTCTTGAGCAAGCCATTGCAAATTCGATTCAGAAGCTCGTCAATCTTTCTCACCATTCGTAGATTGAGTTTCTCCTTTAGCAGGACTTGAATCGGTCGTACAAGGTCTGTCAGTCGACTTAAAGTAGCTGTCCTGGCAATCAACTCCATCGAATCGTGACTTTTGCTGCTCTTAACTTCCTTCATCTTGCTCACATACTCTTCTGCATCCTTCTCCTGGCCAGTAGCGCCAAAGATATCATCCATGATAATGGCTACTATTGATGGGAGGCAGTAGTCCAAATCTCCAGGGGCGTATTCTGGAGTCGTGGCAACGAGAATCGAATGCATGGTATACGAGAGGACGTGGAGTTGGTAACCTCGAGCTAAAGCACCACGCAACTCCTTGAGAACAAAGCCAAAGCACGACGGGCCGAGCAGCACACATATCTTGGTCAGTGTATCCCGCGTCATATCCCGAGACTCCTGTGCTTTACTTCTCAAAATGTGGCAAATGTCCGTCAAGACAGCGGGCAACCTTTCATTCAACTGTTCTGGAGGCAGAAGTTTGAGAAGCCTGACAATGATGATGGCGACTGGAACTCGTAGACTGACGGTCGATTCATCTTTGTCATGAAGATAAACAGTAAGAGGTGGCAAAATGTTTAACGTGAGGTCGTCGGCAAGCTTCTGCTGCTTTGGCATCGTCCTTGCCAATGTGCTTGCTTTCTTCGGTGCTGCTTCTGTGCCAGGTTCAGATGGTTCTAGTGCTGCAAGAGCCAGGGCATCGATGACTTTGCCAAGCAAACGGATAATCTGCTTCTCGAGTTCTGGCTTTGCTTCAATATAACCGATAAACCGTCGGAGCATTGCCCTATATTGAGGCCATTCCAAGGAACCTGCAAGGATCCCAACAGTTGTTGTGGCTTCAGCAGCAAGATTGTGCGCATCATTCCCCTCAGCCCGATCAAAAATAAAATGCTCGATAGCCGGGATAAAGAAGTGGCCGACATTCTTGCCAGTAAGCTCCCCTCTTTCTGCAGCTGCAGACAATTGTCCGAGTGCACCAGATTGCCGACCCTTCCCAGCTGTCAAGATATTATTGAAGAAGGATGACTCGAGTTCATCCTCCCCAGCGAGGAGACCATGCATATCGCTGACTTCTGACCATGTAGGAAATATGCGGACAAGATGGGCCATAACCTTCAAATATTCTCGCCGAATTACTTCCGATGGTTCTCGAGCCCCTGTAAAGAGGGCTGGCATGAGAATCGACGAAAGCATATTCTTGAAAGCTGTTTGTTCTGACTCCTCGTCGGCTTTGCCAGCTGTATTGACGAATTGACAGATTCCATCAGAGGAGTTTGAGGATAGAATTCCGAATTCCTCGTCATGCCGAATATAATAGAGCATATTGAACAGCAAAGGGGTCCATTGGCGAGCCGTGAAAGAAGTCTCTCTTGGTGTATTGATACTGTTGAATGCCTTCAGTCGTCGATCATAATCAGGCTCATCGAGGCGCCCTTCCACAAACGAATTCAGGTCAACGCAGAGTCCAGCAACGTCACCGATCACAGGATCCTTTTGCGAGTAGACCATGAGAACTCGAGATAGTACCTCACGTGATTGTTTGTCCTTGAAGAATCCGAATAGCGAGGTGACAGTGTTGAAAACTTTCTCCTTTAGATTGTCGTCGTTTTGCAGCTCATATAGCGGGACAAAGTGTTCAAGAGCGAGTAGTAAACCACCTTTAGTTTTGGGACTAACACGGCGTGAAGGTTGATCGAGTAAAAAAATTGAGACATCTACCAGGTTCCTAGCCTGAGATGAAGTTGTGACAAATGGCGCAAGCTCGGATACTGTTTCCACAGAAGCTTCAAGGAGATCTTTGCTTATATCATGTTGGCCTCGAAGGACACCACCAATTTGAATCAAAAATTGGTCCATATTGGGTGTGAGCAGTTCTTCCATGACCTTTCCTGCAATCTCGCCATAGACATCTTGCTGAGCCAATTTGACAACATTCTTGATGATATTCAAGGCAAATAACTTCACTTCATCTTTCGATTTCTGAGGTGCCAAACATTCAGCGACTTTGGGTAGAACCTGTTTGTTGCAACCCATGAAGAGGGCCATCTTCTCTGAGGCAGACCACGTTGAGATCAATTTGAGGATGACTGACACGCCTTGAGCAGTCTCAATCGGAAGATTGTCAAGTCGAGGTGAGATAATTTCTTTGTTGATTGTGTTGATGTAGGGCAGCCATTCAAATTCTAGAGCATTCGTGAAGAGAAGAATTAGACACTTCAAGCCAGTCTGGCGGACAACTTTGAGCAAAGACGTCTGACTGGTCTGATCATCTGTTTGCTCGATCTCCTGGTGGTCATCTTCCAACTGTCGTGACGCACGAACGATGCAATAAAGCACTGGATCCAACAATTTCATCGTAAAAGGCGTGATTTTAGTGCCAAGCTCCTTCAGTACGCCCTGCATCATATGGACGAATCCGACCTGCTTCCTGGCGCTCAAAATTTCTTTCTCGAATATGAAATCTTGAAGCAGAACATTTTGTATCAGAGAGATGTCTCTCAGCTCGCCAAGTGCGATGTCCAAGAACCCTCCAATATCTTCGAGGGCAAGATTCCGCAAAATCGTCAGCCTTCGAGCTTCCATCCCCGCTCTCCCACTTGCTGCACCTTTCCGAGAAATCGACCGGCCATAAAGAAGTCTCAACAGTACGGGCATCAAACTTTCGCGGTGTTCATGCTGAACTAAAGTGTCGCCTTGAAGTAGGATAGCTATCTCATCCTTGAATCTTGCCTCATCCAGCAGATTGAGCAGATTTTCCTCGTAAGGCTTTATGCTTGAATTTTTCCACGTGAACATGGCCTTCAGTGCTGATTTCTGAATTTCGATATCACCGTTGGCAAGGAGTTGAAGAAGCGCATTGTAGACTTCGTCTGCTTTGAAGAGCGTCTTCGTATTCAAGAAAAGTCCAAATAGATCAAGCTGAGCTTTCTGGTCTTTCCTTGTCCAGTCACTTACGACAGGTTCATTATCCTCATCGGTCTGCTCCATTTCGTCACCTGCACGTCCAGCCCATGAGAGGAACATGGGAACAAGCTGACGAGAGCGCTTCTCAGCTATTCCTGGAGCAGCAGAGAGTACTCGAAGGGCTTGCGCTCTCGCTGAGGTCGGCCGGGCAGACACAAGTTCCTGAGCAGTAGCAAAATTGTGAAGCATCGTATCCCGTGCATTGGTAACTTGTGATTGCGCATCTTTCGCCAACTCATCCAATTTCATGAGATTAGAGCATTCGAAATCTGTCAGCCCGTTGTTGTGTAGCTGCTCGACATTCCGGCCGGCACCATCCCATGCCATCGAAGGTTCCTCGAGCCACTCGAAGGCAAGCCTAGTAACAGCTTCTTCACCGTCTTTCGATTCTGCTATTTGCTTCAATGACGCCGATGCGTCTTCCCAAACTTGAGCAAATTTGACAGTAAGCATGCCAAAGCAAAATGCAGGGATCGCTTGTTTAAGCCACGATTTTGGTGCCTGGCTGGGGTACAGCGTCGCGAGCTTTCGGATATGCATCGAGGCAGTGCGTGCGGTTTGCAAGTCAAGCGGCGTTTGCTCAATCATGATCATTGCGGATAGCGCCTCGGAGCTTGAACCGTGATTGACGGCATAGATATGATCCAGGAGCCGTAAAGAAAGAAGTCGTAGATCGTGAGACGCGGTAGAGAGATTTGATATCAGAGAGAAAGTTAGGAGGTCGGAATCGATTTCGGAATCTGAGTTGTTGATGGACGATTCTGTGTTTGGAGTTGGAAATGCCTTGAGACTCGTCTCATAATCCAGCAGAGCTTCTAGAAAATTTGGTACCCGGGCGTATCGTGGAGCAGCTGCTCGTAGCAGTGGCTCTAATGATCGGTCCACCTCACCTGCCCCTTTGGTCATCCTTGAAAAGGCGCTGAAGCCTCGGCCAACAATGAAATTGGCCTCTTCTGGAGCAAGGGAGGAGGAAGGTCGTAGAGCGAGCTTAAGTTTGCGAAGAAGGATTTCCGCTATTCTCGCATTTGTCGATGGATGCACGACTGTGCTATTAAGAACCTCGAGCAGAGCATTGTACTTCGGCAAACAACGATCATGCCAAGTGGCTGGACTGCGGTCGTACACGGCAGGTGAAGCCTGTTCCGGAAAAGGAGACACTTCTAGACGTTCAAACTTGCTGACAATTTGATCCTGCCAGGACTGGGGTAGCGTAAATCCATCTTTCCCATATCTACTTGGAAGTACCCCAGAAGACACCATTTTTGGTAACATGACGGATAAGGTGTCTCCATTATCTGCATCCGACCAATGCGCAACAATGAATCTAATCAGAACATCAATACGATGCGGCTACCTCGAGGCAAACAGATGACATACCGTTGAAAATAGGGTAAAACGATGCTTTTAAATCTTTCCGGTTCCGCATCAGAGATGTACGAGCAAAGTGTGAGGAACCATTTCGCCAAAGGCTCCTTGGTCAAAGAGTCCATAAACGTTGAAATGAAAGGGATCATGGCATCCATGGGGGCGTACTGGAGGGTGATGGCAACGCTATGTATCAGGCCATTCCAAATATCCAGATCAACTTCATGTTGTATAACAAAACCTGAGTGCTTGGATACAACCTTCAAAACATTTGACAATGCTTTGAGAAGCCCTGGCCAATCGCTGATCCGGGAACCTTTTCGAACTCCTGCCACAATGCCAATCATCCGCGAGGAAAGAAGCAGAGAACGGCAAGCACTCGCTTCCTTTGACTCTACGAACGATTCAACTGAGGAATTTGTAAGCTCGATGACAGTTCCGAGCAGTTCTCCGAAAGTGTCCGAACTGCTGTGATGAACCATGCTGGTCAAAACTCCGCAGACGACGTTCATCCATGCTGAAGGCTCTTTCAAGCCTAAGTCCTTTTTGTCAAGGGCCAATACCAAGGCACGGAAAATCGAAGGTCCAGTAGTATGTAAGCTCAGTCCGTTCCCTTTCATAGCTTCCGCGAACATAGTCATTAACCCGTGATAGTACAATCCAAACTCTTTTGTGCCCAACATGCTATCAAGATCTGCTTTTGCATGTTTCATAATAAGAGGCAGAGCGTTCTCTCTTTGTCCAGGTGCTCCTGCTTTTTTGACCAAGAAACTCATAGCCTCTCCCGCAAAGCGTGCAATGTGGGGTCGTTGTCGGTGCTTTCCCAACAGAGGGGCCATTAAATCATATGTAGGACGAAGATCTGGCACGACAAGCTTCGACAGATACTTGAAAAGAAATGCCAGGCTCGTAAAACTCCATTCAATGACTTCCACATCTTGAGGCATACCTGCTATCGAGGTAATGAGTTCCAACGCATTCGAAAAATGCCTTTCAAATCGCGGTCCCAAATCATGTGCAAAATCTGTCATCAACTCCAGCAAAGGTTCCACAGACTCTCTCTGCTTCTTCTCAAGATATGTGACCAATATTTCCATAATCTTGTCCTCGAAATGTAGAATTTGTGGTAGGCTGTCGCACATTGGGAGGACATCTTGGGTGAAGCTGATAAAGCCCTCCGACATATTAAGTTCCTGCCATTTCTCCAATCCCGTCCTAAAATATGATGTATTCGTAGAGAGGTCTTCGGCGTCGATATCATGGCGGCGAACTCTTCGTATCGGGTCGAGCGAGTTTAACTTCGAGATTTTTGTGGTGAATGATTCCCATCGGTGATTTTTGTGGTGGGCAGTGCCTTTCTTCACCCTTCGAGTCTTGATAATCCGACCTGAGGCATTGGCCGGCATGTTGAATTGGTTTTTCGTGAACTCGCAACGAGCTCATGAATACGTTCGTGGAGAAGATTTCACTGCAGTTCACAAAATAATTCTCAAGGCGGGGAAGGCAGAGCAGCAGAATCGCTTTTTATGGCTAGCGCGGAGCTAAGATAGAGCTCTCTCGATAAGCTTCGAAAAACCTCGTCGCGTCCCGCGAACCACTTCACAACACCACTACCAATTTGCTTTGCATTGCTCTGCCTCGACGCCTGGTACTGAATCGAACCATGGCGTCCAAGGTGTTGGTGTCTTCTTCTATTTAGATTTCCCCTCCTCTTCTTTGCCAATTCTAGGAAGCAAGCTAACATCTCACAGCATTGTCCTCGGCGACGTCAATGGGCAATTACAGGCCGTTTTCAAGAAGATCTCGACTCTGCATGAGAAGAACAAGTTCTCCCTTGCTATTGTTGCGGGCAACTTATTCTCTGGAGATGACGACTCCGTCTCCGACCTCCTGGCTGACAATATCTCTATTCCACTCCCGACTTACTTTACCGTTGGCACAACCCCTCTACCTCAGCGGATCATTGACAAAATCGAGAAAGATGAGGAGGTAAGTATCCATTCACTTGTATTCTTTTACTATCCCGACTGACTTTCAACAGATTTGTCCCAACCTCCACTTTCTTGGAAAGCGAAGCACGACCAAAACTTCCGAGGGCATCAAGATTGTTACACTCGGTGGCAGACTCGACGAGACAATAGTTGGAGGCCTGTCAAAAGAACAATATCTCCCGTTCCATACAGTTGGCGATGCCAAAGCTCTGCATGGTGCGAATTCGGCCGACATTCTACTCACTACCACATGGCCAGCCTCCATCAGGAATGGCTCGAAGATCCCATTGGCGGAGGGCGTAATGCTTCCTATAGGACAGGAGCATATCGCCGATCTTTGTGCTGCCCTTAGGCCCCGGTACCACTTCTCATCATCCCTGGACAGCTTTTTCGAAAGAGAGCCCTTCTTTCACAGTCCTACAGCGGACACACCTGATGTCAAGCCAGTCACTCGATTTATCTCTCTCGCAGCCCACGGCAACTCGAAAAAGCAAAAGTCTCTCTATGCATTCTCCCTTCCATCTTCTGTTGACACTACGGCGCCACTGCCTACAGGTACCACAATATCTCCACTTCTCCGACCCAAAAAGCGACCAACTCTCGACCCTGAGCCTTATTCCAGGTATGGGAACCACGACGGGTATCGAAATAAACGAGGCAAAGGACATCGAGGCCAGAGGCAACCTCCACCGGGTCCCGGAGAGTGCTTCTTCTGCCTTTCTAATCCGAATCTAGCGACACATCTTATCTCTTCGATTGGCGATGACGCCTATCTCACGATTGCTAAAGGCCCACTAACCACATCTACAACATATTCTCAGCTTGGCGTTGACTTTCCCGCTCACGCCCTCATTATCCCCCTGACACACTCACCCACTCTCGCACTTATCACCGAAGAAGACAACGCCAGGGAGAAGACCTTCGTCGAAATGACCAGGTTCAAGAAAGCCCTGCAAGAAATGGTCGCCGAGCGCAGCAACAACAAATTAGGCGCAGTCACATACGAGATCAGCAAAGCCAACGGTGTTCACACTCACTGGCAATTCATTCCCATGCCCCAGGAGACGATCAGCAAAGACTTGGTCGAAGCTGCGTTCCGCGTTGAAGCCGAAAATCTATCTTATCCCCCCTTCCAGACTCGAGATCCCGGCATCGGTAAAGACGACGGCGATTTCTTCCGGGTCTGGATCTGGACGCCGCCGAGCGAGGAGAAGAGCGAGGGTAGCACCAAATGTCTAACCATGCCCTTCGATGATAGCTTGCGATTCTCGCTCCAATTCGGCAGAATCGTGTTGGCGAAGTTGTTGCAGCTTGAGAAGAGAACCCAGTGGAGGGATTGTGCGCAGTCGGAGGAGGAAGAGAAGAAAGATATCGAGGCATTCAAGGCGGCGTTTAAGGAGTTTGATTTTACGCTTTAGGATAGGGGAGGTTGGATACCCAAAAGTCATGGTGGACGCATTTACGGAGTTTGGGGGAGCGGCATATGAAGTTCAGAATATCATTGCGGTCTTGAGGACTGGTACGGCCGCATGCATTAGATTTACAAGCTCAGCGCGCATATTTGCTGGACGAAAGCTTCGTTCGGTAAATTAACAGTGTTATCTTACATTTCCTTTGCTTCGATTGCTACTTATTGTGAGTTGGCCAAGGAGTTTGCTCTACCTTCAATTCAGGAAGTCTTCCCGGTGCCGGTGTTCAAACCCCCCAATGTTCCAGGAGGACGTAACACATTACATCGCGCCTATACCTAGAAATTAAGAAGAGAGCTGGGTGAGAAGACCATGCTGTTTGTGTTCTACAAGATAATGTTGGTACATTGATCCACACATCCGACATCACAAACTCAGCCTTACCTTCACCTTCACATCTGCTTGTCCTTCCACCACTGATCCTTAATCTCCTTTGCCTTCTCCTCCGAATGTACGGCCCCCACCCTCACCCAATCGGAACCCGGCTCTACAGTCCGCCATTCCTTTGGGTGATCTGGACTTGTGAAGTCGCCAATGAGCAGCGGTGACTTGATGGACGGCAGCTCGATCGATTGCCGCCCGAGATCTGCCAAGGGTTCTTGTCCTGATATTGTGAGGCCGTTTCGAGAGCCTGGCTCGCGGAGTGAAGGGCGGAAGAGGTGCGCGAGGTGCGGGTGACTGGATTGAGATATGAGGGGCTGAGGGTGTGGGCGTGGTTGCTGTTGGTGAGGGGAGGTGTGAGATGTTTCATTCAAGCTTGAGCCATTGAGTTGCAGTATTGATAGAGGTGCCGGAGCTGGTGCAACCATCGATGGTGGCTGTTGTGATTCGCGGTGTGGTGGCGCCTGCATAATGACCGTGAGAATTCTTTGTTCCGCCCATATTTGGGCCATTAAGTTGTTGTATTGGTACGTGCGCTTGAGCCGGAGTGGGAGTTGGCTTCGTTTGTTGTTGGTAATTGAGAGGTCTCCATTGTGGTTTCGACTGGTGTCTGCCGCCGTACGGGTGGTGTCGCTGAGATTTTCCCTTTCCCATTCCTAGGCCACGAGCACCCCGAGAACTCAGTGGCCCAGCTATGGCTGGTACACTGATCTCTTGATGTGGCGGCAAGAAAGTCGGCGGTAGCTGTTGACGTCCAAAATCCGATGCTCCACCCATTCCCGGTACATAGGACTGCTGCAATGGAAGGATTGGCTGCGAAGATGGCGATGGCTGCATTGCCAATGACCGTTTGCCGCTCATACTACATACGTCCTGCTCCTGCGGTTTAAAGTGGAAGCCCGCTTCAGCAGCGAACCATGCAGTGACCTCCTCGGGTCTCATGTTTGGGTTCTCCTTGCGCTTTGCCCTCATCTGCCCTATTTTAGGAACCGTTCCATTCTCCATAAGATTGTAGACCCTCTGCTCTACAATGTGTTTGTTAAATGAATTGTCTGTATTGAGATTCCGCTTTAGATGTCCTTGGGCGACCTTTTGGTTCAGGATGTAGGCGAGATCCTCGTCCGTCTTGGGACCGTCGAGCTTGGTGCTCAAGTGAACGATGGCGAGGAGAGCAATCGTTTCTTCTTGCGTCCATCTTTCCGGGGTCATGTTAAATATTCAAAGTTTTGTCTCGAAAAGAAGTCAAAAAATCTCGACCAGAACATTGTAAATGGCAACAGAAAGAACCGCCCCTCACCCCTCCACACAGTATTTATTACCCCTCCCCTCCCACTCGCCTCTTGCATTATCCCATTGATTCACGTTCCCCTCACACACTCGTCAATAATCCCATGAATCACATGCGACACACCTTCCTCCTCGTGAATCATGCCTCACCCCGCCCCCTTTTCTCGTTTCTCGCTTAACATCTAGCGAGAGGAGCCACCTACCCAATGTACGTACCTTTGAGAGGCGGAGGGGCACAATGAGAAATGAGAAATGGAAAAGGGTCGGAATGGAATATACCATGAGTGTACCAACGACCATTCCATTGCAGAATAGAAATTAATCCATTAACTTTTTCCTAATGTACTTTCCATGCTCATATTTATTCTACCCTCCTGCGAGCACCCCTCGCCTCTCCTTGATGCCAACAACTAAGCCAAGACCCCACTAAGCGGCAAATTTCTACTACTGGCCCCAACATACACCTTCTTCGGGTAATTACTAATGACCCAGTTCTGGCTAACTGTGTCCCAATTACTGATATCTCTGCGCGTGATATCGTATGAGAAGGTTCCGGATTCGCCGGGAGAGAGGATCAGGTCGTCGAAACCGCGTAGGACGATCTTCGGATCAGTGGGGCCGCCGAGGGAGATATACTGTCGAGATTATCAGCGAGAGGTTTTGAGGGAGAAGGAGAGGGAGGTGAGGTGAGGTGAAGGATGGAAGGGGAGAAGGAGACTCACAAGTTGAGCGATCTCTGTTCCTTTTACAGATCCAGTATTGGTTACGGTCGCAGAAACGGTATACATAACATCCCACAGCTGTCTATTTCCACCTCCTGAGCCACCAGCAGGCACCTTCGGTTGCGGCGAGCCATCTCTTGATCCCGCAGGCCAGTTCTGGGGCAAGCCTGTGGGCACTGGGCCTGAGATGTATGGGTACACGTATTGTGGGACAGCATGGAATCCAGGGGGGAACTCCGCATGAGCAGGATTGTAGTCGATTGTTCCAAACGTTGGCGCAGCAGACGTCATGCCGGTTGTGGGTTCGTAGGGACCTGGGTTCTGCTTGGTGATCTTGAGGTTCGAGTAGGAGTAGGTGGTGTATGAGAGGCCGAAGCCGAACTCGTAGGAGGGCTCGATGCCAGCAGCATCGAAGTGGCGATAGTCGATGAAGACACCTTCCGGGAAGTTAAGTTGGGGTGGGTCTGAGGGGAACTCGTATGTCACGTCGGTGCCGAAGTCTTCACGGGTTTTGCCCCAGGTGAAGACGGACTTGGCTTGGGGGTTGACGTTGCCGTAGAGCACGTCGGTGATTGCGTTTCCGGTTTCTTGGCCTGGAAGACCAGCCCAGAGGATGGCAGTCACGTTGGGGTGTTGTTTGATAGCTTCGACGATGACAGGCCCAACGGTGTGCAGGACGACAACGACGTTAGGGTGAATAGATGCAACATAGGCAATCAACGCATCTCCGCCACCCCACAGCGTGAGGTTCTTTCGATCTCCTTCGTTACCATCGACCGTGATGAAGCCTTCACCGGAATCCGCGTTGGCGAAAACAATTGCAACTTCAGCACCAGTAACTGCTTTTGCCACAGCCGCAAAGTCGTAGTTATTGCTGACGTTGGTATACTTGGATCCGTCATGGGCAGCTTGAGCCTTCAGCGCTGTGTTCGGGGCAATCAGGTAGGGGAAGTTGGCTGTTCCACTACCCCAGCCCATTGCAAGTGTTCCATTGTCACAGCCGCGGTCGCTGCAGGAGTTGGGTCCGCCCGGATTATCATGCGCATCGTATCCAATAACAGCCACGCTCTTGGGCTTGCTGAGTGGCAATGTTTTTTTCGTGTTCTTCAACAACACAGTGGATGCTCCGCCAATCTCTCTGATTAGCTTGGCGTGGTCGTCTTGAACATTGACATGCCAGTTAATTTGCTGGAAGCTCTCGTTGGCTTCGGGAAAACGATAACCATTGGTTTCCAGTGACCATGAATTGAAGTTGGTTGGGACTGAGGCTGTATCTCTGCCGACCTGAATTGACGATTGTATCAGCTTTGCTCTTGACCACAGTCTACGATCAGAACAATATACCTTGTAGTAGGCAGACATGATTCGAACCACCATATCGTCAAGTCTCCATTGAGGAATTGTGCCATTGAGAACAGCCGCTGTGAGGTTTGAACCCCAAAAGGTATCTCCAGAATTGAGGTTCTGGTCGCCAGCCATAGTCATATCAAGGCCGGCCAATGCGGAAGCCACACCGGTATGTTGCGCCCACCAGTCACTTGTCACTGCAAATTGTCAGTATGAAAATGAGCGTGAGAGGCTAAATTTCGTACCAAATCCTTGGAAGTCAAGTTCATTTTTGAGCAAGTAATTGAGGGTGTAACTGTTCTGACAGCCGTAGCTGTTGTTAATCTGCAAGGTTGTTAGAAGGAAGACACGAAACAGTGTAGTTAGACAAACCTGGTTGTACGAGCACATAATAGCTCCTGCGCCTGCCCGTACAGCATCTGCGAATGGCCTATCCACCAGTTAGCTGGAACTATTTTTCCCCCCTTCTACTCACCACATGTAGAGCTCGTGCAGGGTCTTGTCATCCAAGTTGGCAGAGTATGCGAATTCAACAGTGTCCGTTGATTGACGATTTGCCTCTTGCTCGTTCATGATATAGTGCTTTGCACAAGCAATCACGCCAGCATCCTGGATCCCCTGGATGGTCTCCGCCATGGCAACTCCAGTCAAAACTGGATCGGGGCTGAAGCCTAGTAGTGGGCTTAGCTATTCGCGCTCTCACGCCTCAATTGAGTGGCATACCTTCCCAGTTGCGGCCTCCCTCTGGAGCGCGGCCCAAAGGACCAGCCACCGGTCCCAATTGAACATCGATGCCCTTTCCTCTGTGCTCCATTCCCATGGCATTACCACGAGATTTGAAGAGCCTGGTGCTCCATGTAGCTGCTACGTTCACCCCAGCAGGGAATGCAGAGTTGAAGTCCGCTATTTTAGATTAGTATTCTTCAAAAAATGCGTTGAGGGCGGCAAACTTACTGTCACGGACTCCCAAAGGGCTGTCTTGCAGACAGATGCCTGGAAAATTGAGACGAGGGATTGTGCCAGTATTGCCAACACACGGTCCACCTTCCCATCCCACGCCAGTAGTCAAATTTACCTTCTCAAGAAGAGTGAGTTTACTGACGAAAGCTTGAGCTTTCTCGTAGGCATCTGCCCATCCATTGCCGCCACGCATCCACGGGGCTGGATAATAAGGAGGGGAGGACTCATATTGGCCGTTGACAATAGCTGTCAATGCCGCAACGGTTGCAATTGAAGACCACAACATCTTGCTGGTGGTACAGAGTTCAATTGATTGGGGCGAGGGCGTAACCGGCAACACAACGGACCAAGGAGAAAAAACTCTTCGCCTTGAAAAGCGCGTTAGGGCATATATAGTCCGCCGCGCGAAATTTGAGTCGTATTGATCAGACGGAAATAGCTCTTACCTTGAACTTCTCTTGCTTCTCCATGCTGTGCAACTAGAGCAAGCAGAAGCGCCTTGCTTAGTTAGGTTCAAGCTCCACTGACAGTGGACAGCTCAGAGTGCGTCTTCTCCAAAAAGCAAGCTCTCCACACTCCCCAGAAAATTTCCCAAGGAAATTATTACACTGTAGACTGACTGATGTCACAGACACCCTTCTAGGGCTCGGGGGTCCGGGCCTGGGATAGGCCGGGGAGGCACAGGGGAATGCAGGGGCAGGCTCCCCATCAGGGCTGGTCACAGCTGCCAAGTACCGGGGAGAGGACTGTAATCGGACCGAGAGGCTCCTGGACTCAGGCCTGGGTGATCTGGATCTCGCTACCCTGTCCTGGAAGATGGGATGAGATTCAGTACAAAAAGTCAGTTGACGGCCTGTCAGTGGGATACTAAAATTATATAATTTAGGAGCTGTATACGTAATGTCGTAATCCCTCCGAATTGATTATGGTGATATTATCTTGCATATGAGACATCATGTGACCTTAGCCAATTAGAAGCTTCCATTTGGCTAGCGCGGTTTCGTGTTCCTCCCAATAATCAAACCCATTAATTTACTCCCTTCCACGTGACGAATATGCACGATTTATACGCTCTTTTATACAGTGCTTTATGCAATACATATTTGACGACTTGATTATTATATAATCGTAACAATTACAAAACGTGCATCCCTACTGTCAGTTGCCCAAGAGCCTTTGTCGGCCGATATACTGCTGGTCAAGCAAGAGCTTCCCCTCACTTCGGGCCCCCGTCCGCGGGGTCGAGTGCATGCGCCAGGGGCTGCGAGCTTGTTTGACTGGCGGACGGACCCACAGCTTACGTTGGCTGCCTTGCCTAGAGCGAGAAGGTATTCGCACTCGCATAAAGTATACCAGACGACGTCGTGGCTGGTAGTAACGTGGTATTGGATGCGGAGAGAGAGTTGGGAGGGAGTTGAAAGGACGAGAACGCCGAGCCGTGGTCGAGGAGCCACTTTTACGGGCGAGGCGCTAAGAGATCGGCGCCGAGATTGTTCCGCAAATGTGGCTTGCAGCCTGCAGGGCCTGATGGGCTTGATGGGCTTGATGGGCTTGATGGGGCTTGCACGTGACGTGGGGAAGTGAAGCTTGAATACACGTCTCTCTTTCTCGTGCAACTCGACATGATCACACCACACCTCACCCCTGGACGATCTTCTCCTCTTGGGCGTCAGCATACCAAACATGTGATGGCCCACTGCATATCCACTTGGTCGCACAACAACGGCTGCTTTGATGCCGTTGGTGGAAGTCTGGAAGGCCAAAGAGATGATCAGGTCCTCTCCGAAGCAGCCGACCGAGTCATTGTCCCAGACCCAGATTACAACTTCTGCAGTGTTGGTACCCTTAAGTCTGTATGCCATGCTGTGTAAGCTCTGGGGAATTGCAGCTGACCTGTGCCCTAGTCCCTCACCTACACCATCGCATTGTACCCCAGGTCGGGCGGGCCACCCCGCGCAGCTTATTTCGTGTTGTTGACACCGTCCTGGAAAACAGCTTCGACAACTTCGATTGACTAATGCAAGCCCCAACATTTGAATTCGGCCCTCCTCTTGGACACACGGCGTCACCCTGGGCCGAAGGTCTCTCAGCTTTAGCTCCATCGGCCACGGGACGGAAATCTCGTGAGCTTCACTGGGAACTTCTCCGCATCCAGTGGGACCAATGTAGCCGCCAGCCCACAGCCCACATTTGTGATTGTTCCGATAACATTGGTGCAATGGCGAACTCAGTCTAGGGGAGCACATGGTGGCCCGACACGATATTGTTCCATTCCAAGTGGGGACAACGAGGAATCTGGGAAGCCATGCACTCGAGGTTCTGCAATACCCAGAATGTTCGTGAGCTTCACTGGTGCTTTCCCGCACCCAGTGGGATCAGTGCAGCTGTTAGTCCGCAGCCCGATACTGTGTGTACTGTAATCCGAGCAGTCAGTCCCCGGCGAGTCCATGATGGCCTGCTTGATGTTGTTGCATGCCAAGTGGGGACGTTGAGCAATCAGAAAGCCATGCCGCTCAATATTCTTCCATTCCCAGATTATTCATTACCCACGTGGGTAAATGTAACAATCCGTCCGCCGTCGACACCTGAATGTGCTTCATACCTAGGGGGACCGTCTTCGCAACGCTTTCTTATGGAGTGTGCCGAGATACCAACCAGCGTTTGTTTCCACCTGCATAGTTGAGACTTCTTGCTCATCTACTGCTCTTCGTGATGGGGAATGAAATTATTGTATTATGAGACCACGATCTTGAGAAACAACTTGAATGTGTAATTGTCTTCCGAGCACCCCAAAGTGTCCTCCCTTTCTACATAGACAAAATCAGGATGAAGAAGTGCGGTGTTTCTAAGAGACAGCATGCTTTCTCAGCATCAGGCTCTCCTTAGTGAAGAGAAAAGGAAAAGGAAATTATTTGCGTCTCGACCACCGTTTCATGCCCAAGCCTACTTCTCCAAACATTTGTTTCATCTCTCTTTGTCCCCCCTCCCTTTCTGCCCAGAACGAACGAGTGTAATTCTACCTTCCAAGCTTGGAAGGTGAACAGCCAGCAGTTGCCTTCATAACACCTCCTACCGGTCGCCTTCCAAGTTGTCTGTCTATTTCGTTGCATCACTCTTTCGGCCTGGCCGGGACTGCAGATATTTTTCCGTCTCAGTGAGCTTCTCTGGAGCCCGTAAAGTGTTCGGCAACATGAACTCTCTGATTTTCGGGCACCACTTCACCTCCAAATCTTCGGTGTAATTATCCCTTTCGTCGGGATTGTCAAAGGCGTCGATATCAGAAGCAGATATATAGAGAGTCAAATCGAAGTTCTCTTTGACAGGCAGCGTTCGACAAGCTTCAAGCTGCTTCCATGTTTCTGATTTAGATTCGAACTCACGGAGTTGATTATCTCCGGTCCAGATAGTAACAGAGAGTTTATCAAGATTCGATAAAGTTGAGATCGTTCGAAGGTAGTCGAGAAATCTTCGTTGGTCCTCCTTGACATTTAAATCGATAATGTTGTCTCTGAAGTCTAGTGTGAACTCAAAGTGCCTGACTCCGCCCGGCACGGCTGGCCTCTCTTCAAGGAAGCCAGAAAGTAAATCGGGATCGGGATCGAAGTTCCTCATTGTGATCTTGGTCCTTCGCCAAAATACCTCGCCGAACTCCTTCCGAAATTGAACGCTGACATTTGACAGATTTCGGATCAGTTCGAGCATGGACCAATCTTTTGTAAGGCACCAGAACAGCCCGGACTTCCTCGCCATCTTGGGTTTGGCTGACATATGGTAGAGTTTGGTTCGATTCGGGTGTGGCATATTCTCGATACGAAATATTTTTTGCTTCTCAGCAAATTGCTTTCTTTGTTCCTCGTCGCTTACCGAAGACGTAGCCCGTGACGGCGCCCATTCACTCCGGCCACTCTGGTGTTGTTCAAAAGTCTGATTCCACCAACCAGGTGCTGTTATGTCCCTGGGTTTGAACTTCTTGATCTCGATTTCAATGCAGTCATCTCCGCCGTAACAGGGTGCACACAACAAGTCCAAGATCCGATGGCGAACCTCGATGGGAAGCTTGTTGAACTTGAAATGCCCGGATCTAAGATACGAAGTCAGCCCCAACTGTCACGAACCTCAGTTGCTCTCTCAGACCTTTGAAAGCCATCTTTCTCTTTAAAGAGGACATTGTTTGCTCCGTAATCGGGACCCTCTCGCCCTAGGCCTAGTTGGTAGCACCAGTAGAGCTGATCCTTCTCAAAAAGCCGGCCGAAGCAAAAGTCACCATGGCCAGTATTGTAAGACTGTCGCGGCACAACAGTCTGATCCCGAGAAGATTCTGCCGCATTTCCCTCTCGAGCGACCTGCGACGGCGTCTCCATGTGTGGTGGTTCCATGGTCGTGGCAGCCGCCATTGCACGTTGTTGATGTAGATTGGTGACGTGGTCAGAGGGAGATTGAGGAAGGCATGGATGGTATTCTCTATTCGCAAAATGGCTAGTTAGGTGGGTGGGTAGGGTTCGGGCCTCTCGCTAAGGTGAATGGATTCCGGTGAATTCACGTTCAAGTGAAAGGTGATGTGCTGTGGTAAAATGACATCGGCTAAGGGCATGATTTTCAAGCTGGCCTGCAGCGGGAAGTTAGAGAAGAGTTGGATAGTGAGGCAAGACACACTTGAGCTTCACTCCATATTGTTCCAGACTCAGTGAATGCAAAATAGGATGCCAAAAAGTCTGCAACCAACTCTGGCAATTGTTCCACGCACAGCAGGCACAATGAAGAAAGCAGCCGACAGTTACAATTGTTTTTCTGCTTTGCTTTTATTGCATTTGAATATTTGTACAAAGAGTGGAACAAGTACACCTTCTCCGCCTCTTAGTGTTCTGCGCTCCCCTCGAACAATCTGAATCGAGAACTTTATGCATTTTCCATTTTCCATAATCCATACTGCCTCACTGTTCCCTCACTGCTTGATTGATCCAGCCTTTCACTCCCTGAGAGTTCTCGCAGTATATCCATGGCAATGCTCTATTCCATTTGTTTGGGCGCCACAGGTTGCACTGCTCTCAAATTTCTCGTCCCGCAAGGTGTTTGGGGTTAGCAGATCAAGGACTGCTGGCACGTGTTCGTCTCTTCGTCAGGGACTTCGAAAGAAGCATTGTCGCAAAGGTCGAGTGTGACTTCCATGCTCTTCATGGTTTTGTATATTGCCCGTCGTTCGCTGAAAACTCCTGGAAGAAAACCAAGGATTAGGGCATCCTGAACCTCGACGCGAGCTTTTGACCAGAAAGAGTGTCCCAATATTCGATGCAACTACCTACTGATTTGAGACAAGTTTCTCAAAAGTTCGGATATCGCCTTGTCTGATGAGAATCCAGCCTTGTCCTTAAAGGCATGGGCTTCCATTAGCATCCCCGCTCTTGATTATCGGCAAGAAGTGCTTGGAACTTTTGGTCTTGGCGGCAGTCATTCTCTTGACGCTGCTTACATGCCATGATATCGGACTTGATCCCTAAACTATATACCAATTCGAATTTTCGGCATCGTCTTTCAGGTGCTGAGTTTGGTAGGCTTTGATTTGTTCCTTCAAGCCGTGGTATCTACGCGCGTAGCCATCGTAGTCAATCTCAAGCCGAACATGAACTGTGCAGTCTTTGGGGTCGAGAAAAGGGGCAATGAGGAGGTTGAGGATCATGTTCTGGATCTTAGGCGGAAGCTTCGTGAACTTGAAGAACCCGACTATGTAATAAGAAGTCAGCTTAGTTGCTCGATGTACCACAGCGTTATGGACAATGGGTAGGTACCTCTTAGATCCATCGAGCTCTTGGAAAGGAGCGTTATTGTTGTTGGTCAAGAACTTTAGGACCTCGGCGCTCTGTGGTAGAGACACGACCAAAGAGGAAGTTGCCGTAGGCGATCGTGTGCTCGGTAGGGCCCATAGCAAATGTATGAGCTTCTCGGTTGTGTGGTGATTATACTATGAATACTTTGTACGGTGATATTGTAGTTTGTGGAGAGAATGTGTTCCAGGTAGGGTGGAGGTTAATTAAGTTGTGCGAAGTAAGGTAAATATTTCACTTACTTCTTATCTAAATAGGCACGCCCACGGAATCGTTCATTGTTACGGAGATCGCGACATAAAGTATCGGGAATACAGGGCATTGGGAGGCTTTTAGGCTCTCTAGTATACAGATCAAGCTAGCAAATTCGCTATAAGGCCCTATATTCCAGGTCCTTCCCCTAAAAGTAGCCCATACGCGTTGGACAAGGGCTGCCACACCTTTTTAGGGCTCCTCCCCTGTACCTACAAGGAAGTCATCGCTAAGGAAGCCTACTATCCCCCCGGGCACTACTAGCCCTCCCCCTAAATAATTGTTAGCACATAAGTTTTGGGTATAGGTGCGGGTAGGAATCCAGGGTGTTAGGCCAGTAAGGAAGTCCCTTTCGAGCTGGCTGAGAGCCACTTCCAAGGTAAATGGTCTTCGTGAACCTTCTACACATATCCCTGGCTTAATACACAGACCACTTTTCGCTCTGTACAATGGATCCAAAAGCCTTCCTACCAGGCATAACCACTCAGAATAGGAATTCTGTTCCTCTAATCCATATTAGGTGAGCTAGCAATTATTTAGGGGGGGGAATAGTATAATAGTTCCTCGTTTAACGTCCAAGAAATAGTTGCTTTACTCACTGCGCTATGACCCTAGAAGATCTACCCCCACCCCATAATTAAATGTAGCAGTGGGTCAAAGTGCAAGGGCTTATTTTGTATGGCAACTGGACCGTACCATGCTGGTTTGCGGGGACCCACTATTACATTTATTTAAGGGGGGGGAGAGTACTTATTCCCGTACAAATGTCCTATAGCGCCTCTTTATATCGATTTAGGGAACACTCCTTGGAGTTATAGGGGCTTATAGAGAACTATTGCCCTAGATTCGTTGTAGAACACCAAGGGTCAAAATGCCTATATTCCCGATACTTTATGCCGCGATCTCCGCAGCGGCCCTCTAGCACTATAGAATTCACCACGACGTTAATTTTAGGATATTTCCCGTGAGGTCATCTAATTAACAGTCTGCAAGCTATTTCAGTCTACTACTAAATTTTCAAAATGGCAAAAGGCTGTTTTTACTTAGTTCCTGTAACCGACATCCCTGCAAAGCGAAAATGCCGTAGTATAACTGGAACTTCGACGAAATTACGAATATCTCAATGCCACATAATAGGATTTTATTTTGTACTTCTCTCATTTTAGTTTGACATATTTTAATGCTTAGATAAGTATTTAAATTTTATAAGAGCTTATATAAAGGTTCATTAATTATGTTTTAATAATTATTTGTTTTATAACTTTATTCTTTACTTGAGGTTTTATCTCTAACTAATTAATATTTTCAAAGCTTGAAACTATAACAATATTAAGTAATAGCAAGTAAGTTAAATAAAAGCGCTTGTCTTTTTTCTTATCCAGAGGAAGTTAATCTGTGCAAGAAAGCCGGTTGGTCTCTGTACTTCAAAAAAACACGCTTCGGCTATGCTTACTATTTTGAATTTTGAGGCCTCAGGCCTTATGGTGGTTGACGTGGCGCTAGATGTATCTGGCTTCTAAATAGTGGAGCCAAAGCCTAGCGAACTCCTCAGTCATTCACACTTCATCTCCACCAGCTCGATGTTAAAACAGCACTCTAACCTACTTCCTGCCAGTACTATAACAATCGAATTAGCCTGTGATCTCTTCGAATTTAGCGTCGCTGAGCGATTGCCACGCATTGCTTCAATAGCATTATTTGTTGACCACGGTCACGTGGTCAAGAATTGGAAGAGGCAGAGCGGGAAATCAGGAATTGGGAATGGAGCATTTTGAACTGGATATATATAGTTAAATTGAACTATTAATGTACTCAGATTGTGCATCTGCTGCGCGAAATAAACCTTGATAATCATTCACGGGCATAGCTTGTAATGTTTAATTGAGTTAAACATTGCTTAGTAAGCAACCCTACAAATCAGATTGCTAAAGCGTGTTTATCGTCTTGCAACTCAGCACAACCCTTCATTTTATCTAATTACCATGATTTAATTGTTACAGTATCCGTAACTCTATGTATTAATATTTTTGCGCTCCAATAAAATTCTACCAAAAGTTTATCCTGGGGGGTTCGGACCAATCCAGTCATACGCTTCTATTGCACGTGATGGTGCGGCTGAGCCTGTGTAACACCTTTGCACTTTTTACCTTCGCACAGCCTTACACGGCCTTCCGTCATGACATACAGAGCACCACTTTCTCTTCTGCCTGTGGCTATCCATCTCCGACTACCCGCAAACTGCCCGGTGTCTTGATACTTCTACGTTTATCCTTGCTGCCTGGAACCGATCTTGGAGCGATGCGACTTCTTTACTTCAACAGTTCCAAGAGGCTGGCCTCAACGGATTTCAGCGGGAAAACAGTTCCGCCTTATGCTATTCTGTCACACACCTGGGATGGTGACGAATTTCTCTTTGAAGACCTGGTGAATGATACTGGTAAAACCAAGGCTGGCTATGAAAAGATTCAGTTCTGTGGTGAACAAGCGGCTCGTGACAATCTACAGTACTTCTGGGTCGACACATGTTGTATTGACAAATGGAACATTTGTGAGCTTTCAAACGCGATCAATTCTATGTTTCTATGGTATAGAAATGCTGCAAAATGCTACGTATACCTCTCGGATGTCTCGATACCAGTGACAGAGGCACCGCGAGGCTGGACGCTGCGGAAACGAATCACTTCGGTAACAGTCAGGGTACCAAGACACCAGAGTACATGGGAAGCATCTTTTCGAAAGAGCAGATGGTTTACTCGAGGCTGGACGCTTCAAGAGCTCATCGCTCCCGCATCAGTCGAGTTCTTCTCTTTAGAGCGTCGGCGACTAGGTGATAAAGAAACCCTCGAGCAGCAGATACACGAGATTACTCGCATTCCAGTCGAAGCACTACGGGGTGGTCCACTCGAGGATTTCAGTGTACAAGATCGAAGGGCATGGATGGTGGGCCGCCAGACAACGCAAGAAGAAGATCTGGCGTACTCTTTGATTGGAATTTTCAGCGTGTCGATGGATTTTAGATATGGCGAAGGAAAGGAGAGAGCATTGAGCCGACTTCAAGAGGAGATGGAAAAAGGTACGCCCTATACAAGTTTGTCTAATAAGTACTAAACTATAGCGCCACAGTCAACACTACACCATTCATTGTACCATTCGACCGAAACACTCGATTCGTTGGTCGCGAATCGCAACTCGCCGAGCTGGAAGGAAAGCTCTTCGTTGGAGCGTTACCTACGAAAGTCGCAATCACAGGTCCGGGCGGCATAGGCAAAACACAGCTGGTGCTCGAGTTGACGTACAGAATAAGAGAAAGATTCAAGAACTGCTCAGTCTTCTGGATACCTGCAAGCAATATAGAGAGCCTTCATCAAGCGTATGCGTATATTGCTCAACGGCTTAATATTCCAGGCTGGGATGATGAAAAGGCAGATGTCAAGGAGCTGGTTCAACTATACTTGAGCAAAGAGAGCGTAGGGCAGTGGCTACTCGTGTTCGACATCACGGATGACGCTATACTAGAAACTACTGGGTTGTCCCAGGCAGTTAGCTTGATCAAGTATCTACCGGTGTCCAACCAGGGTGCCATCGTCTTCACGACAACTGACAGAAAGACGGCTGTGGCGCTGGCATTACAAAATATTGTGGAGTTGCCAGAGATGGAACAGGACATAGCTCAAAGGATGCTGGAAATGTGTTTGATCAGCCCGACGAACGAGCCAGAGGTAGCGGATCTCTTACTCAAAGAGCTCGCGTACCTCCCTCTGGCTATTGTGCAAGCAGCGGCCTATATCAACATTAACAAGATAACGCTTAGAAAATATCTATTACTACTGGCTGAGCAAAAGGAGGAAGTCGTTGATCATATCAGTAAAGAGTCTGAGAACGTTATAGCTTCGACTTGGCTTATTTCGTTCGAGCAGATGCGTCGCCAGGATACGCTGGCAGCTCATGATCTCCTCTTTATGGCCTGTGTAGATCCAACGGACATTCCGCTAGCTCTTCTGCCGATGACCTCGCCGTGTGAAAAGGGAATAGACGCGATAGGAACCCTCGACGCCTACTCATTTGTCACCAAACGCACGGCGCAATCAGCACTCGACATCCATCGACTGGTGCATCTCTCGACACGCAACTGGCTTAAAAAGCAGGAATCGCTAAGCGAATGGAATCAAGTTGCTATTACACGTCTGCTTGAAGTGTTCCCGGATGATAATCATGGGAATAGAAGCAAGTGGAGACGATTACTACCGCATGCTAAGTTTGCTCTTTCATTTGGGCTTCCTGGACAGGAGAATGAGGCTAGGATGAACCTGGCATGTAAGCATGCTGTGGCCTTATTTAGTGACGGGCGGTTCAGTGAGGCAGAGGAATATTTTAATGATGCCCTGCAGAGCTCTAGGGGGATATTAGGGCCGGAGCATCCTTCTACACTGGCTATTATAGCCAATTTGGCTTCCACATACCGGGATCAAGGACGCTGGAAGGAGGCCGAGGAGCTACAAGCGAAAGACCTAAGGATATGCTCGAGGGTGCTTGGTGCGGAGCATCCTTCCACGCTAACTAGTATGGCCAACTTGGCTTCAATATACCGGGATCAAGGACGCTGGAAGGAGGCCGAAGACTTGGTGATACAAGTAATGGAGACGAGAAAGAGGGTGTTAGGTGCGGAGCATCCTTCCACTCTAACTAGTATGGCCAACTTGGCTTCAATATTTTGGAATCAGGGACGCTGGAAGGAGGCCGAAGACTTGGATATGCAAGTAGTGAAGACGAGCAAAAGGGTATTAGGTGCAGAGCATCCTTCTACGCTAATTAGCATAGCCAACTTGGCTTCGACATACCGGAATCAAGGGCGCTGGAAGGAGGCTAAAGACTTAGAGGTACAAGTAATGGAGACGAGAAAAAGGGTGTTAGGTGCAGAGCATCCTTCCACGCTAATTAGTATGGCCAACTTGGCTTTAATATACCAGAATCAAGGATGCTGGAAGGAGGCTAAGGAACTGCAAGCGATAAATCTAGAGATATTCTCGAGGGTGCTCGGCAAGGAGCATCCTTCCACGCTGACTAGCATGGCTAACTTGGCTTTAATATACCGGAATCAGGGATATTGGAAGGAGGCTGAGGAACTGGAAGCGACAGAACTAGAGATATGCTCAAGGGTGCTCGGCAAGGAGCATCCTTCTACGCTGACCGGTATGAATAATCTTGCCTTTACATGGAAAGGACGTGGCCGAGATGCAGATGCTCTTGAGCTAATGAAGCAATGCGCAGAGGCACGGGCCAGGGTCTTAGGGGCTAATCATCCCTATACCCTGTCTTCCTATACGGCATTACTTGAATGGCAGAAAGAGGAATTGGAGATTAGTGCCTAATAGATAGAGAATGATACTATGTAATTAGTTATATAAATAGAATAATACTATAGTAATACTAGAGTCAAATTTGAGATAAAGTAGGCTCAATAGAATATTAACTAATTCATTCACTTAAGCCTTAAGCTATATATATTATTTAAAAGCCATATCCATCTAATGCCACATCTATTACATATAGCCTAAGGCCTTGAAATTTAAAAAATAGTAGATATAGCTAAAGTATGTATTTTAAAGTATATAAACTAACTAATTCTCTTATATAATAGCTTACTTTTCTTTAAATAAAGAAAATTAACTATTATAACTTAATTCACTTGCTATTATTTAATATTATTATAGTTTTAAGCTTCGAAAATATTAATAAAATAAAATAAAAACTTTATATAAAAAACCAAAATATAAAACAAATAATTATTAAAACAAATTTAATAAATTTTTATATAAGCACTTATAGAAATTAAATACTTATATTAGAATTAAAATACATTAAACTCAAGTAGAGAAAATACGAAATAAAATACTATTATATAATATTAAAATATTAATAATTTTATTAAAGTTCCAGTTATACTATGGGATTTTCGCTTCGCGAGAATATCGGTTATATATATAAGTTACTGTCTTTATTCAATTAAGCTTTGTCCTGAGTATTAAGGGGAAACTTAGTAGTTATTTGGATGCTTGATTCTTTGCATATGCATGCTATTATATATACACCCCCATATTTGAAGCCTAATTACATGCCAAACACTGCCTTGTTCATGCAATTGTCAGTGCTAGGCTCTATCCGCATGCTTTTCAACACCTGAAGCCAAACCATCCATTCCTATTAGAAACTAAGATTGGGGTCTACCATCCACTTGTAGCAATTATTCTCCACAACGCCTCCTTGTTTCCCATTAATACCGCCACAGTTGCAGCTGTCGGACGGCACAGACAGGTATTTCATGCACAGGGTTTTGTCAAATGTGAAGCTGCATCTGGACTTGATTTGAAGAGATACTGTGATCGTGACAGTGCCCAAGCCGCCGTTGTAATCGAAAGGGAAATCGATCGAACGGAAGTAACCAGGGCCTAAGCTGTCGTTCTGGATGTCGTTACAGAAGCTGTTGGCAGAGTTGACCATCCGCACGTTTTCGGTATTCTCTCCACTGTTGAAGCAGGCGACCGAGTTCGTCCTGGCGTCACCTTGCTCGAGGGGCGAGGGCGCCGGCCGAGTAGGTATGGTTTTGGTGGCGGACGTTGTCTTCGACGAAGAGGTAGACGAAGAGGTAGACGAAGAGATAACGGGAGGACATCTAGTCTGGAGGTCCCAGTAATTCTCTTCGTCGCCACCACCAAAATTTCCGGTAATATTATTCAAAAACCATGGTTGGGTGATACAGCTTGGATCGAAAAAATAACATTCGTTCACCAATGGACTTTCAGGTGAGCCGTATACGGGCTGAATTAATCGGTTTGGCCAGCTTCCGGAGGGGGGTGGAGGCGCATTAGGACCGATGGATAGCGGAGGCTTGGGGAACGGAACTGTAGCGGATGTTGTAGTCGGTAAACCGTCTATTCCCCCGGTGTAAACGAGGGCAGACCAGAATGGTGTCGTTGCTGGAACGGGCAAGAAAGCCGGAGCCGCGCGTTTGTTTTTCTTGTTGCTGCTACCCTGGGTCAGCGTCACCACGTCAAACACCCACTCTGTTATGGTCAGTGGTGCTTGTGTGATTGTGCTTGTCCAGGCTCCATCGCTAACAGTGATCAGGGGATAGTTGACGGTACTGGTTGCGCCAGTCCAAGGTGGTATCTTGACATTGCAAGGAGGAGAGCACGTGAATTGAGGCTGATCCATATCCCAAATTGCGGGGTCGATCCAGATCACTTCGTTAAACTGGGTGCCATTGCTGCCAACATCGAGAATGGATATTTGGGACCAGTCGGGGTGCTTGTTCACGTTGAGGTTATCGATGGCCGGAATGCCTTTACCATCCATAACAACCATATACTTGGCGCCGATTGTTACGAGGTTCTGGATACGTACGTTGGCAAGATTGTTTTCGAGAAGCATGAGCGCCTTTTGACATGCTTGCGTGTCGATGCAGTCTTGTGAATAAGTCGAGAACCAGGAATAAATGCCGGCGCCCGCGATGAATATGTTCTCGGAACCTTTCATTATCACCAGGCTCGGCAAAAATACCTAAATTTCCGGTATCGATAGGAATCGATGCCAGAATCGTAAGGTATCGATAGTATCGATAGTAGTATCGATTCCCTGAACCTAATTTTCCCCTTTAATCACAATTAACTTTCGAACTACTTCCCTTATAAGAAAATTTTTGGTAGCGCAAATATTCTCCTTAATTTAGGCTTTCTATCTAGCTACTTATCTTATACTTTAGGCTAAAACTAATCTCAATGCGGCCATTTTAAGTAAAAATGAGCTTTTGAGATTTTCGTGAGGCTCGCTTATATATTTAGTGCCTTGATAAGAAATACGAATACGGGGCTTAATTCTCCGAATACGAGAGGTATTTTAAATTTAAAATATTATTAAATTCTATTAATAATAGTAAATAAATTTTTTTAATAGAAATACTAGAAATTAAAGGAATTATATATAAATATATTCTTATATAAATAAAATAATAAAATAAAGAGATAATTTTTAGGGGTAAGAATCAATAAGGTATCGATACGTATCGATTCTTACGATACCTGAAAAATACCTAATACTATCGATACCGGTATCGATGCCTCAGGTATTTTCGCCGAGCCTGATTATCACAGACCAGGATTCGTCACATCCGCTGAATTCGTTCCCGGCAGCACAGGTATAGTCGGGATCACCCGGGAAATCGCCAACAACTGCAGCAAAAGGAGCGGGCGGCGCTGGAGTTGGCTGAAAGTAAGGCGATTCGGTTTGCAACATACCCGCGTATATGTTTGCTGCTGAGTTGAAATTATACTGATAGAAAACGGAGTGCTCGGACGCAGTGGCGTAAAGCCTTTCAATCTTGATGTTAGTCTTTCATTGCAGAGCTTTGGGTGAAAGAGAAAATAAGCTTACCAGGTGGGCCTTTTGCTTTCAATCAAGAAGCCACGAGCAATATAGATAGAGGTTTGTACCATGCTGTTGTTTGCGTTAACTAGATCAGGGTCGCTGGGAGTTGTTAGTTCAAGTCAATCAATCATTCTTCGTGCCGAGAACAGATAGAGCACAACTTACTCAAGCATGTGGTCAGCTCCCCAAAGCCACATGTTTTCGAAGTACCCCGATGCCGACGGCGTGAGGTGCATCATCAGACTAGCAGCAGAACATCCTTGATCAATACCACTAGTGACGGGGGGACATTCCGCAGGTGTCAAGTCCGTTCCCGTAGCACCTCCTACTCGTGCATGGCAATCCCAAAGCGCGGCAGAGCCAGGGTTATCAGCTTGGATATTCCATTCGACAAGAATTAGACCTGCTGTCGCACCACGGGTCGTAAAAAGAAGGTCCTGCATTTCTACACTACCAATATCCCCGGCGTTTCCGACTTTGATCAAAACTTGTGGTTTGCTATAGTATATAGTCAGCGACGAAAGGGTAAATAGATACAGAGGAGCTGCGTTTCCCAGTAGGTAAAGTAAACGGTGATACATCACGTACCTTGCATCTGAGAAATACGAGCCCGACGCAACTAATTGTGACCACGTTTCCCCAACAATCTTAGCGCCAGAAGGAATGGTCACCGTCGAGGTTAGAATATATGACCCAGCGTCGACGAAGAGAATTTTGCCCAAGCTTGCGTACAGCGCTGACTGAAAAGCTGCTGTGTCATCGGTAGAGCCATCGCCGGTGGCCCCGAAGTCCTTCACGTGCACGAACTGAGTAATAGCTTGATCCTCGTACTGAGGCTTGGCGCGCTCAAAATACGCTCCCTCCGGGTCCAGAAGACTCGAATGCCTCCGATAGCTTCCAATTTTCCCGCCCTTGGAGAAAGTGCGAGCACTCGTCGATCCTTCGTAGACAGGTCCGACGGCCCACTCGTCTATCAAGGCCGATGATGCAGCCAGAAGCGTTGCACCAGTCGTATCAGCGACAGCAACAGCAACTCCAGAGAGAGCGACGTTTTCGAGAGCAACCCCTGTGCTGCCCATCCCAGGAGTCGATGTTATGGGGTTGACAACAACCGCAGTGCCGACGTTTGTAAATGACGAGTCCAAGATCGAGACAGAGCCAATGTTGCCTACACCACCATCACCGACGAGCTGAAATCCCACTTTCACATTGGTCATAGTGATGGACTTCCATACCCATCCCCAGTCCCAGATGACCTGGATCCCAGTCGTGCAGCCATTGAACGTGAGGCGCTGCGCCGTGAACTGCTGATTGCCCCCTTTAATCCCGATCCCACCGCCGGTAAATGTGACATCGGAAATCTGCCCACCGCTATCATTCTCAGCGTACATGCCGATTTGAGATGAGCCCGCTGCGGCTACCAGCTCCACGTTTTGAAGACTAGTGGCTTGCGCGACTTGATAGTGGATACACGTGACTAATGTTCCTTGGGCAATCTGTCGGATGTCTATGACGATATTTCGAATCTGCCGGTAGAAGTTCGCGTATTGACATAGTACTCAGGGTCCCCTCCATCGATACCCACGCCTGGTGCACCAGTATACTCATCCGTAGATAATACACCTAGACCCACGAAGCTTGGAGCGGCTACAAGCGTCGGCCGGTTGTTGGCGTCACCAATGACCTGCGTTCCGAACGGCATGGGAATCGTCGAGGATATTAGGTACTTCCCCGGAGGGAAATACACGATGGCATTCTTGGTCGTGGAACCGTTACATGCTTCACCACATCGAGTGCCATTTGTCATCGCGCTCTTGATTGCGTTTGTATCATCCTATCTCCCGGCAAGGGATAAGTCAGTATAAGAACATGTACACGTATCGGGGTACGAGTAGACCAGGCAGTTTTCTCTTTCATCGGACTCACTGTGACACCGTCACCCACGGCCCCATAGTCAAGCACGTTACGGAATACGACCTGGATTTTGATTAGCTGATGGATCGTCACGAGACTCTGGCCAGGTATTGAGACTCACATATTTGGGATCGTTCCCCCAAGGCACAGTGCCTTTCCGAGCAAGACTGTCGGATCGCGTGATCAGCAGGGAGTTCTTTGATGCCCGTGGGATATGGGATATTTCGTCGGGTCGGGGAAGACCCACCTTTGCATCCAGTACGTGCCCGCGGCAGCTGCTGCGCGCTTCGTGACGTTCCGGGAGCCAGAGACCGCGTCTGCCTCGGCTACGAGTGCCGCCGCCGCCGCGATCTGGTCGGAGATGACCAGAAGTGGCGGAACATCTTGATTGGTCGCCGCGCTTCCAGCCGCACCCGGAACCCGGCCCGCCCCGACTTCCGTCCCGGGCTTCAACCCGTAGTTGTTGCGGAGCGGCGACGCCACACGGGCCTTGTTGAGCTTCGACGACTCGGCCAGGGCGTTCTTCACGATGGTCCGCGCGGCTTGCAAGTCTTGCGCGGTCGCTCTCTTGAGCAGCGGCATGACGATGTGCTCCGGGATGCTCCGTGGTGCCTGTGGCCCCTGATCACGTGAGCGGACCGACCTCACGTTGTCCGCCTCGGAACGAATCGTCATGTTCAGGTGGCCCAACCTCGCATCCTCCTCCGCGTCCTCCAGGTCCTCCCGGTCCTCCCGGTCCCACCGGTATGGTCGGTCCATGCGGGGCATGGGCATCGTCTGCCCCGTCACGTCCGACATGCTGGCATACGTGGAGTTGGCGTGCACGACCGATTGGGTGCCCTCACCCGCCAGGACGCGGGCTTTGAGTTCCGCGGTCGTGGGGGCCCTGCGGGCCGTGCTTGTAAAGTTACCAGTAGCATTCCCGCCTTCCGCGCGCTTCCGCGCTTGCGTGACGTAGCGATGCTCCACCAGTTCGTCCGCGTTCCCAATGTCCTCCATCACGATCACTCGCGCTGCAATTCCGTCCGCGCCGTCGTCATCCGCGCGGAAGGTAAAGAGAACAATCGATTGGTCTGCGCGAAACCCGGGGAAGTTGCGGGCTGCCTCCTTGAGCTCTATCTGCAACAGCCCGTGGGCTAAGCCTTGCCCTATCAGTCATATAGGTTAGCGAGAAGGCTCTTCTCTTCAAGATCTCATGAGTCGAAACGAAACGGAACGTGGCCTACAGTTTTGCTCTGCTTTGACTGCCCCCGTCGCGCCATAAGTGGAGCAGACGAGCGCGGCACATCGCGTGTTGGAAGGCGAGGGCGAGAGAGGTGGGCCATTTCCGCCTTCAACCCAGGTGGCCGGCGGGAACTCATCGCAGGTGTACCGAACATTGGAGTACTGGACAATATTGCCCTGAGTATCCCGCTTGTTCATGATGTTGTTGGTCGTGGTCCCAGGCTCAAGTGCAGTCGTAAACCATTCGCCATCATGTCGCATAACAGTCCTCTGGTCAATTTCCGGACAAGAGTGGAAAGTTTTCCAAGTATCGGGACAGGATTGGTCGCGGCGACCCTCTTGTCGACTTTTCGGAACAGTGTCGCCAGTGTCTAAGTCATAGCCGTATACATTATTGGCAATACCGCTGTTGGGGTGTAGATTTTGCCCTCTTGCGGTCAAAGCGAAGTTTTGGGCATTTTTGCATATGTCTCTCATGTAGTAACAGTTGTAAATCAGGTACACCGTTAAAGGGGTAACGTCGATAACTGGCCAAGGAGTAATGCCTGGGAGAGACCGGCTTTAGACACAAAATCAGTAATGTTGCTTTTTGAGGGTACAGACTTTTGACTCTAGTACAATTCAACACCCATTTTATTCTGGTCCTCTCTTTGTATATAGCGAACCCAATTGTGGAATTTGACACGGTGCTCTCAGTAGCTTTACTTTTGCAATACAGAATATAGTCCCTGGGTTGATCGGTGCTAAAGGGGTGGAAATGAAAACTTAATGACTTACTATAAGTATTGGCCAGGGCGGGTAGTATCCACCAAGTAGTCCTGTAGGTATTGAGCCTCTGCGATTTGAGGAAAGAAGAGACAGAATAGTGGCGCCAAAAGCGCAAGAAGTTGCAAGACCACCATCTTGCCGACAAAGTAGTAACGAGAGAGGTGAGGAATGAATGAGAGTTTCTCGCCCTTGAATATTCCTTAAAAAAGGTGTCAAGTGATGGTTTATACTGATCCATTTCTTGTATGAGCAGTATCCCCACTAGACTCACCAAGGGTCCCAAAACAGAACGAACAAGGCGGCGTAGTAGAGCTCGGATAGCGTAAGCCATGCTACCGGTAATAAAAGATGGTTACTTGGCATGCACGCCAAATTCGTATTGATGCAGCTGCGCCATCTCGGAGACGGAGATGACCCATTAGTGTACAATGCCTGTGAAACCTACGGCTTCAAGGAATCAAGCAAAGGAGAAAGAGTAACTACTTGTGGGATTCTTACCGAAAAGTGGTGGTCTTCAGTTTTATACAATCTCGCTTCTCTCCGCCACTGAGTAACGGAGACTTTCAATTGGGAAGTTGGGCAACTACAGTAGGGAGATCGCGGCATAAAGCGAGTGCAGCTGCGGCCAGGTGCGCACCGGTCCGTACGTGTTTAAGCGAGCTTTTGCAGCGAATCATATATTATAATTCCCGATCTAAGACTTCTGATTCGCTCTAATTTTGCGGGGGCTTGCGACGAATCAGCACTTCACAGCGCAGGCTGAAACCAAGGGCTTTCATGCTTTTGGGCTAAGGCTGAATCACGAAGAGAATTCCACGACTACCTCGAAGCCGCCGCGGCACGATCGCGGCACGAAGACGGATCTTTCTTGAGAGAACTTAGTCGCTGAGGTGGGTAGCCTACGCACAAGCGAATAGCTACGATAGAATCGTCGATTTAACTCGGTCTTCTATATGCAACTCCCCTGCATGATTCTAACTATGCGATGGCGCGACAGGCTATATATTTATGGAGAATGGTAGATGGGAAATCGAGGTAGATACCATGGCCTCACTAACTCTCACGCCCTCCGGTATTGGTATATAGTAAGAGAAGCTTCCAATAGAGAAAAGCCCAATAATGCTTTTTAATACGGATATAAGGGGGAGCTAGAGTGAGGTTAGAGGAGTCAGGGAATAAGGAGTGCCGGGTCTCTCAATTATCGGAGGGTGCTTACAAAGGCTAGAAACACAGTATTGGCTTGAGTTGCTTTCTGAGGCATCAAGGGACTGAAACACGGAGAGATTAGGGACCCGGGGCTATTCAGGGTAGGTAACAGTGCAAACTGCAGTTTGAAACTACAGTCCAGTCTTCAAATTTGAAACTGCAGTTTAGATTTGGCAAACTAAACTGGCAAGAAAAGGCTCAAACTGCAGTCTAACTGTAGTTTGACAACGGTTTAGTGCAGTTTAGTGCAGTTTACATACAAATTTTGCAGTTTGCAAAAGGGTTTTTAAACTGCGGTTTGGATACCCTGCACTAAACTACACTGAGATACGCCGAGGCTAGACTAAACCGCTAAACTGCAGTTTAGACTGGACTGAGGTCAAACTATTACCTACACTGGGGCTATTAATTGAGGGGTCCTTTTCCTTTATGGTTTTGGCCTCTCTATAGGTAAGGAATAGCCATTGTAAATCCTTAGCTTAACACGTCCCCATGCCCTTCGGGAGGCTCAGGGTTATAGGCAAAGCTGAAGCTCTTGATTTATACCATCGCAACGTTAATAACTAGTAATATTACTACTAATTTTGCGGTACAGTTGTTTATGGAAGTGCGCACCTGGCCGCAGTTAAACAGATAGGACATTACGATACTGAGCCCACTATAAAGTCCAATACAAGTGTTGCGCACGCTATAAGGCCCTGTCTCCAGGCCGTGTGCCCTGGAAACACGCCGTGGGACATTTGCAGGTTGTGAAGATCTTCAAGAATATTAGCGTTGCTGGCAGAGCAATTATAACGCTTGGACGCTAAAAGGACAATTCTTATAGGGCTAATTAGCGAATAAGCCCTTGTAAATACAGGGGATAAGCCCTTGAAAGGCGCGGCACCCCTTGTCAGAGGCTTATGGCTTATTTTCAGGGCAGGAGCCTAGAAATACAGGGGCCTTTAGCGGCCGAGTTCGCTAGAAACGAGTGCTACAGTGGAGTTTTAGTACCAGGGCCCTATAATCCCGTCACTTTATGCGGCGATCTCCATGAGCCCTGTTACCCCACCTTCTCTGAGCACAGCCCTTCCTAAAGCTCTGCTTTAATCGCCTGCATCCAATAGATACTGCGGTTAACGAGCCTGCGCCCGTAAGTCTGTGCGTTTTAGGCTCGTTTTGTCGCTTAACTTTCGCTCCTTCTTTAAAAGCCGCAGTTTAAGATTAAGTATGCAAGAACAACTTAATAGAACCTTGTAAAATATAGTTTTCTGCGAAGAATACTTGATGTCTTTGTGCTTTGAATTTAGAAACAAAATCCCTGTAATTAAGAAAGTTTAAAGTTCCTTCGGGGGCTTCAGGCCTGAAAAGCACAGACTTACGGGCGCAGGCTCGTAAACGCAGGTAAGCAGCAGGCCTTAGCGACGGCAGGCCTTGCAGCGAATGGGTCATTAATCATTTACTGACCTTGACTTGAACTGGTTCTGTGCAGGCTAAAAAACTTACAGAAGTCACATTTTGCACTTTGTAAGCTGAAAGATTAGATAATTTAGGCTAAATCCTGCAATGCCGTATCCGATCCCGCAATAGCAGGCTGCACCAGGCTCGGCAATGATTGCTGAGTAATCGATTAGTAATCGATTATGTGCACTATTAATTAGCTATCGATTGTAATCGATTACTAATCGATTACTAATCGATTATTCCACCGCTTTTACCCCGCACCCCCCCCATTTTTTTCTTCTCTCTCTCTCTCTTCTTCTCTCTATTTTCCCTGCCTCGCATACTGATTTTTTCCAAAGATATTATCAAAATATCTTCTTTACTTAAACCAGATTCATTATTTGCGCGATTAGTTTCAGTAGATTCCACTCCAAGTACTCTAGATATATCAAAGTTAAGAGTACCTTATTGGGAATTTTGTCGTATTCCTACTTTAGATAATCTTAAGCAAGACGTTCTTTATTATACTTTTTATAAAACTAAGCCATATAATATATGAACATTAAGAAATATAGGGAATTATTTGAGCCGCTACTATTAAATTATAATATTAAAGGCTAAAAGTAAGAGCCAAATTACTATAAACTAGTAACTCAAATAACTCTAGTACGAAGCTTAAGCTAAGGAGGGAAATAGGATTAAGGAGTTTAATAATAAGGTCCTTGGAGCTTGCCTTAATATAGCAGTTATTACTAAAGCTCTAATCTCCCTAATTATTATACGGAATCTGTCTTTTACTCTCGTTAAATAGCCGGAATTTCATATCTTTTACTAAGTCCTAAATCGAGCTTGCGAGGGCAAGATTATAACCTCTTACTCTAGAGTTTATAATAAAGTCGAAGAAGCTTGGGGAAAGCATAAGATTATTATATAAAAGACCCTTTAATTAGTAGTCTCACTTATCTATATTTCGCTCGATATTTGGACCTCCCCAAATTAATTACTTCTTCTGGCAGTTTATATATACTTTACTATATACGATTATAAGAGGCAAAAAGCTCTTCTTACTCTCTAGAAAGTACCTGGTGTGGGAGGGAAACTGTAATAAGACAAAAACCCATATAAAGTATACTAGAGCACAAAACGTGACTTGATAGTAAAATAACAAATCAAAAGCATAAATAGTATACAGTATGCAAAAGCTTAATTAATTAAATACTCATAAAGGATTGTTCTCTAAGTCTATAGAAAAACCAGCTTTCTTATGTGATTTCCGCAAGTCACGTGCAAAAGGCCGCGGCCTTTGCCATGTGACCTAAATCTCAAAACCGCCAAAATAACATGATTTTTAACGAGTATGGCCTGCCGTATCATACTGGCTATAGTAGAGAGAACTAGTTCTCTATTCTTTGCTCTATTCTTGAGGATTATGGTATTATACGAAAGCTTGGGGCTATTATTACTAATAATACTTCCTTAAATAATATTCTTTATTAACATATTCAAGCCTTCTTAGTAGAGTTATATAATAGGAAGTAGAATACAGAGAAATAGCAAGTTCGCTATATTGGCTATATTATTAATCTTATTATCCAAGCCTTCCTATTTACGGACGCAATTAGAGTAAAAGAGCTTGAATTATATAATGGCCAGGAGAAGACTAGAGAGCTTGTGAATAAGGAAGTAATTAGGGCCAAGTTTAGGCTCTTAGAACTACTTGGCCAAGCGTATAATATTATTATTTATATTTATAGATTACCAGGCCGTATGATAGCCTTTAAAGCTCTTATAAAAAGGCTAATTCTAATAAATAATCGAATGAGGTAGAATAGCTAGTATAATATGCTTTTTATACTTCTTAATTTGAGGCCTATAGTAGAAAAGTATTACTAGGACTATGAGGAAGAGCTAGAACTAGATCTTTTAAGCTACTAAGACTAGAAAAAGCTTCGTATAATTAAGGAATTTCTTAGTTCCTTCTTATAAACTACTTTTACTATAGAGAGAGATTTCATGTCTATTAATACTATACTTGCAAGAAATAACTATAAGCTTACTCCTTTTCCTTTCTCTCTTTTCTTTCTTCCTTCTCTTTACTTAATTAACTTTTATAGGCTAAGTATAAAAGGAAAAAGGATAAAGAAAGCCAAGATTTCCTTTAACGCCTAAATATCGCATATATAGTACTTAATAAGTACTATATAAAGACAGATATGTCTCCTATTTATACTGCCGCTTTAATTCTGAACCCTATATACTATATGAGATATATTAAAATACACTGGCCAAAGAAGTAGGTAAAGCTAGTTCTACTAAGGGTGTGACGGCAGGAACAGAGCAATGGAACGAGGCTCAAAGATCAATGATTTCCAATGTCTTAAGAATTTAAAGCTAAGGAGGACAGGAGTGAGGTGTGGCAGTGGATAAGTAGGTATGGCCAAGACCACTGAAACGCCGAGCTTTGGAAGCGAGCTTGGTTTGAACCATAGCTTGGAACCTTAGCTGAAACCAACCCCTTTGGCTGAAACCACGTCCGTATCAACCATGTGACACCAGCCGTCACAAAGGGTAAAAAAGCTCTAGGAAAGGTATTAGGACGAGGAGCCACAAGCTCTAATTATTCTAATTACTAGCTCTTCTCAGGAGCCAGAAGCACTCGATACTTATGATCGGCTTGCCTTAGCCCTTTAATTAGTTACTAGGCTAGCAAGTGGAGACGAGTATATGGACTTATCGCAAAATAGCAAGGAACAGTGATTTGCATAAGTGGTTGTCTGATTAAAAGAAGCTCTAAAGGGAGCCTCTGGATCTAGCTAAATAAAAGGGGCCGCTGAGTAAGCGAAGCTAAAGCTCCCTAGTACCCGTACATACGACAGGACTTTAATATGGAGAAATCATATAATCCTGGTAAAAAGGGAGCCCTTGCATAGTGGTGCCAAGATATATAAAGGCAACGCTGGCCTAAGCTCTCTCGTATGGCTATTGATATCCTCTTAATAATACTAATAAGCGATGAACCAGAGAGAGTCTTTTCAGGGGCTCGTCGTATGGTAAGCTGGGATAGGGGGCAGCTAGAAGCCGAGATAATTGAGATGCGGGAGTGCCTTAAGCACTGGAAAAGGACTGGAATTCTAGATACTTTCTTTAAATAGGTAAATAATAGAGAGCCTTTCCTTTATTATATATAGTATAGTACTTTACTAAACTTCTGAACCTTCTGGAATTAGAAAAGGGGTAAAATCGTACGTATGTAGGGATTAGCTCGCTAAATAATCGATTGCACTATCGATACAATTGATACCTTACGATTATGGCATCGATTGTTATCGATAGTGCAAAACGCCAATCGTTGCCGAGCCTGGGCTGCACTGTTGCGGCACTGCTTTATCAGTCTTATTCTTCGGCTATGTGGCTGCATATAAGTGCCGAAATATCTTGACTTACCGCAAAATCGAGAATCGGCTTATCAATAGTCGACTATTTTATTACTAATATACTCGTACCTCGTATTTCATCCGAACTAAATTAAAAGTATAACCCGGATCCCTGTTATTAGTTCTGCATTTTAGTATACCAACACCACCAGGATGGGTCGATATTTAAGGTTATTCCAGAGGTTCAGGGCACAATTCAGGGCATACTTCAGGGCTTGCAGGAGGTTCCGGGGGGGGAGGTTAATAGTGGTTTTCACGGCTTTTAGGGCCTCCCTAATTAGTACAACGACCTGGAGTTTCAGGCCTTTGGAGACGACTATTGGGACCACGTGTCTTGAATTATACTACTCTCCTTTATACATGAATTATACTCGACTTTACTAGAACTTCAGTACGTTACGTTACGTAAAGTATGTAAAGTGTAAAGTTTACCATCCCTAGTCCTTACCGAATTCTTGGCACACCGAGGGGGGCCGTAAGCAAGCCATGGTTTTTCAATTTGTACGCAGCTATTACTACTTCAAGAAATCGAACCCGTAAGCGCCCATCGGGGAGTGCCCTCCCTTTTTAATTTCAGGATATTATTCGTCTACTGAATTATCGGACCTTATGGGTCAAAGTTTATTATCTCTCACCCCTTGTAACAGCACAAGGGATGAATTACCCCTGCATTAGTCAATGTGCGTAAAGCTAATCAAGACAGCCTTACGTCCAGTATTCTCCTTAACACTCTGCTTCTGGCATCACCAGTTTGCTTCTAGTAATAATTGCTCAACCATTGCCGTCCATTACTCGGATTTGGATCTCGCTCAAAACTCGTACCTATACTTCAATCGTTAAACAACCGTCATGAAGTCTCCCCAGGGAACAACTTGGTCGCCGCACCTTGTCTTCTGTACCATTGTCCTTTATTTTACATTCACAGTTCAAGCATCCGACCAGTGCGCACCCTCGATATGGCAACCGGGGCAATTTATGCGTCGGCAGCTTTCTACTCCCACTTCCACTCCCACTGCCTCGTCCAACGCAAGTATCAGTAGTTCCAGCTCCGTGGCGCCCCAACCTACTGCCAACATCACTATCAGCCCCATCATTACCACTGGAAACATCAGCCCAGGTCAAGTTAACTGTCGGTACACGGGCAGCACGGAAGGGTTAGACATTAACTACTACACCTGTACCCTGTTAGCCAATCAATACGGAATCTCTGTCGAAACTTTCTTTAAGTTGAATCCAGGACTAGATCCGGACTGTGGGAATATTCAACCCGATACAGATTATTGTGTGCGAGGCTGTAAGTTACGAAATCATACATGGACGGCTATCTTTTTAAGTGGTTGAAAATTAACTTACGACCTCCACATGAATAGTCATTGAGCCTGTAAGAGCTACAGCCGGTCTCTGTGGTCCCCCGAACAAGAATGCCACTTGTCTCGGTACAGCATTTCAGTGTTGCAATGCGAACACTTTCACCTGCGGTAATTCTACGTAAGTCATCTATAAGTACAGGTAGTTGTCGTTTGAGCGCTTTATACTAACGCCGAACCCCAATATCAGAGATGACTGTGCACCTGGAACTTGCTACGAAGGGGCATGTGCAGGAGATTCTGTCTTCACTACAACCGGCCAATGCGGCAGTCAACACGGCTACCGTCAATGTGCTGGAGTATGGGGCGATTGCTGCAACGCGGACAGAAAATGCGGTACTGGCCCATCCTTTTGTGGATTCGGCGTGTGCCAGCTTGGAAACTGCACAATACCAGCTGTAGTTGGCCTACCTCCATGGCTAAATGGAAATACGACGGATGGCACTTGTGGTGGAACGAACGCATTCACTTGCAACGTGGTGTATGGAAATTGCTGTAATAAGGATGGCATGTGCGGATCATTGCCATCAGATTGTGGAGCAGGATGGTGAGTTCGGAGCCCTTTTCCTTTCTCCTACTTCCTCCCCCCCAAGTATCTCATTACTGCTATCACGGGATGCAATTTTGACTTTCTCTGCAGCCAATCTCAATTCGGAAATTGTAATTCCTCGGCCACAGGCCCTTCCTCTAGTACAACTTCGTCAAAGGCCTCATCTTCATCCTCCGTTTTGACAACGAGCGATCCTACAACCACCAGCGACACTAAAACTTCATCCTCCGCAACTAAAACAAGCACTCCTACAACTACCTTACCTCCTAGCACTTCAATTCCAGATGAAGCTGCTTTGCCTTCGTGTGGCCAACTATGCTTCAATAATATGCTTGCTCAATACTCAACCCTCGGATGTGCCGCTCTTGATGGCTACTGCTTATGCAATAACGCCGACTTCAGCAATGGCCTCCGCGACTGTTCAAATGGAGCCTGTGGAACTGCTGTTGCCAGTACTGTGATAGATTTTGGGAGCGCATACTGCTCCACCGCAACAGCTACCCACACTGCGACAGGCCTAGCTGCTCTACCTTCTTGTGGTCAGCTCTGCTTTAACAATATGCTCGCTCAGTACTCATCCCTAGGTTGCGCCACCCCTGCACCCGCTTGCCTTTGTAGCAATGTTAATTTCGGCTTCGGTCTCCGTGATTGCGCTAGCGGCGCGTGTGGGACGGCTATCGCATCGACAGTTATTGCTTATGGGAGCTCGTATTGTGCATCAGCAATAGCAACAGTTCTTAGTTCATAACCGAGCAACGAGGGAGTAAGCTACTGTGTACTGAAATTTTTCATTATCATCTACTCTTTTATACTAAATGTATAGTAATAAACTTTACCACTTATTCTATCTACTATTATTCCACTAGATATGTGCCCTTAAATTGAGTTCGGTTACTTAAAAAAAAATGAGATTGCAATTACCAAAGTTAGAAACTATTCGATCGACTTCAAATCAAGATCTTTAAAGTCTATCTCTGTTTTTGCATATGAGCAGTGGGTTCTCTTATTAAGCTTAGCTCAAAGTCCTAAACTAGGGACACGGAATGAACCTAGTATAGCTCCCCAACTGCATCTAACCCCTCTGGCGTCACTTCTTCGTTTTCCTCCTAAACGGAATAGTTAGTTTTTACTCCAAGACTTAAACTTCACATTGTTATACCGTATTCATACCCACAAATACGTTGTAGGCCATTTATTCGTCATCTATAGCGTATAGTTAATAAATCTTATCAGGCTAAGTAATGGATTGGACGATGAGGTAAACACTATATTACCTATTCCTACGTAACCTATTGAGGATTGAGGCAGGGACAGTGCTAGGTCGCGGGCCACCGCGCATCCCCTGAATCCAGTACTCCTTCTCTTCTATCATCATAGATTCCGGCCCACTTTTCACCATGAATTCGGTTGGCATTGACGAAGGATTGCCAAGTATAACTGTCTTAGCTTTCAAGATATCCCCACGCAAGCTCATGAGCCAGGGATGCACGGCTAATACAATTATTAGACCGGTCGCTAACTCTTATAAACCAGACTTACCGCTCACGTAGTCTTGCACCGTAACAAAGTGATTGCCTGCAGAAGGCGTGACCACTAACTTCGCTGCCTTTCTCAGCGGTCTGTCTTCTCCACAGCATCTCACAAGAAATTCTGTATCCGAATCTGACTCCCAGCCGCCGTCCTCCTCCATCTCCGACGGGTAAGGCCGGTCATCATCGCTAAGATCTCCATAGGTTACATACTCGACGTCGATGTGCTCCCTATGCTGCCCTAGCCACACCTCCTCCCAATGATTGAGGTCGGAGACAGAAGCCTCAACAGATGAGACCTTTGGTTCGGTAAGGGGCAATTGCGAGATCTCATGCCACGTGCCGCTACTGCTGCCCTCAGCATCTGGTTGGAAGTACGGTTCGAGAGAGTCCGGACTGCGAGAGGTCGTCATAACGGAAATTGCGGTGGGAAAGACACCATCAAGAGGCCAAGAGAGACGCTGGGCGACATCAGGAGAGAGCCTGACAGGCAAACACTCGCTCCGAAGCTCTCTGTAAGAGGGGTAGGGGGGTTCGTCCGGTTGGCTAGGTTGTGGTGTCGCCATTGTTATATCGACAATTGAGGTTGTGAGGCTAGTTGATTCACAGATGTGACCGAAAATCTCTAGACTCCAACAAAAGTTAGAAATGGAAATACTCAGCCAGGTAGAGGTTTTATGCCTCTGCACTAGCGTTTATTCGCTTGGCGGATAAATTCAGGCGAGTGCACGTGCACATGGCTTCGCTCTTTCCGGTTCTTACATCCTCTCCTTAGGTGGAGGCCTGACCATCGGCTGTGCTTTGCTCGTGCTCAAATGGCCTGTTCGCCCTTGCTCAAACATTCAGGTAAACCGATCCACGGGGTCAAAATACACTTCACGCGATACGAGAGAGATTTCTAGAATTGTGATTTTTTCTAGAACAGAAGCCTGATGCTCGTGGAAGCTTGGGGGCAAGACTTAATACCCCTTGGCGCGAAAGTTAAGCGAAGTGAGTGCCTGAGGCTTAAGGTTACGCGAAATTTCCTCCTGACAACGTGGGCATCAATAGCCTGCCTCCTGGGGGTCGGGTACGCGAAGCATGTGGTCCGGGCCTGCCTCCGTGGTCGCTTCTCCTACCTTCCTGCGCCCAAGAAGTTGCACGCCCACGACATGAGTTATCTAGGGAGTCTAATTATTGAAGACTTTGCTGCAAGCCATTTTGCAAAGCCTGATCAGCCTCAGCCGAGTTGACGGAGCATAAATTCCAGGGCTGTTCCTCTGAGAAATTCTTACCTTTCGAAGCTTTTGCCAATTTCAAACAATCCTTCAAAGTCAGCCATCTTTTTGCTATCGAATTAGCCGGACCCCAAAATCCAGCTAAATATCTTGCGAGACCCACGACGTAGAAAGCTTCATGCTACCTAGTCATTATGGTTTCCCTCCGGGGCTCGATCACTGTCTAGTGAACGGGCCCCAGGGTAAAACCCGAACATGGACTCGCACCATCAAGGTCAAAGTTCATGGCATCAACACCCACCACAGATCCTCGATTGTGTTGGATTCCGACTGCTGATGAAAGTTCCAGTGTGAGCTCCGATAGGCTCGATAATTGATCGATAATAATTTATCGGAGCCCACACTGGATGAAACTCTCTTGTTCCCCCGAATCCAGATATCTGGATCCCAATTACCGACATGGTTTGGTGCGAACATGGGAAGACATGATTTGGTACGGAAGAATGGTTTGCTAGATAGAGAAGTCTACATTTTGACTGCTGCCAAGTATGGTAAGTGCTTCTAAAATATGACGTCCAAAGGCTGTAATCCGCATCTTGATTCCAAAATTATACCCTGAGGTGACGGGCTATTTTTGGAAGTTGGTGGGTGGGGCCCGTCTTTTCATTTCGCCGGGAGGTCGCAAAGATCTCCTTTCAATGTGTAAGAGCATCACGCATGCTCTCATCTCCACTGGACACATTACAGAGCTACACCAGGAACTGAACAACGCCAGCCGGACTGGTCGTGAAGATCTAAGCTCTGGCGGTTAATGGGCAGTTGAATTATGCTACGATCCTGCCTACTTTCAAACGAATCACTACAAACAGCTACTAATTACACAAAGAATAATGGATTAGCGTGTAGTTACGATAACGAAGAGTCTATTAATAGAAATACGGTAATGTCAAGCCCGGGCGAGAGCGACATTGAAGACGACGATCTCTGCAATATATCACCTCACTTAATCGCTAAGACACAGATCTATTACACCACCATAGTTTGCAGCTAAGCTTCGAAGATATAATTGCCCAAGAGGAGTCGCTACTCCCGGACGACGGGCTAGACGACGTTGCTCCTTTAATTAGCAAGACCTCAATGACTGAAGCGCCCTGCCCTCTTGTATACATGCCAGGTCCAACTCCATTATAGTCCAACTCGGACCAAGAACGATGGCTAAATAGTCAGCACAACTAGGCCGATACACATGAGCAAGACGGTCTCGCCGAATGGAAGGAAGTAATACCTCCGCAACTAAAGCTGTCGCCGCAAAAAACAGCACGTTTAATAGAGACTGGGAGGCTCCGGTTGAGCGATAAGAAGAACCTAATGCCTTTTGAGATACGTATTGTTGCTCGGCATCTAATCAAGATTAATTCCGTTATTTACTTTCTTAATAACTATTGATTAATTTATGAGAGTTTAATTCTTTTGATAATTTAGTAACCTTTAGCTTGTAATAGTAATTGAATTAAAGAGTCTGTTATTGCCGCTTTTAATATAATACAGAATTTAATAAATGGAAAACATATCTATTATCTTTTATTCCGGTTTATATATATTCATTTGGCCCGGGTAATTAATATTATTTATAGGGCAGCAGTAGCCAAGAACCGGATTAAAAGCCAGGTTAGCTAGAGGTCAAGTAATGCAATATTATTATTGTTACAGTTTAGGTTCTGACGTTCTGGTCACCTGATACAGTCACCTGACAGCTAGTATGGGAATGCGCATAGAGATATTTAGAACGCTAGGCCCCTTAGGGGCTAGCTTACTATGGGTGCACTTAAGCCCACAGCCTCCTGTATTCTAGTCTTTCCTCCTTTAGCTTTGAATCATCTTCGTAAGGGACCTTCTACCTTGCTTTCCAAGCCCTGAATGCCGTACCCGTGACAATTATTAGTATTAATATATATCTTGTAGCTAAGAAGAGGGATTTTAAGGAGGGGCTTTCTAGAATAAAGCTACTAAATTATTACTATTAAGGCAAGTGTCACGGTAAAACGTTGATGTGCGTAGAAGTTAATTAATTAATAGCCTTTCTAGGCAGGAACTAATTACAAAGGTAGTCACATTGGCTAGCTACGTCGAATGACGTAATAGTAAGTAATAGTTCTTCCTTACTAGATTATCTTCTATTTCCGTATTTGTATTCTTATTTATTATAAATATAATTATATATATACTTCTCTTATTTCTTTATATATTACCTTATTAAGACTTACTAGCTTATAAGGCAAAATAATTTCATTATAAATCCTATATTTAATTACTTGCTTTTTAAGTTTAGTAAAGTAATCCGGAACTTGTTTATATTTTAATTAAAGTAAATTAATATATAAGCTCGGCTTCTATTATATATAATACGGGAAGTTTCTTAAATTAATAATAATATTACAAGAACTAATAATGCCTTTAGTTTATTATTATATAATCTTTTCTAGATATTATATATATAACTAGTTAGAGTAATTTTAAAGAAATTAATTTATGAGTTTTTATTTTAGTAATTATTAAATACTTTAATACTAGCTATATTAAAACTATTTATTTTATTATTATTCCCGAAAATATTCCCGATAAGATTATTTTCTCTTTATTACTTTAACTTATTAAGTATCTTATTTAATATTATAACTCGCCTCTCGGTTTTCAAGCTTTATAATCCCAGCTTTTTTATAAGTAATTCAGGCTTATATCTTAAAAAATAGGCCTCTGCTATACGGTACTCGCCCTCTTGTTTTACTTTAATAAGCCAGTTACCCTAAATATACTTTAAGTAAAGAATATATAAGTCCGATAAATAAATAATATTATTAGTATAATATTAGATAATCTTAGTATTTATTAGCTAAAAGGCAAAGATATTAGTAGCTATAAGGCTTATAACCTTTTTCTTAATTCGGATCTAATAATTAATCTTTATAAACCCGAGCTTTAGATTAAACTAAATAGATTTATTTAGCCCGTATATATATATTTTATTATTAATATAAAATATATTCTCTAGAAATTAAATATTTATAATATTAGTAAAACTAATATAATAATAAGCTTATAGTATATCTATACTATTTTATATATTCTAAAAATATTTAAATATATCTGGATTTTTAAAAATAGCTTTAAAAGTCTTATTATTATTTAATATTATTATAAAGGCTAATTTTTCAAGAATTAAAACATTAATAAATCGAATTACTTTTCATAAATAAATGAGAATAATAATAAGGGAAATAGTATTATATTAGCTAAAAGAAGTTCTTTTAAAATTTAGATAAAGTATATTAGAAAAAGAAATAAAGAAAAGAAAAGCCTCGAGTTCTAATATATATAAAAAATAAGAATTAGAATTAATATAAAAGTAGTTATATTAAGGAAATAATAATATTAGGAAACCGGAGTTAATAAAAGCCTTAATAAAGATAAGTTACTTAAATTAAAATAAATAATATTTTCTTTATAATCTTTAGAGAAGTTTCCTTTTTTTTCCCTGAAAACAAGTATATATAAGCATTTATAAAAAAGAAATATATATATATAATAAAGCTATAATATTATCTTTGAATAAAAGACCGAAGATATTATCTAATATATAATAAGTTATATAATATTTATTAAATAGTAATAAGGCCTAAAAGCTTAAAAACAAGGCTATTAATTAATCGAATTCCGAGATATGTTACGGGTACGGCATTCAGGGCTTGGAAAGCAAGGTAGAAGGTCCCTTACAAAAACGATTCAAAGCTAAGGAAGGGAAAGCTAGAATACAGGAGGCTGTGGGCTTAAGTGCACCCATAGTAAGCTAGCCCCTAAGGGGCCTAGCGTTCTAAATATCTCTATGCGCATTCCTATACTAGCTGTCAGGTGACTATATCAGGTAACCAGAACGTCGAAACCTGAACTATAACAAGATATATAGTTTATTATATTATGCGAGCTATATAAAAGTATTAATTTATTATAATATAATAAGTATATTTAAATTAAATAATTTTAATCTTTTAAGAAAGTATTAATCTAAATTATTATTTATCTTATATTTAAATCTTTAGTAAATTAATATTTGCCTTAATAATATCTTAATTTAATAGCTTATAATCTAGTAATAAGAGTAGTAATTTAATAATAAGTCCTTAAATAGAATTTTATTTTATAAGCTCGATATTTTTATAATAAAAACTTTGCTTTATAATTAAGAAAAAGCTTTTTTAAATACTAGCCTTATTTCGAGAATATATTTCTTTTCTCTTATATTTTAGCCTCTAGAAAATACTAATAATACTTTTATAAAATCCTTAATTTCCGGCTTTTTAAATTTATTATTAGTAAAAGTATTACTAGTAACCTAATAGAGTTTCTTATTTATAAAAAAGCAATTATTTAACTTTCTTAATTGCTTTATAACTTAATAAAAGGAGAAATGGCAGAGTTTCAAGCCAGATATATAATATAAGCTAATATAAATAAGGAAATATTTTTAAAAAAAATTATTTAATTAATATATACTAGTAATTACTTAATATTAAAAGAAGGAAAACGAAATAGAATTAAAATATAGAAGGTTATAATATAATAAATACACGTGATAGCATATAGACAGGTGTCAGATATTATAGATCTAGTTTCCTATTTTAGGTAAAGCTTATAATCGGAATCGCACGAATCGCATGGGATCGCATTTCCTAATTAAGTAAAAGGCTTCGCATGCTTGGCTAAGCACTAGGGAATATATAGGGATACGCTCCTAGCTTTGGAAAGGGGCATTAATTAGTCTTTTATTAGAATCAACTCTTGAAATCAGTTACACTTGCAAGCGTCACTCTGCAGCTTACTTACCTTAACTACTTGTATATTACCCTACTATTACGTGCCTCACATATAACTAGCGACTTCTTATCGAGTACTTTATATAAACTACTTATAAGATAAAATAAGACGAAGCCGGATTAAGATTTAGTTATTAAGGTATTAAAATCAGAATTAAAATCAGGTTTAGTTAAGAAAGTAATTCCGGGGCCTATAAAGCCGAAGCTAAAGGCAGACTATAATTATTATACTAGCAAAAAAAACAAAAAGCAAAGATTAAAGTTAGTAAAGGATTTCTTTTTCTTTTAAAAAGAATTACTAAAACTAATAATAAATCCAGATTTTAAGCCGGAAATTATTTCAATTATAAAATAAAACAAGTATCTAAAATAAAACAAGTATCTAAAATAAAACAAGTATCTAAAATAAAACAAGTATCTAAAATAAAACAAGTATCTAAAATATTACTTATATATATATTTAAAGAATTTCAATTTCCCTATTCTTTTAGTACTTGCCTTATATAATAATTATAATAAAACGTGCGAGCTAGCTAAATATTTTAATTTAAACTAAAGCTATACTAAAGTATTTCTTAGTTATATCTTACTTTATATTCTAGAAGATCTCTAACTTATTAATTTATTAAAAGCTCTAGTATTATTCAAGTTATATAAAATATTATATATATTTTGGCTTAATAATAAAAATATTAAAGATATTATTACTTTTATAAGATATATATATTTTAAGAAAAATAAAAGCAAAGATCTAAATAAAGATATTAAAAGCTTAAGAAGTTTGGTTTACTAATATATAACTATTAATATACTAGTTTCATTATTTAATAATGGATTTATAAACCTTTTGGAAAATAGTAATTAGCTTATTAGAGATTTTTTTTTAAATACAAGATATAAAGAATAAGCTGAGATTTCTATTTAGCTTTTTTTCTATTACTCGAAATAGTATGATTTTCTATATAATAGAATTTATATAATTAAAAGAGGGTAAAGACGAATAGGCAAGAGAGAATAATAAGCTGAGAGTAATATTTCTTTCTAAGGTATATATAATCTAGCTTCTTTATAGTTGCTTATAATATCTCTAGCCTTAACTTCATACTATGCCCCCAATCTAGGTCTATAGCTATTCGAGTATCTATTGTTTATATATTACTCGGTAAGTCTAATATCTCAAAGACCCCGCTTATATTGTTATAGCCTTAAATGCCTTTACTAGATCGACTACCTTTAGATTTGCTGGAATTAATATACTATTTCTTGTTTCCTTAATCTATGTCTTCTTTTTAGAGACTTTAACTCTTACTCGATAGTAAATCACTAGTAGCAGGTGTGGCCCTTGAATCTCAAAGACTTCTCGACTCGGTAGTTGAATGGACTTGATGCGCAAAGGCCACAATCCTTCTTCCAGAATTGCCCATTGTGGACGGACAAGAGTAAGTATTCCGAGATCACTCGTAACTGATAAGGCAATCACCTTATAGACGTCCTAACTTGTCTACCTCGGATCCCAGCTGTCCAAATTAACAAAGTCGTCTTCGTTGCTTTCCAGGCTCTAGTCGTCGAGAAAGACTAAATAGACACCCCCACGGGGGATGTCGATTAGGGGGCCAGACTATTCACTAACCCAATGTAGAGACGCTGGGACAAGAACAGCCAATTATCACACGCCAATCCTAACATGAAGAAAATCTGTTTCTGTTCGGAAAGGTGAGCAGAGCTGCTTTACCGGCAGCCAAGGGTGAGTTGTGGCGAGTAAGGTAAGTCTAAGGTGAGAGTGATAGTAGATAAATCATGCATAGGGCGGCCTCTATTCCCTCGAGAATCAGTTATAGTTCTCATGTTATCTATATATAGAATTTTATAGATATCCTATTACTTGTAATATAGCTATATCTTTGGAGCTATAAAAATATTGCAACGGTGTCCGTTCTCGCTCTTCTAGCAAACTTATTAAAAGTTCTTAGCGGAGCCAATTTGGGTCCCTTCTAGTTCACTCGCACGTGGTTTATAGGTTGTCTAGCGGGGAGTTAGCGAAATTTAAATTCTCTAAACGTGAGTAATTACTACTTTAACTTAATTATACTTAAGTAAAGCTTAAGTATCTTAAGTACGCCTTAAGTTTACTTGCATATTATAATATAAAACTTATTTTAGTCTTTTATATATCCTAGCTATAGTTTTTATATTGAATTTTGCCTAGAAATTCGTTTTTACTCTTTTATAAGTTCTTACTAAAATAATATTAAATTCGTTTTATTTATAAAAGTTATATAAATAAAGCGCTGGTTGAGTGAGCTAAAATATAGTCTTAAATACAGCCTAATATAGCGAGGGTATAGTTAGGGCCTACTTCTTTTGCTATTAAAAAGGCTTTAGAGAAATGATTATATTTTTAAGTATAAGTATCGTGAATTCTCAATACTTCAACAAAATAAGCACTGCTCAAGCGCATGTATTCTAAACAGGTCCAAAGACTTCGGGTGGAATAGAATATCTGATCTAACTATGGCCGTCATTGGTAATCACAAAACAAAATCCCGTTCATAGCTTGAGCTTAAAACGTCCACTGACATCAGGAAACTTTATGGAGCCAGCGTTTAAGCAATGGAGCAGCACCGAGCAGGAGTCTAATTGATTAGACTGTGATCTCGTGAGAGCCGGTTCTGCATTCAATACGAAGATTGCGGCATAAAGTGACGGGATTACAGGGCATTTGTACCGCAAGTCCACGTTCAGGCCACTTTCTACTACACTCACCCACTAAAGTCCCCTATATTTCCAGGCTACTCTCCTATAAGCACGCTATAAACTATAAACAAGGGGTACCACACCTTTAGAAGGCATATCCCCTGTACTTACAGGGGCAGACTCGCTAAAGGGTCCTATAATAGCTCTCTCACAGCGCCCGAGCACTACGGTTGCTCCGCCAGCAATACCTTAACCCTTGAAGATTTTCCACCACCTTGGAAATGTCTCACAGCCCTTGTTTTAGGGGTTCAGGCCTAGAGTTACAAGGCTTATAGCAGGCGCAGTACCTTAAGCCACACCCTGGAGTCCGCTAACACCCCTATGCGAACGTAAATGCCCTGTAATCCCGTCACTTTATGCCGCAATCTTCGTAGCTAGATTCTGCTCGTGGCACTATGTGCACGTTCTCAAATGCCACGCTTGCACCGACAATAAGATTTACCACTGCGATTTAGACTATTTCCGGGCTCCTGAACCGCGATCTCCCAAGTGCCTCTACCCAAGCAGAAATATTCCATATGTGTGGAGAGGGATACCGTGCAACCACGACGATTAATAATGTAACCGGTATAGCAACAACAAAGTACACCCAAAAGTGGGAGCTTCCAGGTGCAACGCTTAAGTTCATGCTGAACAGACTGGAGATATAGTTCAGCGGGACGAATATTAGTGCCAGAATTGTTAGACGTGAGATGTTAGAAGTCTCGGTGTATGCCCGTCTAGCTTCAAATATCTGGACAAGAGACGTAACAACAGGCACGGTATTTTCCAGCATTCGGCCATATTCTTCGATATTGGTGCTGATGTGCTGGTAATCCGTGATCAGGGGTTGCAAGAGTCTCGAATCATTTGGATTCTCAACCATCCACGATTTAAGTAGACGGAGCACAAAACGTACTTTCTGCTGCGAGAGTTTGCTACGCCGTCTCCAGCTCTGAAGTTCCTGCAGCCTAGTGTCGAATTCTTCGAGCGCTGGATCTTCATTACTCTTGTATTCATGCCTCACCAGACAGTCATGCATTACAGCGATGTATTTCACCCATTCAGCAGCAACAATTCGTAGAGGAAAATACGCAAGTGACTGTATAGTGGGATGTTTCGGGTCAAAGCAGACCGGGATGCCACGCTGCCAATACTGTCCAAGGTCTTCTGACATGCTTCTTCCTAGACGTATTTGAGGAGGATCGAACCCTTCGGATGAAGCGAAAGGCTCCATGAAGTCTTCATAAGTTCCAAGAAAGGGTTCCACGTGGAATTGAGCTTTTGACTTTACGTCTTTGCCGTCATCTGCGAAATAAACGTCGTCTATAGGGGGATCAACAAGAATCAAAGCTGGGAAATGTCAGCTGAAATGATATAGATATCCAATGGATCACGTTCACTTGCCTATCCAAAAGCTGTGCTTTTGCTTAGTGAGAATTATAGATCCGCAGTGTTGGGATAAACCAATATTCGTTGATGGCAAAAACACGAGTTTTCGATTGATTGAGGTATTTCTCAGGTACCGGCTCCATACATTGTGTGGCTTATTAGTTGTTACGCTGCGTTGGTAGGATATGTTGATATAATTTTGCGTCAAGAGTCGCGATGGCAAAGTTGCGTCGCTCGGTGCCTGCCGCTCACCCCCTCCCCTTTGGCTTACACCCAGGTGTAACGCAAAGAAGAGTGGATCGATAGAAAACTCAAAACCAAGGAGCTCAACAATATCTTTAGTGAGATCTTCAATGATAAAGATTCGTCCTTGTAATGAGCTCTGAGCCTCACCATCGGTCCTAAGCTTCGAGGGAAGATCGTGTAAAGCTACATTTGTTTGTGAAAAGAGACCTTCAACCTCTGCTCTGAAATCTAACGCTGTGACACGACAGCTTCGACGACTGATTGCCTGACTTGAAAGAAATTTGTCGAGATTTAATAGGCAGGGATTGCACAGGGCCTGCGCCTTAACGTAATCGCCATACGATTGTGCGAAGCCTTCTAGCTTATCAATTCCGTTGTGATACATAGAGATGAAAGTATGAGTGCAGATCTGAGTACAATACTAGTATGGTATCCTCGAGTACTTTTTGCCACTCATTAGAAGAGGTTATATATTTCCCACAATTCGAGGCTTGAAAAAGCCTTTTCAAAGTGGCTGCGGACGCAGCCTCATTCAACTTTTCATGGGCAGGAACTGAGGCGGACACGTACAGCTGGATTTGAGGCGAGACGACGCACATGGACAATATTATTTAGAATCAGCTAAAAGGGCAGCTTGCAAGGCACCCCAAGAAGCGGGCTTTCTTATCAAACTAGCCATAACCGGCAAACAATAATTGTCCACTGTGTGGGCGCAGCAGGTGGCCAGCATTTGGAGGGCCAAGGATGCCCTGATAATGGAGAATTACTGGAAGCCTGAATTCGCAAAACACATTGAATTCTCCAGTCTTGCATCGCAAGAAAAATCAGTCGAGTAATGATACTCTCCAAAGCAGATGAACGCACCTTCTAATGAAACGGCCTCTCGAGATAACTATTTTTACACTTTCAGCTTCCAGTTTCCCATCCCCCCATGCCTCTCCATCAACTACTACACACAGCGCCTTTGGCTTCCTGCGCCCGCGCTTCGGCGTGTCTGCTCCAGATTGCCAGTCTTGCTCTTCCATCTATTGTAGCAATCTGTAGGATAAAACTTTCGCAGGGTGGGGAATGGGAAGAGGTGAGGGCATCTAATTTTAGGGCCGAGCCAATAATGGTGCTCTATTCCAGTACCGTGTAACCATTCTTTGATAATACCATCCCTATGATTCGAAAAGCCACCCCCATAAGCACTGTGTGACCGCAACGCTCTTGAGACTTGCAATTGGTCGAGTGTTTTTTTTTCTTTCTTTTTTTAGGCTGCCACCTTTGACCTTTCGGATCTTCCCTTAACTCCTCGACGCTGTCACCTCCTGGCACTCTTCTACGCACAATTCAAGATCGAACAAAAAGAATATCCCTACGGGCTTCTTCGTGACACCACTCAGCATGCAGAACATATTCGACAAGTCCTTAAGTCCCCCAATTCGACAATTCATAGAAACATGGGCAAAGAACCAGACTCTCTGGCAAGAACTTACTCACGCGGCGGACAGTTTCTTCAGGGAAGCACTCGTGGACAACAAACAGCTGAAATATTACATCTTCTCTCGCGCCAAAGAGAAAAAATCGATTCTGAAAGGCGTCGCTCGACGCGAAAGCCAAAGAGAGGAAGGGCTTTTCACTAATGAGGAGGAGATTCTGAATACAATGCACGATCTCGCTGGTATTCGTATTCTAACACCTTTCCCAAAAGATGTGAATGAAGTGAGGACCTTGTTGAAGGAGCAGTTCGGAGAAAATGGGGTCAAAGAGACGTATTGGGGCCTGGACGAAAAGGGCAGGGTCGTTGAGAACGAATACGGCCGGTTTGTTGGGTACAGGGCGACACATTTTCACGTCAAATGGAAGCAGCCCAGCGATAAGTATTCTTCGGCTAGGCTTACAAAGTCGGAGCATGATGGCTGGACTGTAGAGGTACAGGTCACTACGATGTTAATGAACTCTTGGCAAGAGGTCCAGCACGATCTTATCTACAAAGAGTCGAAAGGGCCTCCTTCTCAGGACGAGAAAGACATTGTAATGACTATTAATGGGATGGCGCATGCGGGGGAAGTAGCACTTGAGCATCTCGAGAGAGTCCAGCAGAACAGAATCCAGAAGGACGGGCGCCCTTTCCAACACGCCGACGAGCTTGTAACATGGCTTAGAGAAAAAGACCGAACAGACCTCCTGGAATCTGAAATCGCCGCGAATAATTCCGCCCTTAAGAATACGAGAATTGGGAGCAATGTATCTGCCGTATATCTCGCAGTGCTCTTCGACATAACTAAGATCTCAACATTCGCATCGCCTAACCAACTGCGTGAAGCTCTCCGAAAAGCTAATCCATATGGAGGACTCAGGCCAAAGCTCTTACTTTCTTCACACGATGTGGAATCTTTAGCCGCAGATATTTCACTTTGGGTAATTGCAAAAGTATGTGTGGAGGCGAATGGATGGAAGTTTACAATCGAGAAATTAGGGTTGGGGCCACAACTTTCAACGCGTTTTACCCCTCTTGACCCTAATTCTCAAGCTAAAGCCTGGGCTATCGTGAACGCAATCAACCTTGCGCTGTCTGAGCGATCGAATATAGAAGTTATCGGGAAAGAAATTCATAACCAAGCCATTGCTCTTTGCAAAAAGCCGGAGGACATTCAGCTTTTCAACCGTGCCCTTTTCTCTACCGTCACAAAGCATACGATTGGCTCGGACGACCAAAACTTGATTGATATTTTATGGGAAGGGCTATACAGCAATACCAGATTGTTTTCTTTGTTACAAGCATCGATGTCGATGCTGGCAGCGGATGTTGTGGTCGTTCCAAAGGTGGAATATGCATATGGGTCTCGCTGTGTTATATGGCCAGGGCATTGGAGAGGGATTGGACGAGAAGAAGAGTGGATTGCTTCAATCTTACGACCATCCCGTGAGAGCATCGTGTCGTTCATCAGCACAACAGCATCGTCCATCACCCTTTTGAGTGAGGTGAAAGCGGACAACTTTCCATGGGGAGCGCTCGATACCAACGGCGACTTCTTTGACAAGGGTGGGTTCACAGTCCACCAGTGGGGTACCCAGCTAGGTGTTAGCGAATTAGCAGTAGATGAGCCAAAAGGAAAAGGGGCAGATTACTTGTATGATGGCCCTCAATTTGGGACTTTTGCTAGGGATAGTAGCTGGAAGGGAAAAGTTGAGTCTTTACGAAAAAGAACACTTGAGAGTTATCAGGACTAAAGAGAAGAAAATAGTAATATATTACAATTGTAATATTTTAATACCGGGTCTATTTATAATAAGAATTTAAAGAAGGAATTCGTTGCGAGGGCGAGAGTTTATAATTATTTCAGTAATATTTAATGAAGTGTCTTAGCGACTCCGAGGATTTGCCAGGGGTTATAGTACTTGGACTCTTCTCTTCTAGATTAATACACTTTGTATTAACCAGGCCGATATCCAGGAGCGGACCGAGTATATTAAAGTAATAAAAAGCATTTATAAGAATACATTAATAGTGTAACGGGGGGATTAGAGCAATGGTCAAAAGGGCTCAAAGTTCCGAGAATCCCATATATTGAGAATACTAAGCTAAAGAGAAGAAGGAGAGAGAGAAGGAAGAAGGGGGGTTAAAAGGAGGGAGATACTAGCTAAAACCACTGAAACGCCGGCTAGCTAGGTGAAACTAGTCAGGTGACAGCCACCCCCAGCCAGTGCCGTTACAAACAGTACGGATCTGGCTCATATATACAATCGAGCTAGAAAAGAACATTTTCCGGGCCCTGCAGGATCTTTATCCTATTGTTACCGAGATCCGGCCTAAGCTCTAATATATAAAAGACCGTTATATGTCTTACTTACAAAGTCGGTGGTTCACTCTAGTACATTTCCTTAATTACGTATAGGTAATATCCCTTCGCGACTTTGCGTACTATAGATAGAATATAAAAAGTCCTTGTATTACTAGCTTAGTAGATCGAAATTCTAAAATGAAAAGTAGAGCGTTAAGGGCAGAGAGGAATGGCCTGAATAAATAGCAAGGGCCTATTACGGCCCTCTTGAAGCCCGTTCTAACTCCCCTAAATTATTCTCGCCAGGAGTTAACGCTCTCGATAGCCGCGTAACCGGGAATAAGCACATCTAGGCAGAACGGGGTGAGGATGGGTAAAGGATGGGTGAGGATGGGTGAGGATGGGTGAGGATGGGTGAGGTTGAGGTGAAGCGAGGGTGAGTAGAGCGGCGAGATGTTACGTGGGCGTTGGCTTGGCGCGAAACAATACCAAAACTAGCATTTCCTTTAATTTAATTTAATACTTGTTTTATTTGCTTACAGCGCTAGCTAGGAGCTAATTGGATATATACTTTTTATAAAATTTGGATTAGTAATAGCTCTTTAAATTAAAGAAGTTAAAAAATTCACATTTTATATCCTAAAAGTAAGCTTAAGAAAGCTTAGAAATTTAGCGAACAAGTCCCTAAAACCAGAAATAGGAGCCCTATAAGCCCATAGTTAATAGGGCCTTATAGGGCTCAAAAACTGGAACCTAATTAATTAGTATATAAATTCCCTTAAATTAAAATACTATCTTAAGAAATCTTTTTATTATAGGTTAGAAAACACGTGATTATAATACAAGGGTTACAATATACTAGCTTTTACTTATATTAAAAAATCTAACTCAAGATTTGTCGTTAACACCCCTGCCCCAATCGACACCCCAATCCCAATCGACCCCCCCGGTGGGGGGGTGTCGTTCTGGTCTCTCCCTGGCAAAGGGTCTGAGGTCAGTTTTAATATTCTCCACTCACTGAGTCACGCACGACTTGTGTCAAATAACTTCCTCATCTTCCTGGACAATCCTCCATAAGGTTGCGTGGTCAAGCCCAATGCGCATCTAAACAATATCCCAACCCCCCAACTTTGCTGAAGGGAGTTTTGCTAGAGAGCTCATCATGTCAATCGACCCATCTCAACCGCGGCTCAAATCAAAGAGATTTATAGTCAATGAAGCGACAACTTTACTCCGACTTGAGGACCCGAAAGGATACTTCATCCAGTCAGCATCACGGATAGTCCGAGAATGTCCTCCGGAGCTCCCATGGGCATCACTTTTTCGTGGCCAGATATATCGGGGCTTGTTCGTTGGGCCAACTTCGATTGCTTACTTATTTTTGTGCCTTTCAGCGAAACACGCGGATCTCGAAATTAAAGGCAGGCGGCCTGCGGAATGGTGCAAAGCATATCTCGAGCTGGGACAGGATTCTGTGGCTCTAGTGTTTGAGGGGACTTGTGGGATTACGAGTGAATATCTCGCTTCTAACGCTCTCAAAGCGTGTCTGTACCAGAGCGAGACACATGCAGCGAAGGTATTGGATGCATTCAGCAATCTCGAAGCGGATCCAGCCCATTGTGAATGGATGAATGGCAGGGCTGGTGGACTCTATATTTTGTGGCTCATGCGAAGATGACTTCCTGATATGGCTGCGGCGATCAATTCCGTCATCACGTCCCTGATCAAAGCCATCCTCCCGCAACAGCCATGGATTTGGAACGGCAGCCAGTATTTGGGAGTCGTCCACGGCGAGATCGGCATCCTGACGCAGGTTATCCTGAGCGATCCTTCCCACGCTTCGAAATTGGAAAGCAAGCTTCTATCGCTCATTAATCTGCAAGATGTAGAGGGCAACTGGCCGGTGATATACGGGCAAGGACAGCGGGCTCGTACAGTTCTGCCATGGAGCGCCAGGCTTTGTCGGTTCACTCATCGCCATCAAATCTTATTTCCCGACGCTTCGTAAGCAGATAGATGCAGCAATCACACGGGGGAGAAAGATAACATGGGAGAAGGGTCTCCTGACAAAAGAGCCCAATTTCTGCTACGGCAGTAGTGGCAATTCGCTTGCGCTGGATGCTCCCCAAAGGGAGCATTTTCTCTGCTTTGCTACTCCGGAACGGATCGAGCAAGGTCTTGTGGATGGGGCTTTTGAGAAGGATGAGGACCCGTATGGGACGTTGTGGGGGGAGGCTGGTCGAGCGTGGGTTTGGATGGAAGTTTGCGACGGGGAAGAGGGGAGATTTCCACTCTACAGTGATGTTTAAGCACAAATTTGGCCAATTAAGCTTTGGGGTTCTGTCTCGAAAGAAAGTCGCTGTTTTGTGAAGGTGTTTCAGCTTTTCCCGACTTCTGAAGCGCCGCGGATGCGAAACGTAGAGGTATGTAACACTTGAAAGTGACAACCCAGGAAACAGGCTCTAACCGACCAACAACCGAAGTTTGGGTACTGATTGGCCACTAACTCCTCTGAAACACCTTTGTAAGGATGCAGGAGGCTAATGCCGACGCCTTCCAATTACCGAAACGCATTCGGTACTTGGGTATAGAACATACTCCAATATAAAATCTTCAAGAAGGAAGGAGCGCTATCAATGTTAAAGGGCCGTCTGTTTTGCGTTTGATATGTTCGATAGAATAGGCTAAGTACAGCTCCACTAGTACTTCGTAACCGTAGAAGTCTTACTAAATAGCTCTGTAGATTCGCTTGTTCGCCTAATCTAAAATACAGATAGCACATGAACCACCTCAGATACTTCCAGATATCGAAATCGATTTCGATTAGATCCAATTTACTTGTGTAACGAAGTAAATATTTTCAAGCGTTGGAAGGGCAATAAACGAGAGGCGAAGGGGATGGTTCAGTTTTCATCTGAGGGAAGATGCACCACCGCTTTACACGCCCCCTAATTGATATCCATCCTCGGTAATACACCTCAATTCGTCCCAATATTGTATCTGGACACAAACATTTAGATGGATTGGTCAGCACGGGCTATTTATAGGCAGGTGTGGAATTTAAGAGCTGGCACACACTACCTTTTGCTTAAAAGTTATGCACTAACAGCGGGGTTTCCAGCCTATGATAACACAGCTGATAGCCGGGAGTTGAAGGTATTGGGCGTCGCCATTTGGAGGCGCTTTTAGCTTGCATCGTGTTCCTACCCGCCATTAGCCAATCTAGCGATTTGTTAGTGGCTTGGACTCTTGGAGCGACATGCTTTTCATGTGAATAGGCTCAATTCTAAGCACTGGCCGTGCCACTTTGACTTTCCGACCTTCAAAATATTTCAGAGGATCTTTTCTGCGGGTGCCCGGTTTAACAGATAGGATCTGAAAGAGCTGGATTTGTACGTACTTGTTGGACATATCGATTCCTGACGGCCCAAGAAGAGGGCTTCGGCTCTTCCTTATTTGAGATCGAAAACTCAATACAAACCTCCAGCAATTTTATTTGGCAGACATGCATTGCTACTGCTACGGTAGGAAGATGGTATGAAATAGTTGCAATAATTGCGTATCGCCGGTCGTTATCTAAATGCCTTTTATCAACGAAAATCAATTAAGAAAAAAAACGAGACTGGGCAGGCCAGCGCGGCAGTTGCTTCCACAAAACTTTCCTTCCTACTAAGCAAAAAAATGGATAGAAGAGAAGAATTCCCAGAAGATTTAGTAAGTGCTTAGGGCATGCTTACTCTTACAATCAATACAGTTCGTTTCAGAAAATCCCTTTTGACACTCCTGTCCAAAATACAGTAAGATGCTCTGCTGATTCTCTCAGGAGGGGAGATGCCACGATTCCCCAAGGATCTCCAAGGAATATTCCGTAGCGCCGTATCCAATGCAAATCAAGTGGCTGTGTTCAACGGGAAGAAGCATGAGCGATTCCTCGTCACGGACTGCGTGCCAAGATATGCCCCTGCCACTAACCTATTGGCTGTCGAAGCGCTAAGCTGACGATGCACCCTACTTTTAGGCACGGTTGGTCATGCATTGCCACCCGTCGGACAGGGATTATGATTGCCACATGTTCTGCTAACGCGGGCAAAATGACGGCCCAATCGTCCTCGTCACAATATGCCCCTCTCCCAAAACTGTACTCTAGCCGCCCCCCAGCCGCCCGCCCGCCCCGCCAACATAAGGCCATCGTTTTCCGTCGTCGCAATCTAAATCCTCACTCTCACTCTTCAACGGACCGGAAGGCTTTGCTCTGCAATTGTTGTTTCGATGCGGCCCTAGCTTCACTGCGTAAAGAAGCTTACTAGTGAGTAGCGGCCGCTGCCACGCCCGCAAATCGTATTAAATTTAGCCTTTGTTTCGCCGAGGAGAAAAATAATTGGAGCTGGCTGCGGCCGAAATCGAATGTTCTAGCAATCGCTATCTCAACACAACACACTTCATCGGAAGATGGTTGATGGCATGTCGCGAGAATGGCACGACGAAGTCTACTGTTTAGTAAGAAACGAAGCTCAAAAGCAGCTATAGGAAAAAAGGTAATTACTATTGTTTATGCAGCTAAGTTCATATACTAGTCTTGCTAATAATTTGGTACGCAGAGGAAAGCAGATGAAGAGCAACAGCAACCATGTAGCACCAAGCGAGTTAGGAATGTCCGTCTCCCAGACGAAGAAGAGGAGGTTGGGGACTTCATTGTCGTGGATACTGGGACACTCTTCGAGCCTGAACACTCAAGGCAACACTTTAGTCTTGACAAAGAAAATGATTCTATACCAACACCTCGAACACCAGAGACCCCGCTACCCTCGATCGAGGTTATTGATGAAGAAGGCGAGGTCGTCGTGAAGGCGACCCCTGAAATTTCAAGCCCTGACTCCGTTGAGGCACATCGAGCAAGGGAACTCCCATTAAGGTTGCCATCGACTCCATCGGAAGCGTCTGAAGACAGCAGATGTCGGGAACGAAGCCTCGATCAGCCTGAGGACCATATCCCTTCCGGCTCTAAGCATGACCCGATTGTCCTCTCGCCACTTCTCACAATTGACAAAGAAAGTCCACGAAGCCCTATAGTCGGACCGCCCTCAGACGAGATCGATTCTTCCATCTCTACTCCTTTAGAAACAGTATTTGGGCACGATGCACAGGTACCTTGCGTTTCTGAAGATACTCAAACTGATTATCAATCTCTAAATCTGCCCCCGGCCCCTCAAGAGCATTCGCCCCTTGATGTCCCCGTTATACAACCTTCTTGCCCCAGCGCTTTTGGCATGACTGCCCCCAGTAATACTCAACACAATGAGCGACTTCCGATCAAAATCTCGGCCCCCGGAAGGTTTGGAGATGCTCCAAGAGGAGTTCTAGTAACGAGAGGAGATCAGTGTCCATCCAAATTTGTTGTATCTGGAATCACCTCAGATTCGGAAGCAGATCAACGGGTATCAAATCTAAGTGAATGTGAAGCTCGCAGTGGAATCACATGGTTCGAAACTGTCACGGAATCTAGAACCGATAACTCCCTTGAGCTGTCAGCATCAGAAAGATTCCGACCAGCAGAAGTAGGAACTACTATTGAGGGTGGCCAGGGAATATCAACAGTGTTGCAAGCTGCTTCTGAGCCAACATGCCGAGATTCGTCGAAGACAATTGGTGCTATGGACCCACCAAGTCAGCCGAGTCTCAGCGAGGAGCCAGAGCGCCCTATTCAGTCTAGCGGAACCTGTGAAATTGTTTTAAGAGGAGGTCCTGAAGCAACACAGGACATCTTACCAGAGCAAACAGCCACAGATCAACAAACGAGTCTCTCGGAAGATGAGATAGTTGCGAGAATTCTTCCCCTTCCAGCACAATATCCCACAACCTCGTCTGAAATTACAAGTTTCTCTGGATGGAATCTGTTGAATTCAGCCATCAAGAAAGGAGCAGATGACTGGGAGACTACATTCAGCCGCCCTGTCAATGCTGTGTCCTCTGGCGTGAGTTTTCAACTTACGTCACATTCCAATCCAAAGGCCCTGGAATCCTCAACGAGGAGTTCTCCCCCAACCCTAAGATTTACTGCCGACAATCGAGCTGAAAGTGCCCTCACGACTGTCGAAGTGCAGCAGCTGATCCAAACCTTCGTAAGAGGCGCTTTCGCTATTTTACCAAAAGGCAAAACATACCCTGCAGGAATTATCCTATGGCAATCACTACAGAAGTTTCACAGATGGTATATCAAAGAGGAGGAACTTAAAGCAGAATCCAAGCCAAGATCCTCTGCAACAACAACGATGAAATTTGAACTGTTGGATGTTCACTGGCAGCCCGAGAATGTCTTTTATCTTCCAAGCAAAGCGACGGGGGACGAGTTCAGGGAGTTGAAACAATGCATCTGGGATCTCTTCTGGGTATCATCAAACTTGAGGGGCGCTGAAAATCCAAAGCAGTTCAGGATATTGATCACCCGGGCTGCGGATATGGTGGATGGTGCAAAGCTTGGTCATTTGACGACAGCGTCGTCACCGACTTCTACTGAATTGTCCTCCCCTTTCGGTGGTCAGCCATCTTCGCACTCGACCTTTGGCAATATGGCTAAAAATGTTCAAGAGCTGGACCCGAGCAATACACATCATCGCCATCGGGTTCCTGTTTCTCGTCCTCCATCGTTGACTGGTGATTCTTCTCAGGTGACTCTTGAGGTTGAAGGAGCTAAGACGCCTCAATTTTTACGGGACTTTCTTCAGAAGAACAGACACTATTCTGAGACGAGTCAACCTCCGCCTATGCAATCTTCGCCAACAAGACCAGAAAGCAATGGAAAGTCTGCTGTACAGACAGAACTACTCCATCCACCTCTTGTCAGGCCAGAGTGCAACATGACCGCAGCCTTCCAGCCACACCCATCTTCTCGGACCCCAATAACACCTGGCCCCGCCAATAACCTACAACCGCGGCCCAATTTACCTCCTCCTCGATCCTTTGGAGATGCTAAGCCCGCATCTTCGGGCTCCCAACCTGAATCGCTCTCTTTCCAGGACGCCCGGTTTACTAGAACTGCACAAGTCCCATCTCCCCATCCGTCTCCCGTTATGGCAGATACATGGCAAACGGAAATATTAACACCCCAGCCCGCAGTAGCTGACAGCAGTTATGCTGCAAACACAGCTCGACCTATGTTCTCAGCACAACCTCAAAAAGACTCTATTGCACCACCGGCTATACTACCATCCGCCCAACATGCCCGAACTCACAACACTGCTCAACCAGCTCCCAATGTCCCAATCGCACCGCGGCCAATACAAGACAAGGGCAAAGAAGCACAGACAGAGACTTCTCCTGCAACCTCTCAGACTTCAAGAACTCCGCGAGAGAAAAAGAGGTTCAGAGATAAGGCTATGCAAATGGTAATATATTCATCCATCTGAAGCAAATTAATTGCCAGTCTAATCTGTCTACAGATCAGCGGACGAAATAATATAGAACTTGATGCCGACGAAACAACCGGAGGACGCAAAAGAACCTACCCCGAAATCATCGGCGTGATCATCGACAAAAACAGCGAAATGGGGCTTGTGGTTATCACCGAGCGTGGTTACACAGTTAGCCAAGTCAATACAGGCCAAGACGTGGATTTTGACCAATACACCGAGCTGACACTCCGAGAAGGCCAAGCTTGTGTAATTCATGGAAGTTCGACGGTGTTCTATTACAAGCAGCGAAGCCGGGCCCTTCAGCAGAATCGCCAAAGTCCTCCTCGGAGGCCACTGCCAAGTCAAGCACCGCAAACCATCAGAAACCAACTTCACGACCCTTCTGTCCTTGCACCACCAAGGCAAGCAGTCCCAACTTCAGAAGAAAGCCAGCAAGAAAGGACGGATCTTCAACCATCCACAGCCGAGATCAAAATCCGCGTGCAGAGAGATAGGCATGGACGCTTCACCGGACCGCACGAATTCGAGGTCTTCACTCTCACAGTCAACCTTCAAGGCTTCTTCTGGTGGTTCTCAAAGCGGACGGGACGGGGAGGAGAGCTTGGGCCGGAGAGATTGAGGATCATTTTGAAAGATGCGATGCCGGCCGCGAAGACGTTCGATGTGTACAGAGGACATTTCGAGGCAGGGTTTGAGGAGAAATTTCGGAGGATGAAGGAGAATATTTTGGTTGAGTGTGAAAGGACGAAGGCTTTTATGCCAGAGTTGAAGGAATTCTCAGTTTTGGTTGTGGATCCCACTTGGAAGGGGGAGCTGGATTGATATTGGACGGTAAATACCCGGTACATTTGAAAAAGGGAGGAATAGTGAGCGAATGATTTATGCATGTGATCTATGACGATTTTACTAATTTCGCATTGAAAAATGTACCGCGGGGACCTTTCAATAGAGGTGTGAATTCCATGTAAACTATTGTTCTCAACTTCCCCGTACAATGTCATATCCCTAGAACGGCTGGTTGAACCAGTCTTCTTGCATTTTCCGTCCAATTGATCCATTAAACTTGATTGACTTGAAGTATTGCTCACTCTCTTCTTTTTCTCCTTCCAGAGAGTTGGAGCATTTCAGGTCCCCGAACTTTGTTGAGATGTTCATAAGCAATGCCGTGCGCGGTTGCCTCTTCTGAGCAAATCCATGAAAGACTTCTTTCAGCTTAGACGGACTCAACGCGTCAGCGGATGTCGGTGTGGCTGGTGGAGCGGGCGGTGTGAAGCCTGGAAGAAGCTGTGCGAGGTGCCATGCATCCTCTCTAGTTTCAGTTAGATCTTGCAATCCACAAAATAAGTGATGAAGAAAGTGGAACTCACAAAGTCTGATTTGCGCCTTGTCCACCGTGAGGTGTGAGCGGATGTGCGGCATCACTAAGCAGAACGCATATTCCCTTTGCTGAATACCACTGCTCCAGTCGCAACACCTTCCTGTCGCAGACTCTCAAATACAGGATTTCACTTGAATCTCTGACTGGGTCATTGACAAATTCTGGTCAGCTCTTCAAGTCCTGGAGCAACTCCTCTCTTCGCGCTTCCTGTTCTGCGGAGGTTAGATGACGAGGATTGGGCCACTCGACGGCTCCGTGATTTGGTCGCTGATAAAGAGCCAATAAGCAGCTAGTGGGTGTGACAGGGTAGTAGGTGAAATATGAAGACGGTCCGTAAATGAACATAATGGTGTTAGAATGGTCGATCATTGATCACGGAATTGGGGATATCCCTCTGTGCTATAGGGAATTACCCAATTAGTTCTGCCTGTAGCATCCCAACTATTGGTTGTCCATATTATCAACAGGAAGTGACGAGATGGGCTACTCCGCCAGCAAGGGTCCATTCCAAGTGAGGTCTTGAGTGTTTTCGTAGGCTTGAACGACATCTCCCCGGCCGCTTGGAATTTCTAGAGCTGAGAGAACTCTCAGGCTGTAGAGGCCATTAGCTTGAAGCTATGGGACAGTTGAAGTGCGCGGCACGACTCAATCGGCCGCCTTCAAAGACCAACTTACGTACACATGGAATATAAATTTAAGCTGAGTACCCTCTGAGATGGCTAGTGCTCTTACTAGAAATTAAAGTAAGTATTGGTGACACTGTTGAGAGTGAAATTACAAACATTCTTTTCATTTCCCTTTTTGGGTAAGTGGCGGGTCGTTGGCGGCCGAAGTGAGATGTGTCAGCAACTAAATATAGCATCTACGAGGACATTCTCATAAATGCTTGCTATGCTCGAAAGAAGATTTCTGATTCACACGACAATAGGAGTCGGTTGCTAGTTGTCAATCCTTCATTGTCGTACCAAAAGTTCTGAGGAGAGATGATTAGAAGGAAGGTTTCTAAAGGGTAGCGGTGGGTAATTAAATTTAATGACTACTCGATTAAGATATAATTAAATATAACGCTCTTGAGCTGATTGTGCGTTGTATTAAGTGGGTAAGGAGGAGGTTTTGGATCTAGCTAACTAGAGGGCTTGAAATTAATGCGCATGACACATACTTTTTCTCGTCTTGGAGAACGATTCTTCCTACACGTCAGGTCAGATATTAGTACTTTTATTAACTAGATACTAGTATGGAGGATATCGATATGGGTGAAAGAGAGGAATGAAATTATATCTTCAGTCCCTTTACTATTATATAACTGTTATTTTCATTAAAAATCATAAAATACGCATAAAATAATGCAGTTAATAATGGTAAGCCTATTCATCTAATGAGACATTACTAGCGTGGGCAGGGGGGTCCTACTTGGTTAGCTGAGCATAAAATTAGATGGCTTCTGTAATTTTATTGGGTGCCACAGCTGTGACTAATACGCTAGTAATGTCTCACCAGACGAAGGAATAATTTAATACGGAGGTACAGCTCATAATGATAGTAATAGCGCTAGCAGGGGTCAATAGAAAACTCGATACTCGATAACTTTTGCTACACAAAACATAAAAAGTTCATTTAAACGCTGTAAATATCCATAACAGTGCCGTATAGTAGTGCTACCATTTTTCAAGTTTTTGCAATATGTTATTGTTGCGATACCAGGTTGAAAAGTTCGGACCCCTGCTAGCGCTATTACTATCATTATGGGCTGTACCTCCGTAATTAATTCATGAAGGGGGTCTAGCGCTTCAGACTATGTTTAAAGTGGCTAGCGCAATAACCCTAAATCATCGAGGCTTGCGGTCGGAGGACGTGATGTGTCAGCGTGCATCAAGCATCCCGCTTAAGGGTATATGTTTCACACTAAAGGGTTACTAAAAGTGGTCTGCACCTCTCCTCACATACGTAACCCCACTTAACTCAGGTCTAACTATTATCGTACTCGTGCTCTCGAAATATATGTAAGGCTTAAAGAGAGATAAGAAAGATAGTTAGTTAGTACGAGGGGAATAGAGAGAGGTGGGGGGCTTTGGGGGCTTGGGAAGCGAGAGTAGAGAAGTGGAAAGCGAACTTTGAGGTTGCGAATCCTAAGTCGTAAGGAAGAGGAGGGACAAGTAAAATGAAGCCCTCCCCCCCGGTGTCGATGGCAGAATCTTTTTCTGGCTTAGCGCTCTGCATTTCCCGAGTTCATTACTAAGGAACTAATTTAGCCTCACAAACCCTCCCCCCCGGCCGGGTATCGAATAGGAGTATTAATAGATTTTAGAATTTTAATAATACCTAATTCGTTGTTTGTATTTACTTACTTAAACTCTCTCTCAAATCAGATTTCTTAATATAGGTATAAGGAAGTTTAAAGAGCTCGAGTTTTGGGGCGTGGTAGGCGAGGCGATTATTGCGCATGAGGCAAATAAGTTCCAGGTGCTTGATCGCTAAATTTTCAGGCTCTCTTAAGGTCGGTACGCCCAATTGACACGCGGGGGGAGGGGTCGTTTTACTTTTCCCCGGAAGAGGAAGCCCTATAATTATAGGCTTCTTCGTCGCTAAATTATAGGGCCACGGTCGCTAGATCATAAGCTATGTACTAAAAAATTAGTGCTTTACTTTCGTGGGGTGGCATATATTTTTGGGAAGGTGAATCATGAAAGCGGCAAGCGCGCTGGCGCATCACATCCTTACGCCTCCACCTTCCTCTTTATATCCTCATCCCTCTGCAAGCCTGCAACCTTACAATTCGACAACTTCTTCATTGTTTGTTCAAATGGGGTCTTCTTCATCGCCTAGGTCATTGGGTTGCGCGGCAACTTCCACGGCACTGAAACATACGATCTCAGTCCCTTGGGCTTGGGACAGGAACAAAGCACGAACGGTCTCCCACCACTCTTCTCCCGGGTAGATGAGCTTGCGCTGATGATTATAGCCTAGGACAGATTTCTAAACCCCGTCTTCTCCGTAGAATTGTTTAGGAAGTGATGGGGATGGGTCGAATGTACAGGACAAAGGATAGGCAGCACATTTATCGACAAATCGAACACCGCAAGATATACTGGCGAGTCTCCTATACGCGCACGAATACCACACAACTGGGCGTGGAATTGAACAAGAATCGTTTGGTGGAGAATTTGGTGTATTATACTCCCACAAGTTGAACTTGCCGGATGGATGGCTTTCATCCACACTGATGCCGAACTCGAACTCGAAACCACCGTCCCATGGACAGTACAGCATAACCTATCCGTCAACGACGTCGAATTGCAAACAACAAAATCAATCATCCTCTTCCCGTTTGCACGGCATACTTATATCGAACGACTAATAATACATATATGCGAAATTACATCTTGAATATCAGCCATCTTCCAGTCGTTAATCAGTCGTTGGTCAGTCGAAATGTCGGCGCAAGACGAGCGACCCTGTACCCTCTGCCACCGACCCCACATAACACCTTGGTGACTCGTTTGTGCGCCCTTCTCTGCGGCTGCTCTTCGGATACGCCGTTGCAATACCGTGTCGAGTTCCGAAAGTGCGGTGACGGGTCAGTACGCAATGCCATGTGCCTAGTTCCTGGACGTCGTTAGAGCTGATGACTCGGACGGATGTTGACCTTGACCGGAAAGCATGTCCGCAGACAAGGAAGACCAACGGGCCTTGTGGAGGACGAGCACGCATGAGTAGACGGGGACATCATCTTGATGCGAAGCCTACTTGAAGAGTACTCGTATGGCCTTTGCGGATAGGGATGCAAACTTCGTCTTCAGACGACCATGATCCACAAGTTGTGCTACCATCTCTTCAAACCAAAGAACAAAGCACAACCGAACAGAGAACACGAATATGGGCAGACAATAAAAACACTTGCCTACCGAGCGTCTTTGGCTGCGCATCCAACCTGGCAAAGATGGCAAGACTTATCCGTGGCCGAGTGTCGAGCAATGACCACTGCGTATATGATGCGCTGTACTGTTGGTGTCCATTCATTCTGTGTCTCTGATGTGCAACCTCTGAAGGTCCTGTTTGGCGCCTTCCATTTGTTTTCAAGCTTCTGGTATTCCTTGGTCTGGGTCCGAAGTGGATAAATAAGTTTGAATGAGGAATGGAAGCCTTCCTATCCATCTAGAACAATTCCCTCCAGGTTTATGGTGCGAAAATCCATGCACGCTTCCCGAAGTCCTGTTTTGCCTTGGAGCGATCTCATTATAATACATTGGGTATTATCTATCCAATGAACGTATGCAATATCCGTACAAGATTCACAGACATTGGCTGCCTTGGGCAGAATTGTCGAAGAGTACCACCTAGCACATTTGCAAGCTGCAGCGTGGTTGTCGTCCGCGGGAATAGCAAACCTGAAGACCTCATTGGCGGACTGCGGTGCGTGAGGTCTTTCCTCGGATCAGGAAAGAAATGGCTCCCTTGACCCAGCTGATGCTGCACTTGATTGAGCCTCCTGAGGCAGTCCTAATTCCAGGTCAAGGCTGCTAGAATTTTCCGGGGAGTCTAGTCTTAATGTTGTTTGATGTTGACCGTTCAGGTGCATATGTTCAAGCTCCAAAGGATCTCGGCTCCATCTGTGGCTCAAGTCTTCATGGAATTCTCCATTGGATCGAACTGAAGTCGGGTCAAACGCAGCTCGATAAGATCCTTCCATATGATGTCCACGGGTAGCCATATAACGTTCCCCAAGGGTGATCCCATTCCTCTGGTGGAAATATGTTTCGAACCAAGGGACAAGGTGGACAGTGACCAAAAGACTCAGGGCAACTAACACTGGAATATAAGGTGCAAATTCCTCAAGTGAGCTTCGTTGGGATAGTAGGATTAGGGTGACGACGGCGATGGATCCGATGAGCGTATAGTGGCCATGACTAGTGATTATTAGCTTCTCGTTCATCCCTACGGTCAAGTACTGTTTACACGGCAATCTCTGGTCCGTTCAGCACTGCAAACAGGATGGCGGAGGCGACGAAGAAACCAAAATCGCTATATAAAGTCAGCCTCGACTTCCAAATCCTAAAGGAGATGGGCAGGTACAGCAAGCAGAGGCCTCTCAATTTGAGAGGATAGAGGAACGGCAAGGCGGCCGATGATCCAAACATTGAGCCACAAACCAATCCTTTAATGTGTGAGAGATGGCTCTCGGCGAGGCCTCGCATCTTTCGGAATAGAACGACGAGGGGAAACAGCATGGGTTGCTGTCCAATATTCAGGCCATGGATCCCTTCTCCGAATTGGAAATTCATCTCGAGGCTAGACCTGGACCAATTGAATAGGAGCTCCCCACAGGTTGCAGGGCAATTGCTGGATAGTACGATTGGCTTTTATGCGGTTGATTTTGGCGATACGGAGTATGTTGGTGAGCTGTTAGGTCGTCATGAACTATCATGCGCGTTGAGGATCGTTGGGTACATATAGATATCGTGGTCATGCCCAACCGAGCTGACGTGGTCTGCCATTGGAACGCGGCGAAGAGGCTCACTTTTTGTTGAGGTTATCACGAGAGGTTGGCGTTAGGCATTAACACGTCGAGGGACCTAAGGCAGAGGGACCCAAGGCACAATTTCTGGATTGGGGCATGAACTGGACCAAATCGTAGGTTTCTGGTTCGAACCCGCGGAAGACATTCCTCATTCTAGAACCAATCCGAAGGTTCCGGACATGTATCAATCTGCCGCAGCATACGTGGTCTTCCGTAGAAATCTGGTATCGGTGGAAGCTTGCTTCTTACACTGGCTGACTGTGGTTCGCAAAATTCAGCCTCGCGCCACTTCTCGCTAATAAAGATCCAATCGGTCCCCTGACTTCTCGGTGAGAGAAAACGGATGAAAAACGCGGATTTCAGCCCGACTCCAGCCTTGCGGTCTGCCTGTTGATGCCCGACCAGTCTGCCTCGTCTACGCCGGATTGGAAAATCTGCCCATTGGATTCCGTGCATAAGCGAACCTGGCTTCGATCGGGGACTGAGGCTGTCTGTGAAACAACTTTCTCGTTTTGTGTGGGCTAGCAGCGGCAATTTACATCAGCCCTCGCCCCGGTGAGGTTATCTCGCAAGCCTCGTCGAGGCTGGCGTGCCCCACTCATGTGGAGGGACTTTCCGAAAATGTGCTTCGAGTTATCGTCAGGAGGATCCAGGAGAAATGTGGTTTATATCAATAGGGTCTTTGCCACCTACTGGCCAGCCTCCTTTCCCGGGGAGCCTCATTTTACCAGTCAAAGAGGATATATAAAGAGTTGACCTCTTGAGCCTCCACGAAGCTCTTGTGCCAAATCTAAAATGCCTGGCATCTTCTACGTATCAATTAAGCACCAAGGACGTTGTAGCAGGTACTCACGCACTTTTCCTGGAGTTTCAATGCAATGTATATCTTGCACAGAGCAGCGCGTTGAGTCTTTGCACAGGAATTGCCCCGCGAGAACACTCGCAACTTGCTGGGAACTTCTATTCGCAACATTCACTTCCCTGATATGTTCAGCATATGCCATCCGTCATGAAAATGGCGTCAGTAAACCCCAAAGGATCCCAATTTCTCAGGCTGATAAAACCCAGGGTATCAACGTCCCGGATTCAGGACTGCAGATCCAGCTTCTGGAAGTTGTTCCCTCCGGCCATTTTGAATGGATTCTCGATCCACCACCAGCATTGATGCTCTTTGCATGCCTCGTTCTAGGGTGCTCTATCTCCTCCTTTGCCTACAGACGACAGGATGGAGATAAGTTCCAGACGCCAATATTCGCTCTGGCAATCATGTCCGCTACGATCTTCGGACTTGCTATGGGCGTCAATGCCAATGTCATTATGCTCGGTGTAATTCCATGGGCTCTTTGCCTAGCTATGATTGGAAGTGTAGCCGTCCATTGGCTCATCCGACGATGTTCAAGAGACCGGAAAGTTCTCTACACTAAAATCCATTGCTGTGATCAAAGCGAAAAGGAAGCACCGGTACCAGAAGCACAACCGTGTTGAGGTCACTGGGACCGGGGCCAGTGTTGCGTGCATTGCTGCTTAGCACACAGATTGATATTTACTGTAATTGCGGCCCAAAAGTGTTGCTACATTGCCTATAATTAATCACGTTACAGGCAAAGCCGCAAATATCGGAACTGGCGATTCCGCTTACGTTTCTACAAACTCAAATTTTATACGTCGATACCCAATACCTACCAAGCATCATATTCATAAGACAGAACAAAACAGAAGCAAAAACAAACTATCATAACGGCCTATCCAAATCTTGAGGTATCTCAGACGAGAACCTCATACGTTAGCGGCACACACTCCTTGCTTCTTCGATAGAAGTTCGACTCTCTCTGTCTCTCTGTATTATTAACTTGCGGCTCAACCGCAAGCCGCACCCTAATTACATTCCATGCCATGTTTTGGATTGGTCATGAGAAATAACGTTACTAACAGGCTCAGCCAAACTCTCCCTCGCCCTTGAAAATGGGGATGAGGATAGTTCGGACAGGCTTTGTAGTCAGAATTAAAGTGAGAAAAACATATGTAGGGGCCATTTGAAAAGGGGTGAAGAGTTACTTACGTTTTCGAAATTTAGTACATATTGGGTTGTGGTCGTTGAGTAGATTTTTTAAGTTGAATGAATTTATTTCTTGCTTCTGTGGTATATGCACTTTTAATATATTAGCCAGAGCCCGGCCCTCCTAATTGCCCTCACCCAAGTGTTGTCTTGGAAGTCCGTGCCTGCTAATGCAATATATTATATATCCGTGAGCTGGCTCTTGTCCCACTTCTATAAGCGATAGCACACGGAAGTCGGGGGGTTACGTCGCGGCCAAAGTGTTGGCACGAGAATTTCAGCTGGCCGTCCTAATCCCCAGCTGCTTGTTTGCTTTGATGATCAAGACTACGCGCGTGATGCAGTCTCTCATCCTTCATCTATCAATCACGTCTAAGGAAATAAGAGCTTTCTAAATTTTCATTTGACTATCCTAATGTCCTCATATACGGCTGTTCTGTTTCATCTCGAGCTCATTCGACTTTAAGTAATGAGCTTCCCACGAACGACGCCCAACTCATTTATCTTAGATCCAAATCTAAAGCGCTGCCATACCCTCTTACCCACGCTAGGTTTGCCTTTGCCATTTAATGTGGTGTACTTGGCAAGTAGGAAATCCAGATCATCGAGAACATTTTCGCAACTGTTGGCACAACTCGTTGACTGTGCTCTCGTCGTTCGCTCTTGTCATTTACTGGGCGAACCTGGTCGTTCCGCCAATGCACGAACGGTTCTCAGTACACTGTGAAGGCATCACATCTCCGAGGCTATTTCGACATACTCATCGCCAGGCTGCTGGCAATTCTGGAACGCATTTCGCGCATGTTGGACCAGAAGGCGAAGTCGCCCGGTGACACACCAAATCCGCCGAACGATATCGCCTGCTACGATTGAAAATATCCTCTGCTTGTGTAGAAAGTGAGAAGGGAATGGGAGGGGAAGTCAGGGCCAACAAGTTGTGGACGAGGCTGCTCGGGGCACAGCCGCAAGCAGCATTGCCTCATCGCGCATCTCGCGCATCTCACGCTCAAGGTAGGCTTTCTTACTGGCGAAACTGCTGCAATCAATCCTACTGCGCACGAGTATTTAGAAGACAAAGTTACTCCTCGGGCAGTTGCACAAGGAGAATTTCAATCAGCTGTGAACTTGATGATGAAGGAGTCAAGGCCGATTGCAAGAAGGCAGAAAAGTCCCTGGTCGTGAACAGAAATGAAGCTTCCGCAAAAATAATAGACATTGATGAAAACGACTGGATTTCTTATTCCCGCGCCCGTATCGCATCATTTGAACAGGAACGTGATGAAGATGGAAGAAGATCAAATTTGGCAGTGGCTCTGGGATAAATAATCATATCACGTGGTAGACTCAGCCCTATAAAAGCAGCACTACTTCTGCGTCCCCAGTCCAGCTTGACATTTTAATCGAGCTTAGAAATCGGCTAATGTAATGTCTAAAACTTCGAAGAGATTTAGAACTGGTATCTTTGATGATAATTTGCATGAATATATCGAGAATGCAATTTTGAAATGTCCCATTGGATATGTGTATGGAAAAACAAGCGCCGCTTTTCCAATTCTGTGTGAGTCAATCAAGCAACCCCACGTCCCTCCATAAAAGCCGAATTTCGCAAACACTCTCCTTTCTCTCCACAACACCACCACAACATGGCGGCCAAATTGAGTCCCGAGGACTCAATTGCCCTCATCAAGGCCAATCTAGCCGAAGTCTTGAACCCAGAACTCATCGACCATGTCATCCTCGAAGAGAAACGCCCTCTCAAGGTCTACTGGGGAACTGCAACCACGGGACGACCCCACTGCGGTTACTTCGTGCCCATGATGAAGATCGCAGAGCTGCTCGCGGCTGGCTGCCATGTCAAGATCCTGCTCGCAGATATCCACGGCTATCTGGACAATATGAAAGCCCCAATCGATCTCGTCGAGTTCCGCGCGAAGTACTACGAACGAGTCATAAAGGGGGTACTGAAGGCTGTTGGTGTTGATCTGTCGCGGCTGGAGTTCGTGCTTGGTAGCTCTTACCAGCTGAATAAGGATTACACTATGGATCGGTTCAAGTTGGAGGGCATTACGAGGGTCAATGTTGCGCAGAAGGCGGGGGCGGAGGTCGTGAAGCAGACGGATGACCCGACTTTGGGAGGTTTGATCTACCCTCTTATGCAGGCGTTGGATGAGCAGTACTTGGATGTCGATGCACAATTCGGTGGGGTTGATCAACGGAAGATCTTCACATTCGCCATGGAGAACTTGCCGAAGATTGGATATAGCGTACGTGCACATCTGATGAATAGCATGGTACCGGGGCTGGGAGAAGCTGTCAAGATGAGTGCCAGTGATCCAGACTCGAAGATCGATGTTTTGGATGGACCGGCTGCTGTTGAGAAGAAGCTGAAGAAGGCCGTATGCAAACCCAAGGAGGTTGAGGGCAACGGAGTCATTGCTTTTGTCGAGCATGTCATTTTCCGAGCCATTGCGCTGCATGTCGACCGAGAATCGTTCACTGTGCAAAGAAGAGACCAAGAACCACTCGTCTACGAGTCGATAAAGAAGCTCAAGGAGGACTACGCTGCAGATATTGTGAGTCGCGTGCTCCATATCTTATTCTAATCGCCACGCTAACATTTCATAGCTCACCCCCCAACTCCTCAAATCCGCCCTCGTCCACCACCTCAATGAACTCCTCAAACCCATAATCGAAGAGTACGAAGCCTCTCCCGAGTGGCAAGCAATCGCTCTCCAAGCCTATCCTCCTCCGAAAGTAGAGCCAAAAATCAAGAAGGTAAAGGACAAGGGCGATCCAGCGCTACGAGCAGCAGCAGCAGCAGCCCGGAAAGCTGGTGTTGTTGCCAAGCCAGATGGACATGTTAAGGGACCGGGTGCGGAAAAAGTTACTGTTGGACCAAGCACGGAAGAAACATTGCAAAAGTCATTGCAAAAGTTAAAGGTTTCGGAATGATTTATGATAGAGTAGAAGACAAAAGAATACCCATTGCCGACTCATATTTCCTCGCATATTTTTGTTGCCTTTTCGCTGCTTCCATGTGCTAAATCGATGTTTGCAGTTGACAACCCCTTTATTTGCTCGCTGCTTCTCAGAGTCAGAACTGCGAAATATGGTAAATATAGAAAGTACACTTGCCTTTCTTTTTGTTGCATAGTGCACCCAATGTTCCAAATATCTCTGGTAAGATTACATTAAGAATTTCTCACGAGCTCAAGTGAACAAGGGATGTATTGTTTTGTTGCACAACGCAGAGCTTTCCGCTGATATCTGGACAAGAGATGACTTTCATCTGAGAATATGGAGGATAGTGGTTATGTGATACAAGATGTTTTGTCATAGATCTTGGTTATCATCTCATGAGATTGGGATGGTTACCACAACTTGGTCTAAAGTTCAGATGAAAAGTGCAGTATTAATATTTATGTAGCATGTTTGACGACGACAAAACAGACGCATGTGAGGCATTGTGATAGATAATCCAGTACAATCTACGCCCGTGCAGCAATTCACCCATATGCTGCATTGTGCCAAGATATCAAGTACAACGCACAGGGATATTGCAAGCTCTGCAACCCCCCCTCGCTCCCCCAAAAAATTGGGCTGCCTCGAGACGACCTTTATATTGTACCAAGATTCTTTTTAAACCTCATACATGACTCGGCGCTAGCATTCTCGAAAATGTGATTTTTACATACTTTGGGAGTTGACTGAGTAGCGGAGACCGCTGAGCTACAAGTACACTGTCATTAGAACCAATACATTCAGGCAGTCCGTCTGCGTTTGTATACATTGACGGGGATCTCTATTAAGTCCCTCGTCTTTCTCTGGAGAATTTCAACGCCCAGTAACGCCTTTCCTTCCTTTAATACCCCAGCTTCCAACCAGTCCCATCGCACTCTGGCCCCCTCCTTCTAATCTCTCATCCCTCAACACACTCGACAAACACTTCCACGGGTCTCTCGCTCCACCCCATTTCAGCACATGATCTTTGAATCTCTCCCCATTAGCTCTATCCACCGCAGCACCGTCCAGGCCGGAAGCAAAGACCTTCTGCCAGACACGCTTCGCTAGCACCCTATCAAAAAGATAGCTGTAATACGACCCACCATATCCATACAAATGACCGAAGAAGCCTTGCCAGCTTGTGCCGGCAGAATCAGGCGGTAATGTGCCATGAGAACGTTGTAAATCGTGATATACTTTCGTGGTGTCGAAGGATGGGTCAAGTGGGAGGGAAGAGTGGTATGCTTGGTCGACCATTGAGAGGATGATTTGATTTTCGATGTCTGAGCCTTCGAATTTCTTGTCTAGGGCTAGCTTTTCGGCGACCATTTCGTAGGGGAGGGGCTGGTCTGTTTCATAGTGGGAGGCGAAGAGGGAAAGCACGGACGGATCGGCTGCGAAATGCTCCATCAAGACAGAGGGCAGCTCGGCGAAGTCGGTTGCACAGCGAGTCCCGGATACTTCTTGGAATAGTGTTCGTCCTAGGATGGAGTGGATTGCATGACCCATTTCGTGGAAGAGGGTGGATACCTCGCTGAAACTGAGGAGCGAAGGTTTATGTGATCCAGGCTCGGTTGCGAAATCGCATATCAGGGCGATGGTTGGGAGTTGCATGACGCCTTCGGAGTGGGGTTTAGACATTGCCATGCCATCGTTTGCGGCTTCTTCTGCTGAATTGAAAATAGGATCTTTTGACGATGCAGCTTCTTGAATTTCATCGTTTCTGATCAGACGAGAGCATCGTAGAGTGAAGTGTGCTGGATTTGGAGACTTCCCTGGGCGAGAAAAGAGGTCGCAATAGAGTACAGCGACATGTCCATCTGTCTCTGATATGACATCCAGCCGTCGAACATCGGAATTCCATGTTTCTCCAGGTAAAGATTCGTGAGGTACAAATCTGATACCGTACAGACGAGAAAATAGTCTCGAAAGTCCCTGCATGACTCTTCCAAGCGAAAAATATGAGGAAAGAAAATCCGGGTTGCGTGACCTCGAGCGGACAGAGGACAGTATATGCGACATATAGTACTCTTTATCCCAAGGTTGGAGAGTAGGATGTGATATATTCGTCTCTGCCATCTTTGCCATCATAAGATCGACCACCTCGGCCTCCACCACAGATCGATTATCTTTCGACAATGCCTGAAGGAAACCGTTAACAGATTCTGGTGATTTTGCCATTTTGTCCTTCAGGGTCAACTGCGCATAGCTCTCAAATCTTGAAAGTTTAGCTAGCTCTGCTCTCTTAGTTAAAAGAGTTCTGAGCCTTTCTAGAGTCGCTCTGGAGGCTGTTCGACCGGCCTTGAAGATCTCACTCCTGGTCGCTTCGTCCTGAACGGTTCGCAACGCGGCGATTGCAGGGCCTCCAACGGATGGTAAGGTAACTTGGCCCCATTGTATGTACTTCCGGACGAGCATTGGGTCCATACCTTTTAGTCTGCTGCTTTGGAAGGTCAAATGCTCCTTCTCTGGTGCCATGTAATCCACGAAATCCGGTCCAACTTCACTGATCTCCTGTGAAAGAGTCACAAAACGTTCCCGCTCTGTTCTTGGTAGGTCGATAGCAGATTTGGCAAAATCCCTCTTCAAGATCTCTGCAACCATTTGTTCTTGTTCTCCCCACCTGCCCATCCTGGAAGATTGCTCTATGGCAATATCCAATTGCTTCGCCAATCCCGTAGTTGTATTTAAAACGTTCATGTATTCAAACATCATAGCGTAAGCCCTTGTCGCAGCTGCTTGCATCCGAAGATCTGGATGTGTAGCTCGAACGAAATCCGAGATATCAATGACTCGACAGAGCAAGTCACTCAACCTGTCCAAATCCTTCACAACTCGGTGGTATTGGTCTGCTGATGATGCTGCCAGAACTTTCTCTACAATTTTCTTTGCCTTCCGTAAAGTTGAATTCGCGAAATCTTCGAAGCCTCGAGGCTCGGTCAAGTATCGATTTTGGAAGAGTCCAATATTTCGTCCAGCTTTCGAGGACTGGGAGAATTCCTTCCAGAATGCCGGGGAGTCGAAGATCTGGCGGAGGGTTCTGTCATTGTGCTGAGCCCCAGGAATTACACCATTTACTGATATGCGACCGTGGGAGGCCTTCAATCCCAAGTGAGCCGTCTCTTCTAGGGATGCCGACGAGGTGGTTTGGACATGGTTGCGTCGCAGCCGCGTTGGCATCTGCCTTTGAATACATCTCGAGCATATCCATGGTCGAGGAAGTGCAGATTTGAACATTCCTCCCGCCCGTATGTACAGAATCCAAAAATGTACAGAGGTGGTGTTAGTGGAGGTTAAAGAAGGAGGCCTCGCCCGTGAGAAATATTTGTGCACTTATGCCGATTGCATAAAAACACGCGACTTCGATCAAGCTTTATCAACCTCGGAATTCACCAACTTCATTCCTCAATTGAGCACCCATACAACGTTAATTGAGCCATGGCCTCGAGATTGTTTCTGCGGCAGGCACGTACAGCAATTCCATCAATTGAACAGCTATTAACAGAAAGCAGCGTTTTACGCCCGCAGCTACCGGCGCTGTGGTGGTCGGCATGGCTCTTTTCCCAAAGACTGTTCTTCATGCAGAGTCTGTTGAAGGGCCAAACGTGAGCTTGACCAGTCTTCGGACTGCTCTTCAACAATGACTGACCTATTTTCCAGTCAAGAAAGCCCATCTACGATGAGTTCGAGACCACACCCGCCCCTCCAGCGAAGACCACTCCTGCAGCCCCTCCGACCGGCATATCAGAACCTCCTACTAAAATTAGATCCCCTACACCGACGGACCGTCTAGCAGTTCAGATTGGAAAGACGAGAGTATTCCTGCACAGTCACGTTGCGGCGGCAGAGAACAAGGTTAACGAATTTATGGATTCTGTTCTCCACCTCGAAGAGAGCTTCACAAGCACAATCGCCTCCTTAGCACCACCACCTCAATCTGGGGAGAAGCTCATGCCTGGGTCATTATATGTTCTTGTGGCAGCTATGACGGGCAGCATTGTCTCGAGAAACCGGAATATCTTCCTGCGGGCAACAGTCCCTTTGGCTGTTGGTATTGGCGCTGGCTGGGTTGTATTGCCCGTCACTATGAGGAATGTCTCGGATTTGTTATGGAAATACGAGCAGAGATTCCCTGCTATCGCTGATGGTCATATTAGAACAAGGGAAGGTATTGAGAAGACCTGGAGAATGGCACGGATCCATACTCAGCAAGCAGTCAATATTGTGGATGACAGGGTCAGCTCAGGAAGAGAGGCAGTGGAAGGATGGGTTAAGAAGGGGAAATGAGGTGGCATTCAAGACACAGACATGTTCTCTGTACAAACAATAGACCTTTTTTTTTTATGTGTCCTGTTGACTATGTGTAGTAGAACTTGAGGGTAGGTCTTGATTTTGTTCCTCTGAAGTCTCTTCATTTTTCGTCAGCTCAACCTACAAATCGAGTCTCCTCATTGGCGTCCCCAAGAGCGTTAGTATCGCTGCGATATACCTCTACAATATCGATTTTCTCGACCCCAATCCTCCTCTTCTTTCGTTTCAATTTTTGCAGCAAGACTGGGGGATCTCATGCTATGACCATTACCGGAGGCCGTCAATCAAAAGCGTTCCGCATTGTAATTCTGCAACCATCCCAGTTTGAGACTTGGCCGGAACTTATTAGAAAGGCCAGATGAATGCGACGGACGCCCTGTATATGCACCGTCACAGGATTCCCTCTTCAAGTTTGTGGGGGTAAGGCTGAGCCCAATTCAGGTTGGCTCTCATTGGTGGCCTCCGGTGAGGCAATTGAGTTCACCCACACTCCAACAAAAGTGCTCTGGTCTCCTTGATTGGAGGCCTCCGGAAGTGTCTCGCAGTGGTCGGTCGCACATGCCATGGCTGTTGGCTATAAGACTAGCCTTTTCTTCCATCCACCGCATGCCACTCCGAGCGACAAAGACATCATTTCAACTTCTCTTGAACCACGTCTTTTCGCCGCATTCGCGGCTTTCCGCGCCCCGATAGGCGCCTCCCCTTTGAGCTGCGGGTGTAACCGCTGCTTTAGCGGTGTGCACTCGCGCATCTATTTCCAATCCTCAACTCGTTTTGTTGGCATTGTTATCTCGAACAGGCGATTAATCCAACCGTGGATCCGCAATCCACGCTCCTTCATAACCTCACCAATGTATTAGAAACACCCTCTCTGAAAGACGTTTCCGAGTGTACATTTCACGATGTCTCTCGGGGAGAAGCTGCCGTGGAGCGTCACGATGCAGCACCAATTCGGGTCAACGCGATGGCACTGAGTTGGTCTCCGATGCAAGCCCGACGCGTCGCAGACGGAGGTGTACTCACTGTAGTGCGAGATAGTCTCCTATCCACATCATCACACGTTTCTTCGTCCTCTAGTCCTTCACTGGATGATGAGAGCGAAAACAACACTTCAATATCCCCATTCTCACAACCAACTGCCAGCTCCGAGTCACGGGGCTTGCCAGCATCAGATCAACGCTCTGCCATGATCTCAGCACAATGTACTCCGCCTGCTGGGACCAACGATATGCTCGCTGTCCCCATACCACTCCCAAACGGCCACTTTTCATGTCCGTATTGTCCCAGGAAGTTCTCACAGCTCTCGAAAGCAAGGTATGGGTCAAGAGCCCTACACATCAAGAGTTGCAAGATCTGACTCTCTCCATTAGTCACCATATTCAAATATATCGACATACCCATAGTTGCTCCGTTTCTGGGTGCGGGTGGAGCTATAATCTCCCGAAGGATCTGCTCCGACATTCTGCTACTCACAATACCCCTGAAGCGCGAGACCGATATCCTTGCCCAGTGACTGGATGCAGCGACACTATGAGTCGGCACGATTTGCTTAAGCGACACGTCGAGAGATTTCATTGAACGTTGTCTTGAGCCTGAAAAACTTGGTCATGCATAGCTGCCAAGTTGGTGACTGTAAGTATCCACATCCCGAACCGCCATTTCATATGTGTCGTATTCAAATTCGACTAATGCCTTCTGGTGTTTCTAGCGACTTCCTTTGGGGCCCAAAAAAGAAAGCTAATCACAAGCAACAAACACGCACACTCACTCTCTCCCTCACTCTTTTCTTTTACGCGGCTTCTCTTATGCGAGATCCCGCTATGTTGACAATAAGGCCGCCACCTCTTCCTTATCCATCTAAGTCCACCGCCATCGCTGTTGTATGCTCCTCGATATTTTTCTTGACTCAAGAAGGTGGAGGAGCTAGCAATAGGTGTACTGTCCGTTAGTATGGCTTCCCTACGTACGCAGGTGCAGGCCCTAATGCTTGTGGCACCGCCTTTACAGGGGGGGGTGTTTGTGACACCGCCTTTACAGCGCACCCCCCCCTGTAAAGGCGGTGCCACAAGCATTAGGGCCTGCACCTGCGTAATTTCATGATTTTCATCGATACCCCCGGTGGTGCTAGGGCTAGAGTCTGCTTTGTTATCGAAATGGTGGGAGCACATGTCTCCTCTTGAAAGCAATATGTATATACATTTCTAGCTCTCAAAAGTTAATCACGTTGTTCTCCTCTCCCAGGTTTTCAAATCCCTTCCACCATATCTCTGGATAGATTCTTTGTGCATAATACAAGACTCTTCGGTCGACTGGCAAGCAAAGTCAACAGTAATAGCGAGAATTTACCGGAACTGCGTATGAAACGTTGTGGCAACTAGGAGCGCTGACAATGGCGGGGGTCTTATCCAGGAAAGGGGCCCACACTAGGTGACTCCAAATAGAGTCCGCATACAGTATGAAGGGCACGATAAGATTACTCAGCATCTTTCAGTGGTCCTTCGAGGAAATGGATTTCTATGTCCGCGTTGAATAGAAGAGGACTGGTCCTTCATGAAAGATTGTTGAGTCCGCGGATACTTCATTTCGCCTCCCAGCTGTTCTGGGAATGCAAGATGCTCCAAGCTTGTGAGACATACCTGGAAGGGATACCGAACGACGATAACCTTTACAAGGAAGAAGATGACTCTATGCTTCCAATAAGCCTCAAAAATATGCCCAAAGAATCGGAAGCTTCTGATATCTGGATCAGCGTCGTTCAAACTTACGGAAGATGCAGTATTACCATGCCCGACGGCAGACTTATTACTTTCGCTGGTATCGCAAAATTAATCCCGCCGCCCTTGAATGACCATTACCTTGCAGGGCACTTGGAAGAAGGACCTCCCGTACGACTTGGTTTGGTCCTTGTGGAATATAAAAGGTGGCGAACTACAATCATCAAGACGATATAGATGTGTGATATTCGTTCTCAGCGCCGCATTTCGCCAACGAATTCCAAAGTTCTTCGTAGTTTGTAAGCTACTCTTAACTATGCTAGCGCTTTAATCGATGACTTGCTTATCGATACCGCGTGTAGAGTAGACATTGGTAAACGTGCTGGATGTCTACATCGACCCACTGGAAACCAAAGCGTTTTGTCCCTTGCGAGGTGGCTTTCTCCACTTTACTGGCAAAATTGGGCTAATATTCTCCCTTGCCGACCCGGATCCCGAGGGGGAGTGGATAGATGGCCGCTGCTCATTCGACGTGCATATGGAACTCAATACGGATTTGATAGATGAGGAGTCATTACATTGCTTAACGCTTTTTGTTCGCAATAATAATGCCACAATCATAAATTGTCTTCAGTTAGAGCTGCTCAAGCCAAGCCTCAGGGATTACAAAAGAGTTGTCCTGCTAAAGGTCTCATTAGATCTAAAATATACGCTTCTGCAAGAGATCAAGTAGATTGCGGAATATGTGAATTCCGAACCAGATTCAAGGGATCTAGTTAAAGTTACCATCTTCTAAATAATGAGTAAGTGCAGGATGCGGGAGAACAATATATTTCTACGATGTGAAAAAGCAGGGGTGAGAAGAATTCTCGCCTTACATATGCGAAACCTTTAGCTCTTTTCTCATATAAAGGTGTACCAATGTCTTTCCAGCGCCTTTGTATGCAAAATCTAGTTATCCAAGCCAGTCCTGCCGATATCTTGAAGTGTTATTCTCACCCTTAATTCTCGCCTCGCATTCGACATCAACTCCTGAGGGGTAATCTTGCGGAAGGTTGATGGCCGGAGATACAAATTACTCAGAAATGAGCGGGCACATTGAATAATAGTATGCCTAGGAGAGTGTTGAAAGATAAGATCCAAATAACCTCGATTGTACTTGTGTACCGTCATGTGACGTGACCGTCTCCCTTTCTAACTTTTACTCTTCATGCATGTTAAGTTTACTTGGTTTCATTTCTTTTTTTATGTACACAACCTCCACCTGTGAGCCTAAGTCAGAAAAGGCTCTTCATTCAAGTTCTCTCATTTCTACACAGCCAACTAAAACTCAATCTGCTGGGAGAAAAATTCTTGAATCACTGTGAACCCGCTCGTATTCTGAGTCAAGTACGAAGAACCAGTCGAGTCACCCAGCCACATAACCTCAGTAACATTCTCAGTGTTTGCCGGGAAAGTAGTGAGATTGCCACCGTTCGGATTCCCAGTCTTGATGAAGTTGGCCCAGTATGCCGACATCTGGGTCTGCAAGGCATAATCTTGCGTAGTCCAAGTCAAGTTGTAATAAGTTGGGATGTTTCCAAAGACATACCACAATTCAGATCCGTGATAAGCGCCTGCAGTTTGGTTTGGTGGCGCATGAGTCCAGTAATAGACGAAGACATCGTTGGTTGCCCCTCCGCCGTACCAAGCTTGAGCCCAGTCGTACGTTGAGACGCGGTTCACGTCGTCCCAGAAAGCGAAGCTCATATTTCCGGCAGTAGCCGCATCAGTAGCAGGGTATGCTTCAAAAAAGGCGGCAGATAGGTTGCCCATGATCTCTGTGAAGCCTTCTTCGTATTCAGCGAGAGTCATTGTGTCATCTGAGGTTTCGCCCTTGTTGTCTCCTGTCAAGATGGGAATATCACCGTGAGTGTTTAACCGGAGTGATTCTCCATAGAGGTATGGTAAAACGTAGCCGTCTATGACCGGGCGCCAAAGTGGTGGCTCCTGGATGGCGGAGCTATTTTTAAAGACAGTACCGTCAAGAACGGTGTCCCCCGAATTATCGTAGACGAGAAGATCGTCCATTGAGACATTTCGAAGTTCAGCGATGGAGGTGACATTCATCTCAGCCAAGAATGTAATACCGCTGCCCTCAGCTGCGGCTTTAGTACGATGAGCGGTTGCTAAACCATAGGTTTCTGGGTCGTGTGGGCCGCGTGCCCCACTTTCAGCAATAGTTGCGACAATCTTGACGCTACTGAGAGGGCTGTACATCATGTCTAAAGCACTTGCAGAGCCAGCTAGAAGTATTCAAGTTAGCCATACGTTCTCATGTCTACAATTCAGGATGCGAAGAATTAGAAGTAGAGGAGGCGCAACGTACCTGACTGTCCACCAACAGTGATGTGATCGGGGTTACCACCAAAGGTCGCAATCTCCGACTGCACAAAAGTGAGAGCTTGGATCTGATCAAGAAGCCCATAGTTTCCAGAAGCGTTATGACCAGACTCAGCATTGAGTTCAGGATGAGCTAGGAAACCGAAAGGGCCCATGCGATAGTTGAAGTTCACAACGACAATGTCCTTTGACGCAAGGTGAGAACCGTCGTATGTAGGCACACTTCCAGCACCTCCCTCAAATCTTCCACCGTAGATCCAAACATATATGGGGAGATTTGAAGTAGATGTCGCATTTGCTGGCGTCCAGATGTTCATGTAGAGACAATCTTCTGAGATATCTTCGCTGCCAGAAGAGAAAAGGCCGAGAGCTGAATAACTTTGGGCACAATCGGCTCCAAAAGATGTTGCATTGAGAGTTCCAGTCCAGTTGGACGGTGCGGTAGGCGCTGTCCATCTCAAGTCACCAATTGGTGGGGTTGCAAATGGGATGCCCTTGTAAACATTGACGGCGCTGTTGAGGTCTGATGTAGCTCCTTGAACGGTACCATAGGAAGTGGTCACTTGCTGAGTAGAACGGCGGGGGTAATATGCAGCACCCAGAACGAATGGGCTAGCTGCCAGGCCAACAAGCAGAGATAGGAGGACCATTTTGGGTTCCAAGAAAAAGAAGAGAATGAATGAGTGAAGTAACCGACTTAGTTGAGGAGTGGTCCAACAGAGACGGTCGGATGAAGCTTCCATCAACATGGGCAATTGTAGTGTATATACTGCACAGCGGCGGTGGAATCTTGAAAAGTCCCAATAAAGAAAATTTTGCTCAAGCAGCGACGTACAGTAAACGTGCTTGTTACGTGGACCGTCCACGTAGAAGAAAATAGTGCGACTCCTCCTTTTTCGACTGCACGCACAGCCACACTCCCTGTGTGGAGTGCACATTGCCAATGGATCCAATTGGATCTGCCATCACATGACAAGCACGCAGCCTATTCATCTCGAATTTCCGTCTCCGTAGGATCTGCATTGATGAATGTATTTTTGCACCGGCAAACGGGAAAAAGTTGAAACAATCTGGCACGTGTCCTGGACCCCTGTTATTGCCCACCTTCTGAGCTTGGAAGAAACATAGGTACGTAAGCGAACACAAACACCCCATTCAGTAATGCATTCCCTGAATTGCTGAAACGTCGAAAACCTCGGGGCCGAGATAGATTCCGGAATACCATGCTGTAAACTTTAGACTTCCGGCATTGGGCGAACCTTGCACTAGCTGCCCCGCCACGCATTTGTACGTGGCCTGGAGGCTGGGGGGAGTTACCCCACCATCGGTACCGAATGCTTCCCCTCCTCCTTTAATATCGACGCGGAATGATTAGTAACGACTCTCCTGATACTACTAACCTGCTGCCCCGACCACTCGGAAAATTCCCAAGTCCGTGACATTGCGATAATAATCCAGGCCAGATCCGAGCGGGGAAGGCGATCGGACAGGACCGTTTGCGTGGGAATAGGTTTAAAACTGTCGCTGCTACAATTTATCCTGTTCCTACTAAAATCCGTGCTTGTATCGTTTTGTTTGAACATACTTGAATTCCCCGTTTTTCTAATGATCCCATTGCTCCACGCTTTCGTGGTCCTTCAAGTCTTCTCCTATCTGAGAATTGCCCCAGAATAATATTATTCTACACAGTGGGGATATGTATGCTTACACATGGCAATACCTAGCCTTTTCAAAGCTTTTCCCTTGCAATAAACATAAATCTGTTAGCAATTCCCCCAGTCTTGAAGTGTTGTTCAGCCCCTTAACTTCTCGCTTAGCACCCGCGCCCCTCGCCAAAATCTCGTGGTTCTTGACTTCCGGCACCTCGAGGTGCAAAAGAAAAGGTGCCAACTTTCAATGTTCCGAGTCAAAATTGGGCCTTCACAGAGACTCGAGAGGGGAAAGCACTTGAAATGCCCTAGAACTCTCGAGACATTGAAAGAAAGTAGACTTTGCATGTATGAAAATGGGGGGAAACATTGGGATGGGCTCGCAGTATTTGGAATGTCCAAGTTGATTTGGGATAGTCAAAATATAATGGAGCTGTTTTTAGTCACCGCGAGCGTGCATATTTGGCGAAGTCTAGAAATGCCAATCGCGCATGCTGCGCCGCTTTAGAGTTGCAACCCTCGGATATTGGATTCAGAACATTTCTTGCTCCACAAATTCTCAACATTTAGCAGCAACAATATATCCACCATTTGGGAATCTAAACTTCTGCTGGGTTACCATAACATTACATTCCTGTGTGGGAATCAAAGCAGCAGAAGTTCAAGATCAGGTGCCATCCAACAACTAACTCAACCAAGCGAAGCTTACTTCGGAGCTCAAACTTGGCAAGTACAATTCATGAAAAACCTCAGTGTCCGAACAATATTGTCTCCTAGACAAGGGCCATACGTACCATGAACAAAATGTCGAATTGAAACGGCTTCGAAGCTCTTTCGGTCAAGCTGTTCTCCGAAGTCCTCCAACTCCCATTGTTTCAGATTGAGTGAGCCTCTCTCTTACTGATCTCCAAAGCTTTTCGCAATAAAATTATTCTACACTCGGTGGGAGCTCCACGGATATAAGCACTCTTTCAAATCATCTTTTCTATTCCTACGCACTGTCATTCTGGATCCAGAGCTGGCTGCTCTGGTGCATACACGGGACATCCGGGAATGAGATAAGAAACGGAGTACTCTACTGACGGAAAAAAACCTGGGGCAAGAAGAAATGGAGCATCAAGAGGCCTGTGAAGAAGAGACCTATGACAAATACATCCTACTGTTCCACAAAAGCGCTGAAGAGTTGCCAATCGAGGAATTTTCTGTTGATTGTCTCCAAAGCAGCATCAATCGTCGAGATGCGAATGACCTACTGGCCTACTAGCCTTTCTCTTGATTTGCCTTCCCAAACTCAAGACTTTATATATCTCCATACCGCAGGCCCAAGATGGGATCGCATTCACGCTCGCTGATCTCAGTTCAGCGGGACGCTTGGAAAATCTTCACACAATCTACATGTGCTCGGTCCCGCAGATAGGAGTAAGTAACAGTACCTCTACATATATCATCATCACCTTGTAATATCAATTTTCGACGAGAGAACATCTCTATCCGTGGGCTAACCCAAACCTTCTCAGGTCCATAGACCTGAATACTATTTGGACTTGGACAAGGCCCTATCTCTTTTTAGAACCAAAAATGTTCACTCCCTCTATATTCTGACAACCGTGATTTTCAATGAGTTTAACATCACGTACGACGAAGAATTAATGAAACGATAATCGAGGGCATCCAACATTATTGACTTGGCATTCGACGAATGCCAAGCAAAATCCAAGGACATTATTCCTATTCCCAGCATCCCCAAATCACTCAGAAGCTTCCGTTGGGCACAGAACTTCTCATGATTCGACAGAGGTTCCTGCAAAATACCGTTCTACAACATCTCGGTGAAAGCCTCAGTCGCCATAAAGAGACCCTGGAGAATCTAGACTTGAACCTACCTCACACATCCTGCAAAACCAAAGGACATGGCGCAAACCCATATGTGAATCCATGAGATATGCTGGGGTTAGAATGGCGACGTTCCTGGATGAATGATAGGCTTCTTCTTGGATCTCTGAAGGACTTTTCTTCCCTTAAATTACAGGAAATCAATCCCGAAGGCTTATGCGACAATAGCTTCCGAGGCAGAGCTAGCCTGTCCCTGGCTCACAGTCTTCTACGACCTCCCTCCTTCATTGGAAGAGTTGGCTCTCCCTTACCCCTTCTACGTGATGGAAGAAGGGGATTGCAATCTCCAGAAGGGTGGAAAATTCACATGGATCAAAGACCTCCTACATGAACGGCTGTGGATGGCGGAGCTCGTATATCTGGTACAGAACTCCGCGAGCAAATTCCGGGGACTTCGGAAGATCACTGTGTTGGATTGGAATTCGAGCATCGATTGGCTTGGGAATGAGGGTAAGGCAGTAAGGAGACTCACAGGGATTTGGAGGCTGCGTGCGGAGTCTCGCATTTCTTTCTTGATGTTGAAGGAGACTTCTCAGTGGCAGGCGCCTGTGCCCTACTTGCTGGAGATACTTCCGACTAGAAATCCAGGCCGTGAGGTTTGGCGGGAGGTCCAAATGGGGAACGGGCCGGGGGAGCTTTCTAGATAAATTTATTACATATTGCATTGTAAGATTACGAAGTCTCATGCGAGCATCGAACTTCGTACCCAAGGCTTTATCAAAAAAGATTTGGCCGAAAGCCTCCGTCCTTCTCAAACACCTCACCAATAGCCTTCCCGGTATACAAAACATGCAAATCATGATATCTTGGCCCCACTAACGTCAACCCAATTGGCAACCCATTCTCACCTGCGAACCCCGGAACATTGAGTGCTGGAACCTGGAGAATAGTCCACATGCTGCAGAACGACTGCTCACACCATCAGGCCCTGCAATCAAAGATCGAAAATAGAAAAGGAGGGGTAGCGAGGGACTTACAGCATCACCAGTACTCTCAATGCCTACAGGAGCTTCGTCTACCGCACCTGGAGTGAAGACAGCATCGTACTTACTCGCGATCTCGTCCCACACCGGTCTCAGTCTCGCGCACCCATCATACGCTTCAAGTTGTGCTTTCCTCGTAAGCTTCGTGTGGTTCTCAACGTGGCCGTGAAGCATGGGGTGCATTTTCTCCTTTGCTAGGAGATAATCTGCCAACATTAATACCATTCCAATCGAGAAGAAGACAAAGAAAATGGGATCACAACTTACTCCCAAGAAAACTTGTCCTCCCCTCACCGGCAAGCACATCTCCATGCCATTTCGAAATGCTCTTAAACTCCTCCGGCAATTCAATCTCCTCAATACTCGCCCCTTTCCCCTCCAACAACCACTTAGCTTTCTCCCACGCTTTCTCCAAGCCAGGTCCGGCCTTTGGCCAAACGTGCGTTTTCAAGAAAGCAATCTTGGATCCAGAGATAGGGAAGGGCGTTGATGGAACAGGTTCGTCATCGCAAAGTTGGAAGACGGAGGAGAGGAGTTCGAGATCGGCGGCAGAGCGGGCGTAGAGGCCGAGCGTGTCGCAGGTCATGCTGTATTGTGTCAGCCCTTCGCGGGAGATGGCGCCCCAGGTTGGCTTGAAGGCGTAAATTCCGTTGAAGGAGCCTGGGCGGATGGTGGACCCTCCTGTTTGCGTGCCGAGGGCTATGGGAACCTGGGAGATGTTAGGAGTAGTTACATGAATGAAAGAAGACGTACCTGGCAGTCTCCAACAGCCGCTCCTGAACCGGAGGAAGAGCCACCAGGTGTGCGGGAGGGGTCGTGTGGGTTTGCTGACGGGCCGCCGAGGGTGGTTGATGCAAACTCCGTTGTAGTCGTTTTGCCAAATATGAGTGCTCCTGCAGCACGCAGTGTAATAATTGGCGCGGCATCAACGAGGGCAGCTGGCCCATCCTTATAAATCGGAGAGTTGTGGGCGGTGGGCATATCTTGATTCATTGATGTGAGCAGATTCAACGTTTCGAGTAAAGGGGCAGACCTTTTGTCAGAATAACATCCTTAACACCAATCGCTATGCCATGCAACGGCCCTCTTTTCTCGGGGGCTACCTGATCGAGCTTTCCGGCTTGTGCAAGCACAAACTCAGGATCGAGATACGCCCAGGCTTTTACCACGTGATCTCGATCTTTCACACGTGCGAGAAGGGACTTCGCATAGTCTTCTACTGTAAGCTGCCCCTTTCTCATGAGTGCTACGGCTTCACTTGCCGTGAGACGATAGGGTTCGGTCATTGAGAGAGGTTCGATTTACTTAAAGAAATATTCTAAGGGAGTTGTGTGTGGTGAAGATTTTGGAGAACGAGAAAGGAAATCAAGTTGTGGTGCAGGAAAAACGACTTAGGCACAAATTAATGGAAAATTAAAGTAAAGAGAAGTTAGCAAATTCAGACACCTTGCCTTTAAATTTCCAGAAGCTCATGGAGGAGTCTTCACTACTTATCAAGAGTGGGCTATTTCCGACGGGTAAGCCGATGACGATCTTCGGAGTAGCGAAAAGAAGAGATAATGCGGAATTGAAGCCACCAGAACAGCGATAGGAGTTGAATGTCTGGCATTCGATGACACTATCGTAATTCACTACGGATAGCCCCGTATTTTCGGAGATGCTACTTCTGAAATCGGGACACATCACGTGCCAGAAACTTTTCTCCCACCACACGTCGTCTCAATAGGGGTTCGCCTATTCGAGTTCATTCGGTTGTCGGACAACATCTCGTACTGAGCAAATGTCAGGTGCAACAGAAATTGCCCGTGAACTAGAACCCTTCCCATACGTCGTTCGTTAAGCTTCTAAGAGTATGAGGGACCCAGGGTATCTTCGTGACAGCCCAATTTCCTAGCGAAAGAATTTGAGCTGTGGTTGCTCGGGAAAGAATCCCTTTCAAATCGAGATTGCTTGTTTGCATGTTCCATGTTCTCAATCATCGATCTCGCCTCCAAAATCTATCAACCGGAGTTTCCTCGCATCCCTCGGATGGAATTGGGCCACTTTCGACCTCACAAGGAATCTGGCAGCTGCTGACTCCCTCGGGAGATCAACATAAGCGCCGGTGCCGTTCTCATCTGCTTCAACAAGACTATTCAAAAGTTGCTCGGTCAACTCTCGCATCTCCGCAGCCGCCGCACGCTTCTCATCCCAGGGTTCTTTCGATCGTCCGTCATCTTCAGGTTTCGGGCCCCAGATTTCATCAATACGACGTTGGCGTTTATCTTCGCTCGGTTTTGCTTTCTTTGGCTTGCCTTGAACGCTAAATCCACCTTCTAGTAACTCTTCGTTAACGTCCACTATTTGTCCCACAATAGGACCGCCTAACTCTTCGACAGCAAGCATGGCTGCAAGATGGTCATCGATGAAGGTATTGAATGCCTTGACCAACTTGCCCGTCTCGCTATCGTAGTACTTTTTCTTTTGCTTCAATTCAGCAACCATCTCCTTCGCAATCTGGCCCGGCGACCTCTGTGTGCGTTCCTGTATGTCTTCTTGCAACGAAACAATCCGCGACTGTATCTCATGCTGGATGAGCTTTGCATCTGCAAGATCAGACTTTTCCTTGTCCAATCGTTGCTTGATCTTCTTGTAGTCTACTTCCGTGTTGGTAATAGCTTCTCGAGTCTCTCTGACGGTTCGATCAGTGGTTCGCAGAGCTATCAAACCGGGAAGAGGAGAATCGCGGGGCGGAAGCCATGGTTCTTTGGGTGTGAGGGACTCGTATGCAATCTTGAGTGTTTGAAGTTGTCGAAACTCAACTTTTGGATCTTCGGAGCGTTCTGTCTCGATCGGCGCCGAAGATGCTCGAAGCTGTAGTTGCCGTTAGCTGTGGAATCAAAACTGTTAGGAACTGATTGCAACCTTTTCTAGAGCAGCTTCTTGCTCCTTCACTTTGTCTTGTAACAGCTGCAGAGTCCGATCAAGACGCGCCATGTAGGAAGTTGCGCTGCGGGAAAGCTGTGAGTCGTCCATGCCGTCTGTGGGTTCCGTAAAGGCGTGCAGCCCTTGGTTAACGGTCTGTAAGTGATTTGAGGAGGATTTTGGGTAAACTCGGCGAGCTGAAGTCTTCAATCACATTCTTAGAGGAACGCGTCCCTTGGTCGCGTTGACCGCACGTGACGGCAGTACTACCCACCGCCTTCCCAATTGACGTTAGTTCCCAGCTCAGACCTTGTGCTTTCCGAATTTATGCGTGAAGTTGCATTGCAAACCAAGAAAGCCAACAACTTCTTCTCTTCTCCTTCTTCTCCCATCAACATCGTCGGTCTCACCTTCGCGACCGCATTGCTTCAATCTCTCTGTTATTCCTTCGTGCCCGATATTTCGACCAAGCCACAGCTTTCACCAGATCGAGATTCTATTCTTGACCTCCCTTCCATCTCCGCGCTGTCCCTTCCCGAAACAAAACAGAAACACCTGAAGAATCCTTCCGAACGGGCGCAAGAGCAGACAGCCAACACGTTTGGTCATTGAAGGACCCAAAGGTTTGAGGATAGGTCTCTACTACTGCTTTTCTCCCAGAGGAATTTCAATCAGCCAGTTCGCGTCCTCACATTCTATCCACCTTCACCATCCATCCGCCTCAACCTCTACTCCCACAAGCCTCGCAGATCTCTCTCCAGACCTGTCTCCTTGTCTTCACAACACCTACCCCGCTCCTTCGCAGACACACATTCTCTTCTCAACAATCAATCCCCGTTCAAGCACACGCTCTCTCCCTTCATCCGATCACCAACACCAGCACGTTTTCCTTCGAAGACCCCTGGTGTACATAACGATCAATCCATACTTGTTCTCGACCTCCTACTCCCCGATCACCTCTCCCATTAAGTGAAGAGATTAACCCACAGCAAGCAAGATGTCGTCGTCACCGACAGCAGCCCCAACACAATCAACAAAGCGTCCTCTCGAAGACCCTTCATCTCCATCTGCCCCAAATGACCAGCCCGAAGCCAAGCGACCGGCTCTCGATAAGATCGTCAAAGGCGACGATGCAGAGGAGCCAGTACCTGAGGGCATCGAGCCAGCCGTCGTCAGCTCCAATGGTAATACGAAGACCGATTCTACTAATGGTTCAAGAGTCGAGCCAAAGGATGGACAAGGCGATACATTGGTTCCAGATGTAGGATCACACTCGATCGAGAGCACAGCCGCTATTACAACACGAGGCCCACCGGTCGGTGGATCTACTCTGCAGCATGATGAAAGTGGATGGATTCATGTTCGTTCTGTCATTACAAGTGCTGAGGCCGCAACTGTTATTGGCAAAGGGGGAGAAAATGTTTCATTAATTCGAAAAATGTCTGGTGCGAAGTGCACGGTCAGCGATTATCAAAAGGGTGCGGTCGAGAGAATCCTCACAGTGAGTGGTGTTGTTGATGCAGTTGCCAAGGTATGTTCTCACTGGAAGTTTGTTTGACATCTTCTGACTCTGTATAGGCCTTTGGTCTCATCATCCGGACACTAAATAATGAAAATCTCGATGTCGCATCTACTGCTCAGTCAAAGACATACCCACTTCGTCTGCTCATACCTCACATCCTGATCGGTTCCATCATTGGGAAGGGCGGAATTAGGATTCGCGAGATCCAAGATGCTTCTGGTGCTCGATTGAACGCATCCGATGCATGTCTCCCGCTGTCCACTGAACGTTCCCTTGTCGTTCTCGGTGTTGCTGATGCTGTTCACATTGCAACATACTATGTTGGCAGCACTCTCTTCGAGCAACTATCGGAACGATTTGGTGGTCCCGCAGCTTCAGCCTATGCTTCTCGAAGTGGTGGTCCAGCCGGTGTTGTTCCGGGCGGTATGCAGGTTGTCCCTTACGTACCGCAACCAGCTGGCGGAAACTATGGCCATCCCGACAATCGCCGTCGCTCTGAACATAGTCATCATACCCCATCGCAAGCTTATGGCCAACCATACGCTGCTCAAGGTCAAGCCTCTCATCAACAACCTGCGGTACCAATGCATTACGGTGGCTCGCCTGCAGTTGGAGGATATGGAGGTGTCGGACCACAGCAACCGCAACAACCTCACGTCGGTGGTCCTCAATCCCATGCCGGCCCACCTGCTCAACCGATGCAAGGCATGGTTCCTGGCCAGCCATTGACCCAACAAATCTTCATTCCAAATGATATGGTCGGAGCTATCATTGGCAAGGGTGGCGCGAAGATCAATGAGATCAGACAGCTCAGCGGCAGTGTCATCAAAATCAACGAGCCTCAAGACAACAGCAATGAGCGATTAGTCACTATTACCGGAACTGCAGAGTGCAACCAAATGGCATTGTACATGCTGTACTCGAGACTGGGTAACATCTCCTTCTTCCCTTCGTCTAACATCACTAACAACTTGGTAGAAAGCGAGAAGCACCGAATTTGAAAATATAATATTCAGCCATTCTGGCACTTGCTTCGGAGTTATTTTCAGTGGCGCAGGGGTCGCAGGACTGACATTATAAAAGCTGATGGCGAGCACGAACCTCCGGTGGTACATGCTTGCCTCATATTGCATATTGCAGGTGGATGATGACTCTCAAGGACGTATTTATTTGAGAATAGATAATGATGCATTTCGTAAACCTCCGCTTTTCTCTCGGATGCAATTCAAGTGAACGCGATGAAAAGGGCCCAATGTCCAGGTGTAGATTCCCATTTTCCTATGATGTTATCATACACATCGAAGCCTCTGGAGAGCTGGTAGAAAGTGCCAAAACGACGTTCCGACATTCTCACCCGAGTGCATCGCCGTTGGGTTGTGTATACTGTATTAGTCATCCACTCACGTGCCCCCCACTCAGATTAAGCCTTTCCCGGCCACCGAAATCCTCCAACCTCATTCATCCAATCTCGAAAACTTCAACAATGATCTCATGTTGTCAAGATGTTTCGGGTATCACCTGCCAAGCCTTCCTCCATGATAGTTTGCGACGAAACTTAGGCTTTCAACTGAGCTTTGGTCGTGACGGCAGGCCCGATCTTCTTACGGTCCCTGAGGACTCGCTCAGTCAGCTTCTTCAAGTGGGAGGTACCATCGCCATCGAAAGAGAGGCAGGATAAGGAATTCCGTAAAGCTGAGAGACCGGAGTCAGGAGATGCGAGTTTATCATGGCTCATTCGACGTTCCAACCCCAGTCTCTGCAGGAGAAGTCGTTGCTCCCGTATCCGCGTCTCTAGTCCAATCGATTAGGCGCCTCTCAGCCTCGTCTGCAGATCCGTCCCCTCTTACAGCGAGCTTGATGCTGCTTTATCGTCAGGACCATGCTTCCATATTCCATTTTCTCACGAGGCATATTTTACGCAAGGCTGGCTCCAGTGAGCCCAATCCAACTTAACCTACCTGTGGCCCGATATCTTCTCTTTCAAAAACATGTCCGCTGGATCGCTAGGCACACAAAATTAGCAAAATTTTATGCCACTGAGAATCTTTCGCTGGAGCATCTCGTCCATGCAAGATGTCACGCAATGTTGTCCTCTCCGTGAATGGTCGGAATGGGCTTGACAAATCAACATTGAGACAGCAGCCGGAACAGCATTGGGACCTCGTCGTAAGTTCAGGAACCAGCAGTTTCATTCTTTAATTGCCATCTAACTGCTCGACCAGAGAGCAGCGTCCACGTCTATCCATGGAATCAATGGCACAGACGCACCAGAAGCAGTCCCAGGCGAACCTGCCGGTTTGCTCTCTATCGAACTGCTTGAATCTGAGTCCCGCCCAGAGGGTTTTGTTGTCAAAACTCTAGCCCAAGTGCCAGAAAACAGAATTCCTCAATTGACAGAAATCCTCCCTCACCGGGATGTTGTTTTTCAAGCAATCGGGGGTGATGGAGAGCCAGGCAGGAAAGGAGGCGACGGTACACCAGGGCGCGATGGCATGCCGGGGACAAATGCAAGTAAAGCGCAGGATGCTACTGTGAGTTGTCCTCGTTTGAACCTCAAGAGCTCTGCTAAGTGTTGCAGAATGGAACTGCTGGTGGAACTGGAGGACGGTAAGTCATTGTGGGTAAACCTTGACTGTGTCTCGGCTAATCTTTGCAGTGCTGGAGCGGGATCGAACGGTGCAGATGGCGGCAAGGGGGGAATGATCAATATTTGCGTAGATGAAGATAACACTCACCTGCTATTGGCCACGACCTGGGATATATCTGGGGGAAATGGAGGAGGAGCTGGAGAGCATGGAATTCCTGGCCCTGGTGGCAAAGGGGGCGAAGGTGGGCGTAGCTTTACCTGGTGAGTTGTATGCTCTTCATCTTGTACTCGTTCTAAGATGACCAAAGGGAGGAACAAAATGGCTATCAATATCGTTGTACGGAAAATTGCGCTGGACGGACAACTCAGCCTGCTTCGAACGTAAAGGCTCTTGCTAGCCGCACAGATCCACGGTAAGTGCTTTGCGTAATCTCTCACAACTATAAAAGCAACTCTAAACCTCTTCAAGAATGGCTCTGGTCAACACGATCGGTTCCCAAGTGGCAGCCGGGTCATCTCTTCAAAATGCAGTCGTTAGACTCGCACAGTATCGTGCGAACACACCACGAGATACAGCGGGTCTGTGTGAGTGCAGTGGTGGTAATGGGCATTGCACCGGTTGTGCTGCTCTTCCTGTCTATCAGATAAAGGAGCGAGTCCCCGGGCAAGAGGGAGCGGAAGGAAGGAGGGGTGATGTTCCAACCAATCCATTGTTTTCGGGCACCGACGGACGGCCTGGTGAAGCCAATATTATAGTTACATCGAAGGCCGGTAAGAAAAGGAGTTATCGATCCCGTTTTCAGCTTGAGCTCGTTGACTTCGATGTTGAGGATGAAAATGAGGACGGGATTTTTGAACCTGGAGAGCATATTTTCATTCGTCGCATCCGCGTCAAGAACACAGGCAAGTCCGCTAATCAGTTACCAAAGACTCAGACTAACCTCATCCAGGAGGAATGCCTTCTCCCAAGAAAGAAACAAGGTTGGAAATCGATCCTTCTGAGTGTCTCCAACCAATCAACACCCACGAAAGCCAAGCTTTCGTACCCCAAGTGCTTCCTGGTCAAATAATTACTCTCACGGGATCTATCAAAGTCCTGATTCGAGAACCTGACATGCCAATCCTTGGAGGAGAGCCCTACAGGGAATCTACACTCATTAAGTTGAAAGCAATAATGCCGGGACTCAATCGTCGTTTGGATTATTTCGGCTACCAAAAGAGCATCGATATCGAGTACCCCTTGGAACTTCAGGAGATTGACTATCTGGACTCGGTGGCTCAAGGATCGGAGCACAGGATAACGATGAAGGTCCACAACAAGAGCAATAAGCCATTCGGAGGTGAAGCTGAATCTCCTCGGCTCCTCCAAGTAAAAATATGGATTCCCTCCGAGACCGGCTCTTTGCTTCTATCGAATGACAAATGGGGACCCAAAACGGCCATAAACCCTGGGGCCATAGAAGGCAACGCCAGCGTGAAGTTAACGCAAGTATCAAAGATATCCCACCTTGCAAAAGATCACACCTACGCAGAAATTCGTATTGGACTTCATATAACTCCCCCAGGTCACGTACCTTCAAATAGGAAGAAGACTCCAAATAGGGATGCTGTGCAAACTTTTGATTTGAGGATCCAAGTTTCATCTGCTCATGTTTACAATGACGAGGCAGCAGTCCTAGTCGTCACAAACGCACGAACTCCATCGGACCAATTTGAGGCTATTGGGAACTTCATTCGCAACGATCTTAATCTGAAAATGGATGTCTGGAATGTTAGTCTCTACGGGGGATTGGTTCGACAACCCCAAGACAACGAGGAAGACGAAGAGATTCCGAACGAGATTCTGAATGAATATCGTGGCAAGACGATCATTTTCCTCGGCAATCAATTCGAGCACTTCGGCGTAAAGGCGCAGACCATTCTCGACCTCTGTGAAAGCCGGGTCATTGCAAACGAATGCTTTGCAGGCACATCGTGTCTCTTACTCGGTCCTACTGCTGAGAAGCAACAACGTGATACATGGTTGAAAGATGCCGTCTTTCCCATCACTCACAGAGTTTCTGGGCTCGAGAGAATGGTTGCGGAATCTTCGACCTTTGACAATACCGCCACATTCATCACCTCAATCTGTGAGCAGAAGACCGCTGGTACTTCAGTATCACGAGCCTACATATTAGAGAATAATCCCAAATGGTATCACGGTAGCGCCAGGATAGCCGTGAAGCTTCGGGCAAAACAAACCCGAAGACATCTCAGGTCGAAGCTTCCACAAGAAAGGTTTTGGGTCTGTCCCATCTTACCGCGGACCGAAGGGGCCAGACCTCACAATGGATATGTCGCAGTTTGGCATGGCTTACCCTCCAGGGGCAACATATTCGCTGCTGAGTCGAAACCTCTGGTGAAGGAGCGTCGAAAACAAACCAGGTTACATAATTTCGACTCCTTCAACATTGTTTCTGCGCTGCCCCCTTTGCTACGAATCCAACTCCTCTGCTCTTCTGACCGAAATCAAGAAGACATTGATGAAAGTCTCAAGGACAAAGATGAAGGCACGCCTTCCGTAGACTCGGACGATCCTGCTAGCTACTCTCATGAGACACTAAATGAAGTGCAATACTCACTGGAGGAAGACGTCTGCAACGAGATCAAGAACTATCTCACTGAAGCACCTTTGATAAATAACATCGCAATTGGATCCGAGACCTCTGGTGTTCAATTCAGGGTACACTTTCCTTGCTTGGAAACCATTATGCGGCAAGTCCAAGCTGGTGAGGGTACCGCCGTGCGTGCTCTCGAGGTTCTCAAAACCGCCATAGCAGCAACAAATCCCCAGAAGAAAAGACAAGTTGCGAGAGAATTCACAATTCCCTTCGGTCAACGACGAGCACAGTTGAAGTCGTATCTCATGAAGCGAGTCGAAACGCTTCTCCGAGACAAAGGATATGGGCCAGATCGCTTGAAGGCATTCCGCGCATCTATCATGCACTCTCGGCTCAGCAGTGCTCAACGCAATACTGCGAGGAGAATTGAAGCACGGAATGTTGAATTTACGGGAGTCTACACTGAAGAGTATCGGAAAGGTCGGAAGACTACCCAGGACCTTGTTCCAAAGACTGTGATCTGTACTGCGGCTGAATGGGATGCTCGCTATCAAGAAATTGAGAAGGCGCAACACAAATTAAAGAGGAGCCTTACAAGAGCTTTTGAGAAGAGGGCTAGAATGAGCACGCTGAAATTTGATTCTTCTAAGTTGGCAGGAAGTTCTAAGACAGAGCTTGTGAATAAGGCTGGGCCTTCTAGCTCATCGAAAAGATGAGCAAATGGACTTTTTTTCGTTTGCAGTTGGCACCACCATACCCAACACGAGTACGGATTCATTTGTAATCAGAATGTCCAAAAAGATTGCATGAAGAATGACTCCGATCCAAAATCGAAGATCCGACACTCCCACCAGTCAGTCAGTTTGCGCTCCACTGCTGCTTTACAAGAACCCCGCGAAAGTCTGCCCAGGCAACCAAGGCGAATGCGCCACTACGCCCGACTCACGTCATGATACGTCTAAGGAATGAGGCTTCTCCTTCATGAGATCAGGACCATGCAGTTCTGCCCAACGTGGCAGAGTTTACTGGACAGCGGATTACCAGCCACTAAGACGCCCTTGCTTTTTCTTATCACGACTTCCCCTCACTGCATCAATGGGTTTCACGTCACTCCGCACACCAAGGACTCTTCATTTTATGGCTTCATCTTCATACTTTCATAGATGGATGCCACAGAAGAAGAAGTCAAATCTGTGCTTACAGAAGCCTTAAATGGCTATCTGAAAATCATATTACTGGAGCAGACATTGCATGAAACCTCGCAGCCTCGTCAAGGAAAGGGTATAGAGACTGAGATTGATATTGCGCGCGTCCAGTATTTTCAATCGCGGACTCATGTCACGGAGACTTGCTTGCAGTTTTCTGGCAGAATAGCTTCAAATGTGAGAGCATGGGCTGCTGGTGAGCCGGAAAAGGTAGAGAGGAAGGTCGCGATGGAGAGCCTCCTCGATGCGATATCTCCCTCGGTACATCACTTTCTTCTACCAGCTAAGGAGGACGACGAGTCGTTCTTAAATCCGTTCACAGGGCAGTGGATACAGCCCACCAATTCTTCCCGATCAGCGGGTCCTTCGAACTGGCATGGGTCAGCTGCTCAAAACGACTTTGATTATCTCAAGGTAAGGCAACTCAGACCAACGAGGAAGCTTTTTTTTATTTTATTTTATTTTTATTTATTTATTTTTATTATTTTTATTAATAGACTTCACAGGTAGAAACCAATACGCCGCTGCCATCGAAGGGGAAGGAAAAGGAGGGTACGAAAAAAGCCCCTCCTGATGAAGTTGAAAATCTCATCGATTTCTCCACTCTGGACGTCGCCGAGTCTTTCAATCCACCGCAATTCCCCGATTTTTTCGGCTTGGTCCATGGCACTTCTACTGCAACGCCTTACATAGCTACTTGGCGAGACAATACACAACCGACCAGCAACCCTTTCTCAGATCAATATCAATCATATGAATCCTCAGGCCCCGACACGCCACGAACATTGACACCCCCAACCCTCCACTCTCAGTGTAACTCACGGCCCCACACTCCCACTACCAATACAATCTCATTCGAAGAAGACGTAGCCGCCGTCCAGAAACGTCAATCCGAGTGGGCTCAAGATGACTACAACCAAGAGTTGCTCCCAGTCGACACCACATTAACAAGACAGTTCGACCTCGACTTCCCACCTGTTGATAGCTCATTAATTAGCCAATTCGAAATTGACTACCCACCAATCGACACTTCCTTCTCCCTCGACTTCCTCACCGCGCAAAACCTTCAAGCAGAATACGATACCGAGCTGCAAGTCCAAGAATCCTATGCACGGCAAGTCCAACATTTGGAAAAACAACAATCGCCAAATTTCGACCAAGACCTTGCAGAAGCGAGGCGTCTGCAGTCGGAATGGGAAGCCCAGGATGCGAGCACGCAGCAGGACTGGAAATATTGGCAGGCGAAAGCACAGCAAGAGGATCAGCAGATGGCTGCCCAGGTGGAGTTTGCCAGGGGCGTAGCGAGATTGGATGAGGAGATGGCAGAGGACATTGAAAGAGACAAAGCTGCTGCACTTGCCGCCCAAGCGCAATGGGAGGCAGCTGCGATGGAATTGGAAGCACAAGTGAAGAGGGCAGTTGAGGAGGCGGAGAGGAGGGAGGCTGAGGACAGGAGACGGGAGGCTGAAGAGGAAGCGGCTCGGCGGGCGGAAGAGGAGAGGAGGGAGGCGGAGGACAGGAGACGGGAGGCTGAAGAAGAAGCGGCTCGGCGGGCGGAGGAGGAGAGGAGGGCGAGGGTGGCTGAGTGTGTTTCGTGTACGGAAGAGGGAGAGAAGAGTGACATGTGTATGCTGAATTGTGAGCATGGGTATTGTAGAGGTTGTGTTGCTGGTTCGTATCTCCCCTTTATTCATTTCCATGTTCGCATGTTAACAGCCTCAATTACAGAAGCCATCAAATCCGCCCTCAAATCCCGCGCCCCCTTCAAATGCTGCAATGCCACGCCTCCTATGCCCCTTCTATCCCGCTTCCTGCCCGCCCCTCTCCTCGCCTCTTACAACAACCTACTCCTCGAGCTCTCAACCCCCAACCCAAAATACTGTTCCAACGCCCACTGCTCGCTCTTCCTGCCACCATCCTCCATCATTGGACCTCTAGCCACCTGCTCCTCCTGCCGTACTCGAACGTGCGCTTTATGTTCAGGGGCTGAACACGCAGGGGTCTGTCAGCAGGATGTTGCAGGGCAGAAAGTACTCGCACTGGCTGGCAGGAAAGGTTGGAAGATCTGCCCGAATTGCAAATCTGTGCTAGAGAGGACGGAGGGGTGTTTGCATATGACGTGTCGCTGTGGAGCGCAGTGGTGTTATAGCTGTCTTGCGAATTGGGGGAGTTGTCAGAGTACATGTCCTCGGCGGTAGGGGAGATAACTTGTAGGGAATGCAAATGGTTGGAGTAAATGACATAGCAGCTACTAACTGCATGCGAATCACTCAAGCACAAGTTGCCGCCAATTGTATGTAGTATTACAGATTTCACGGTGCAATTGAAAGAGCTTGAGATCGTACAGTCTTGTCCTCGAGCCTCGAGGAACTTTCTCTTCTGATGTCAACAACCTCGAAACCATGCCGATTGGGCATCTCTCTCAGCTCATCCGTGAACTTGACATAGTCTTTTCTCACATTTCCATTCCACAGCGCTGTCTTCGAAAAACAGTTTTCCAGACTACAGCCCGAATCAGTCATCGTTCCGTAGCCCCTTTTTCGCAGCCACTTGAAAGCAGGCGTGGTTATTAGTCAGCAAGGAGCCCTGTACTGGTGGTACATATTCCTTGAGGCACACCTCACCAATTCTTCATCATCTCCCCCCATACCTTTTCGCTTAGCTAGTGCTGATGGGCTGATGGGCTGACGAAATACGCGGTCGATTGATTTTGCCTGGAGGAGAGGTAGGGATAAGAGGGCTTGATTTCTGAGAAGCTACGCCTCGCGGCCGCTTTCGCTTAAAACCAAGCTAAGCCCTCACAGCGGCTATATTCAACCAACCACAATTCACACGGAGACTTCTCAGAGAAGTGATTGGCTAATAAGAATAGACCCTTGCGAATCCTCGGCACCCTGCCGGTACTTTACAGTACGAAAGGGGGTCTCAGCAAATCAAGGTCACCCCCCCAGTTCTGCCATCGCTTAATACAGGAATTTACGGGGCGAAATTGACGAAGCTCGATAATTAATTGGCTGGAAATCTCACCGCCTTACGCGGGGTGACCTTGATATATTGAGACCCCCTTGCGTACCAGGATGTCACAGCGGCCGCGTTGTGTAACCTGACACGATGCCACCACGATTTCACGTCAACTTCACTCTTCCGTTGTTCAGCACCTCTCTTCTACCGCAAGGTTTCTTTTCGGTGCGAATTTAAACATGCTTTCAATACAGTCTTCGTCTCTCCTCCAGGCAGCCGGCTTCGTTGGGATAACATACTGCATCGTCTTGGTTATCAGGCGTGTGTACTTCAGCCCAATCTCACACTTCCCAGGTCCAAAACTCGCCATTGCCACCTTCTGGTATCAATTCTACTACGACGTGGTCCTCGGCGGCCAATATATCTGGAAGGTTCGAGATCTGCACAAGAAGTATGGACCAATAGTACGGATCAATCCCTATGAACTTCACGTGGACGATCCGGACTTCCTGGAAGATATATTCGTCGGACCGGGGACTCACAAGAGAGATAAGTGGGATTGGAGTACCAAAGGCATTGGGGTTCCTAGCGCAACTTTCACGACTAACCCCCATGATCTGCATCGTGTGAGGCGGACAGCTTTGAACCCGTTCTTTTCTAAGATGTCGGTCAGGAACTTGCAGCCGCTCATGGATGCCAAATTGGACCTCTTCATTGAGAGATTCGAAGAATTTCAGAAGACGGGAGAGGTCATGACTATTAACATTGCCTTTGCCGCCCTGGCCAATGGTACGCATGAAGCGCGTCGAACTATGTTCGGGAGGATGCTGACAACATGCTTGGTAGACGTCGCCTCTGAGTTCGCGTTTGGGACATCCCATGATAGGATTCGGCATCCAAACTTCGACCCTTCGTTCCACGATAATTGCATTGCCGGTCTTGACCTCAATCACTTGATGTTGCAATTCCCTATCATTATGAAGATCCTTCAAGCATTACCTGACAGCATCGCAAATCGCACCAACCCTGCCTATGCCATGTTCCTTGCCGAGAAAAAGGTTTGTTTAATCCTTTGCCATCGCTAGACGACTCCTCTAATTATTTATTCTATAAAGGACATGGCCTCACAGGCTGTAAGAGCTATGTATTCGCCAAAGCTAAGCAATACACAGTATCGAACAATCTTTCATGAAATTCTAAACAGCAAATTGCCTCCCGAAGAGAAGGCCATAGCTCGTCTTGGAGATGAGGCAAACGTAACTGTCGCTGCTGGCACACTTACCACTTCTTGGACTCTCTCGATTGCACTTTACTACCTCCTCACCATGCCGGAAGTTCTCCAGAAGCTCAAAACAGAGCTTGACAAGGGTGCGTCTTCCTTCCCCGAGTCACAACCCGCCTTCCCAAGATATCATATCCCTCCTGAAAGTAGCTGACTCCTGACTTTACCATAGCAATTCCGAATATCTCTTCTCCACCCTCCCTAGCACTCCTCGAGAGCCTCCCTTATCTAGGAGCCTGCATCCAAGAGTCCATCCGCCTCGGCTACGGCGCCTCCGGCCGCTTGTCAGTCATCGCGCAAGACGAGGCCATCGCTCTCAAGTCTTCTACCCACGGTTCCGAATACTCCATCCCGCCCGGAACGCCCATCAGCATGACAGTCATGCATCTCCACCACGACGAGCGCGTCTTCCCCTCCTCTAGGGCCTTCCGCCCCGAACGCTGGCTCGAGAACCCCCGTCTCGATAAGTATCTCTATTCCTTCGGCAAGGGAACCAGGCAGTGCGTGGGGATCAACCTGGCGTATGCGGAGCTGACGTTAACTCTGGCGAGGATTTTTCGGCGCTATGGAAGCGTGGGTGTTAGACATGCGGGGGATGTGGGAGTGTTGGAGCTGTGGGAGACGGATGAGAGGGATGTGGAGTGCGTGGCGGATATGTTTGTGCCGAAGGTGTGGAAGGGTAGTAAGGGTGTGAGGGTGAAGGTTGTGGATTGAGCGAGCGGTAGCAAGCCGTAAAAAAGGGGATCTATTCTTGGTATCCATTTACTGTCCTCATAGATTAGACCTTAGACCTCATTACTCTCCTCCACTGTGGCGTTCCTCCTTCATTTCCTTGTTCCAAAGTGCCATTCAATTAAAGAGCTGGACCTTTGGCGGGATGCTACCTGCAAAAAACCCTTGCTTGTCCCCTCGGAGCGATTCAGCCCACCCCTCGCCCCTTTTCCCCCTTGCTTAAACTCTCCAACACACCGACATTGGAACTGAGAAAATGTTAGAGAGGAGCCAATCCATAGCTCTCGTGAGCCGTGAGTCGTGAGTTATGAGCCATGAGCCGTGAATCATTATGATGTTTTGTTGTAGAATCGTCTACAAGCTCAATGCTCGTAAAGTCTTCCTCGATCTTTGAGCTACTGTCGAATACCGTACTCGGACGTAAAGTCTGAAGAGTGAATCATACTCTCCAAGGTTTTGTTGTACATCGACTCAATGTCATAGAGCGTTCTGGTATATTAAGATTGTGTTGAAGTCGAGAGTGAATGTCGAACTTAGTGGGTTGTTGCATGTTCACTTCTCGTCCCAAATCGGCCTGTGAAATTTGAGATGAAAATCAGTTACTTTCATGTAATCCCCTGGCCTTGAAGTGAATTATTTCTTAGAGCTTTTGCTCTATGTCGCTTCAATGTACTGGCGTATTCTGGTACATTTGAATGTCTGCTCCGACAAGGTGTGCGTTTAGGTCCCGTAGCCTTGACCTTCCTTCCTGCTCCCTATGGCCATCCAGGAGATTCTCGGAAGCATTTTGTGATTCACGGAGGAGAGTGATTGGAGTGGGTGGGTGAGAGGTCGAGGCCCAAGCCTGAATCACTCGAGAACAGTGGTTCTTTCGTTCGAAATTCTTTCCAAAACTCGTGGCAGTCTACTGACCGTCAGCTTTCAATTCCCTTCGCCGAATTCCAAAGAGTACGCGACTGAAAAGAGAGAGGGCACAACATACCACTCGGCTCATGAAACTCGACAATCAACCCCTTAACCCCCTCCGCCCCCAATCCCGTCGACCTCTCCTGAATCCTTGCAAACGCGCTAGCACTACTCTCAATCGTCGCAATCGTCGAAATACTCCCCTGCGTACTCCTCCTACTCAAACTCCTGCTCCCGGACAACGTTCTCCCACTCTGGCTCTCCAGCGTCAAACTCTTGCACTTCTTACTTGGCTCTTTCGGCTCTTTAAACAGATCAACAGGCCATTCCACGAATCCCGGTTTCTGGTCGGCGGTATGCCGGAAATAGAGGATATATCGGGTGCGCAAGAAGGGCTCAAGCAGGACGCGGATGGTGCCGAGCCGGCACTGGATTTCTTTTTCGGTGGATTTGATGTATTGGATGTCGAAGCTGGCTTTTATTTCTTTGTTTAGGAGGAGGGATTGGAATTCGATGTAATCTAACAGTCGCAAGGTAAGTTTCTTATTTCTATCCAAGGGGGGAGGGTACATACCTTTGGGGTTGTGGAATTTGTAAATAGGCGGGACCTGCAGCCGCAATACTTTCTCTCCATGACTTTCCGACATTGTTGTGATTTTGAGACTGTGTGAGCCCTTAAATTGCACACGCATTTTGTGCGATTTGTCCACGTGTCCGTTATCTAGGAATGGCTTCATTGAGGTCTCGATAGTGGCGGGCGTGTTTAATTCGATAGAATGTCGGATCTTGATAAGTCCGTTCTGGCCGATGGACGAGATTGATTTCACTTCGCCATCGTCGAATCTTGCCACTGATTGGATGACGGCGTTGACGACATGGTCTCCATAAGATCTGCGTTCACAAGTTAGTACAGTTAATGATCTGTGGTTATGTGGTACTTACAAATGAACTGGAAAATCATGATCCAAAAGTACAGATTCAGAGCCTGAATGAGAGGAGGTTGAAAGACTTCTGCTGTTCCGCCTTTGTCGCAGCATGGGAGAAGGTGGAGATAGGCCACGGCTGGCGCCCCAACTACTAGATGCATCGAATGGGGAGGCAGTTGGCGAGAGTGGCGAGGAGGTTGCCGTCCTTCGCGGCGGTTTCAGGATGTCAATCGGTTGCGTTGTCGATCCACCAGCATTGAAATCACTTCGACGAGGTGGATGTAGAATCTCACGCTCAATCCGTTCTTCCAATTTGTTCCAATCCTCAAGCTCCTGCCGCAAAGCTCCCTCTGGGTCGGCTTTCACGAGAGGGAGGCCATCTTGCGAAGGCCCAGTAAGCCCCAGAACCCCCACTGCATCGCTGATCTGACCACGCATGTCTCGTAGCCTCTGCAACAATGAGACGACAGCTGGGTTTGGGTCATCACTTGGTCCGAATTCTTGAATTGTCTCCAGGGTGTCGACACGCTTGACCCTCATTGATAGGTTGTCCAGCCGTTGCGAAATAAGCCCGCGAACTTCATCTCGATCAAATCGACCACCGTCTTGACTCATCGGAGCTGCTCGCGTGACCGAGGCATATTCGGCTTCCTTCTCCTGCTCGTTTTGACCATTAGTTTGCCAGGGTAGAGCGATTTGGTGAGGTGGAACTTCTATTACTGCAAGGGGTCTCGGTGGGCGAAGAGCTTGCTCAAATTGACGTAGCATAGGATAATCGATCTCTTTTGCCTGTCTTCCGAGCTCAAGAGGGTAAGTGACTCTTTTAAGATTGAGCGAGACCAGGGATACTAGATCCAGATGGGATGAGACAAGCTTGAGGTTGGAGGAAACCAAGTCTGCATGGGAATCTCTGTCACTCGATTAGAAATCTAGTTGCACAACATAGAAGAGGTCTTGTACCGTAGTTCGCTGACCAATCCGTGTGTGGCCATTTGTATATCGAATGCTGCAAGGTGGAGGAACAGCATCAGCTTCTCTCGAAGCCTTTGAACCTCGTCCTGTTCGGTTGGCCATTTTACCGTTTCATACAGAGTGAGAACCTGTGTTTTCGTGAATTCTACTCTCTGCAGCCAGTTGGATCGTCGCGGCCGAATGGCTTTTGTTTGGGGATTGGCGTTCTGGATCAGGAGCATATGCCTTCGGATAAACACCGTACACTGTTCTCGAAGTTGCTGGTGGGACTGTGCCAGACGGTCATCTTGAGGAAGCGCGGATTTCCGCTTCTCCCACTCAGACAAGCGACTGACGACATGGATGAACTCATCGAAAAACTGTGTAGCCTCGAACTTGGCGTTCAAAGGGCCGTCAGACACAGCGTCATAGACCGCCCAAATAACCTTCAGACCTGCGATGATATCACCAACGGACCACCCAAACGACATCGCGGAGTAGAAGGAGAAAAATATTAGGAAGGAAGGCCGTCAGCGTGCATGGGAGAGGTTTGTTCTTGGGAGGGGGACTAGCGCCGACGAGGGCTGGGGCAGGACCCGCGAACCGTCCGCGCAGGGCCTTGTGAACGTTTGCAGCACCCGCATCATACGGATATCAGGTTATTGGACGTTCAAAAAACCGAGGTCACACAGAACAGGCAGCAGGATTGGCTTGGGGCTTCGTTGAGCTCCCTGGACCCTGGTATCCCTTGCTATTGCGGCTACAGCCTTAATCCAACTGTTCCAACGCAAGCCCAGTCCGCCAGTTGGACTGATTCCGGTCTGGCGGGAGCGTTCCAAGAGCTGCGCCCCGCCTAAGTCCTGGCCAAGAGGCCGGTGTGAGGGCACGGGATGGTAATTATTGGCGCTTGTATCGGATGTCTGCACAGTGCACAGAACAAAGCTCGAATCGCGATACCTTGATACGGCGCGTGAAGTGAAGTGTCGTCAAATTTGAAGCGACTCGACCCCTGAGAATGCGGCACGTTTTCCTCGCTTATCCCAAATAAGGCTAGTGGGGGAAGAGCCTAAATATAACTTCAAATAAGTAAATTAGGTAATCCAGGCCAAGAGAACGTCAAATTCCAAAAAACACGAGATGATTTCTAGCAAGTGTGGACGCTCATCCTATTCAAGCATGGTTTTCCCTACAAGTAGTGAGCCGGGCGCCGATACCATGTTGCATTCGGGGCAAGGTTTTCCCGTCCATGCCATCTCAGACACAGAAAGCAGTGATACTTAACTTTCCTCGGCCCAAGTGGACTTGGGAAGTTAATGAACTCTGACAAAAGGCACGGTATCGTCGCCGGATCCCGATAGATACTGTATTGTAGTGCAAAAACATCGCCCAGCTCTGGTGGATCCCGCGGCTTGTAGTCTGTGCATGACGCCCACTCTCTCCTCTCCACCCAAACAGTGGGGATCTATCCTTCAGTGGAAGCAGAAGTGGCAGTGCGGGACTCTGCAGACGCCTCATCAATAGTCCCTGTTCTCAGCCTCGCGGGAAGCCTCAGGGGTCGGAGCACCTTGAAATTATCACGAACCTCACGACAGAAAACCACCACGTGCCTTCTTTGGGTGGGCTGCAATATTTTCAGTCACCTATACCACTATCGATAAGTGAAAAATCAAGCTCTTGATGTGTATATTTGCTAGGAGCACTTAAGAGTTGCGTCTCAAGGGCAGGCTGCATCAGGTTTCCCGAGAACAAACGCGAAAATGGTGCTCTGGGGCTTCAGATGGCTCAGACTCTTTCTCAATCCTTTCTCCAAAGATAGTTTTGAGCATATCAGTGTAAATTCCTTTCAGAAACCTCTCATTCGAAGGGGTATTGATGCAACTTATCTAGGAATCCGATAGACGACTTTACATCCTCGAACGACTCGAGGGCGCAGAATTCTCAGAATGGTCATGGGTAGTAATCGTTGCCGGGGTCGGCTTCTTCACCGATGCCTATGCCATCTTTGCCATCAATATGGTTGTTCCAATGCTCGGGATAATATACTATGCCGACAATAACGGTGTCATGCCCCATAACTACGACATTGCCTTGAGCGTGGTTACTCTTGGAGGATCGATCATTGGACAAATTGGGTTCGGTTTTGCTGCTGATATATGGGGCAGACGAAAGATGTATGGGACGGAATTGGTCATCACTATTGCTGCGACTCTTGGGATTGTCATGTCGTCGAACGGAACCGAGGGATCTATGTCAGTGATTGCATGGTTGTTGGTATGGCGATTTGTGCTTGGGATAGGCATTGGTGCTGAGCAAGTACCCCATTTCATTTGTCTCGTTGGAATTTCGCATGTAACTTCATGGAATCACCTGCTGACTGCTCTTTTTAGCTATCCTTTGAGTGCTGTCATCTGTTCAGAGTAAGTTAATCAGCACTCAGAACGAACAATCGTCTAATATCGGTTCTAGGTTTGCGCCCACACGACTAAGAGGCAGGATGTTAACAGCTGTATTCATGTGTCAACCTCTTGGCCAGCTCGCGGCCACACTCGTGACGTTGATTGCCACAGCCAGACAACGAAATAGCATTCCTGCAGATGCAACCTCCCAATCTTGTGATGCTCAATGCAGAATGACCTTGGATTCAATTTGGCGCTGGATCATTGGTGTTGGAGTTATCCCCGCAGTTGTTGCTCTGTGGTTTCGACTCACCATCATTGAATCACCAAGATACACCGCAGATGTCGGACGCGACACCCGCAAAGCAGCTTCAGAATTAGATCGATACCTGCTTATGCAAACAGCAGCTCTATCGGCCATGTCCGTTATTAACAAGCAGGACGGCCACCCACTGCGGCGTATGTCGACTGAAGATTCCGGCGTGGCAAGCGACGATGGATCCCCTGAGCCGGATCGCTCACGATCGCCATATGAAATCAGTCCCGCCCTGCCAAGCAACCAAAATCCTGCAAACGGCAATAACTTTGGCAGGGCAACTGAAGTTAGATCCATCTCAATCCACTCGTGGGTAGCTAGCGAGGACGGACATATCTCTCGAACTTCATCGCCACTTCCATACCAACCAAAGACCACTCAAGATCCCGAAGAACACTTCCTCGAAGTCCTAGAACCTGAAGACGCAGAAATTCCCACGCCCCCAGCCCCATCCTGGAAAGACTTCAAACAATACTTCTGGCACGATGGCAACCTTCGAACTCTGATCGCAACCTCCTTCTGCTGGTTCTGTGTCGATCTGCCGTTCTACGGCCTCGGAATGAATTCTCCAAAGATTATCACCACGATCTGGTATGGTAAAAACCCGCCCCCGATACAAATATACTCCATTATCACGCACAACGTCTGGCAAAGTCTGATTATCGTGTCACTTGGCGCAATAACCGGGTGCGCCATCACGCTGGTAGCAATCGACAAGCTGGGCCGGCGAAATATCCAAATCAACGGCTTCTTTTGGCTCTTCATTCTCTTCGTCGTGATCGGCGGATCCTTCAACCATCTGTATGAAATAGGGGGGTCATCTGCCATCATTGTACTGTACATTTTGTGTCAAATATTCTTCAATTTTGGTATGTAATACTTCCAGCCCTCACAACCTAGCCGACTAACTCTCCAGGTCCAAACACCACTACATACATTGTTCGTCTCCCCCTACTTTCCTCAACCATCACGTGATGCCCTAGTTAACACCTCCCAACCTTAGATGCCAGCAGAACTCTTCCCCACACGGTACCGCAGCCTGTGCCACGGCATCTCCGCCGCCTTCGGGAAACTAGGTTCTGTGATTGCCCAGCTATTCCTAGCCTACATAAACTACGGCCACGGGATCGACTACCAGAAGATCAACAAATGGCTTCCTTACTCACTCCTCATGTACGCTCCCCTTCTCCTTCTTCTCCCTCTCTCTCCGCCCCTCCAAATCTTATAATCTATCTCAAGCCAATGCTAACGAATCTCATCCAGTTTCTCAATATTCATGCTCCTCGGCCTCCTAACCACAATCCGCATGCTGCCCGGCGATGAAACAAACCCCGACACCACCATCAAAACACTCGAGCAATGGGCCCTCGGCCGCCCGGTTCCCAACGCCTTCGCCACCCACCCACTCTCTCTCTTCACCGCCCGCACCTGGCATCTCGTCGTCCACGTGGCCGACCGAATATACATGCTTGCAGATGGGCTGCTGGGAGGAGAAGAGAAGGAGAGGCGGGAGGGGCTGAAGAAGCAGAAACACGAGACGGAGATGGAGATGCGGCATATTGAGGAGTTGAGTCGCGGACCAGGGAGTTTTAGGGATATGGATGGCGAAGGGGGGGGAAGGGGACCGAGTCCGTTTGTTAGTGGACACGTTGATGGGAATTCGCCGGGGCATTTGAGTCCTGATGTTGGGAGGTGAACTTTGTTGGCTAAATAATGAGGAATAATTTGTAAATAATATATACGTAGTCATAGACTATTCTAAGAGCTCTCTCAAGTTCGAGAATGTGGACTTTGCTTAGGCGAGAAAAAAGGGGCGTCACGGATTAAGCGAGGTCGCTTCCAGGCGAGGGACTTGGACCAAGGTGATATTTGATCACGTCAGCCAGCTCCTACAGCATGAATTGTAGAAAGCCAAAAAACCAAACGAAAATAAAGCCACGATCCCGAGGACGAGACCCCCCCCCCCCCTTCCCTCCCCCAGTGCCCGGCCACTATTCGCCCCATCGTCAGGCGCTTTAACTACGAATCGAGGTCCGGGTCCAAGGCAGCCCCAATTCCCGAAATAGTCTTTGATTCCTGGCGGAGTGTGTTTCGGATCCAAGGAGGACATCAGCCCACCTTGCGTAGCGTTATTGAGAATCTCTCCGGGAAAATGTTGTATGCAATTGTGTCTTCTAAAGTGCATTTTGCGTTGGCTGTGAAGGGCCATGTTTCTATCCTAAGGTCATTCCCAATCTTGCCCAATGCTTGAGAAACTTGGTTCGAGAAGGCTGCTAAGCCGTTGGATTCAAGAGGATTCTGTTGGTTCTCCTTTGGCTTGAACCTGTGATCATCACACTCGAAAGCGAGAAACATTGTCGCAAGGGTTTCAATATGCTGCAGTTGAGCCCAACCATGATCAACACCTCCAATGGAAAGACTACGATAGTGAAGAGCACGTGTTAATGCCCTGTGTAGAGCCCGGGTAGTGTGACGGTTCTGGATGTTCTGGCCCTCGGGTTGTGGCTCACAGTCCATGTCAAGGCCAGGATTCCGATTGTCCACCAGACGTCACACGATCCGGATCTTCGTCAAAAATCTGCGCGCGAAAGCATATGCTCGCCAGAGTTTAAGGTCTGAATGTTGTTCAATGAACTTCATATTCTCATAAATTTGTTTCAACAAGGCTCCCCCGCTGCCGGGCTCGAACTCAAAACCATCCTACTTTGTTAGCTTACTTGATAATACTCGTTCGTATGGGGAGCTCACATCTCCAAAGCACCTCAGTTCCTCAATTTGCCAGTCGTCGTCCTTAATGAGATTTTCGATCTTCTGGATGGTAAAGCCTGCGACGGTGGCGTTGATAGATGGAGAAACGTCTTCCAGAATATACTCTTCTTGGCCATTCATCGAATAAGAGGTGAACATTGTGAGTTGGGTATAGTTCGGTTTCTCTGATAAGGTTTTGTCACTGTTCCACCGGTTTTTGTTCAACGCCCAGTTGTCGTTATGCAAGTCCTTTTCAAGAAGTTTGGCAACATTCGGTTTTCGCTCCTCGATGTATTCCCACCTCAGTCGACGCAGTTCATCCCGGCGGAGTGTTCTCCGTCTTCTACGCTGGGAACTGTCCGTCCCTTACAATTGATAAGCGTATTTGCAAACACTCGAGGTTGAAGCTTCCGAGAGAAGCCATTGGCGGGGGATCAAAGATGCAGTACGCCAAAATCTCCATTCTTCGTTTGTTTTGAAATGGAATGTTATTCATCTCCATTGAGTGCAGCGAACCGAGAAGAACGTTGTTACGAAGAGCGCACACTATGGAATACCAGCGAGAATAAAAGTGTTGTGAGAAAGTTTTTGGGGGGAAGTTTGTGTAAGATGGAACAGAAATTAAGGATGAAGAAGGAAAGGAACGTCCATCCTTCAGCTCTCTTCTGACGTGAGAAGGAAGGGAGCCTAAGTGCCGTCCTCGCCCATCACGTGACGAGAACCTTGTTTTCCCTTCTCTAGATTGCTAAGAAAGTCACCGCTGGGCTCAAGCCAGGCCCTTGGACTCTGAGAAAATCATATTGTGCATTCATTATTAAATGGCTTCGTGGCCGATTGTCTAGGGTATTACCATTGTCTCATCATTATCATGAATCGTGCATTCACAATCCCTTTTGTCCAATCCCAATCCCTTCTGTCCCATCCCAATCCCAATCCCTTTTGTTCAATCCCCCAACTCCGATTTATGTCCAGGCTAAACGAAGCTCGAGGCCAAATCAGCCCCTTCACTGTTCACAAGAGTATCCTCTCAGCTAGGGCAGCAGCGACTCCAAGCATCGCTCCACTTCGCCATAAAGTCTCCTTTGGTGCTGCAGCCTTCGAGCTGCTTGTACCGATAACTTTTCCATTTAAACCACAATTCGAGCCGAAGCATGGGGCTTGGGTGGCAGAACCTACAGCCGTTGTCGTTGCCGTTGGGGTCGTCGTGATCAAGAATCCCTGTTGATCATAGCTCTTCGGCGCCGTGTTTGCCCCCGAGATGATTGTTCTGGTAGTTGGAAAGCCTCTGTCGTCCCAACCCGTGATAGTTTCAAGGCCAACGCCAGAAAGCGGCGAGGAGGGCGAGGGCGATTGGCCCGCTGAGTAAGAGGAGGTTGGTACTGGTAATGTCTAGGATATGTCAGTGAGATCTTGAAGAGTGGAAGAACGGAAGGGAGTCCAAGCTTACGTACGGCTGCAGAACTTGCAGGCACGATTTTTCCAGATGAAGTGATAATCCATCCGCTTGGAACGCCCGCAACAGAGGTAGAGGTGCCAGTTACCGTTGATAAAGTGGTTGCAACCCATGGCCAACCAGTGAGGGTTGAAGTACTACCATGCGTGCTTCCGAGACCTGCAGGAATGGAAGGCGAGGCAGAAGTTACCGCTGGTACATCTGCGGTCGCAACTGAACTTGCTGCTCCCCCCGAGTTTCCATTGATTTTGCCGCCAACAGCTTGAATTGACCCCCAAGTTCCGGAGGTATCTCCATACTTGTATTGTGTGCCAGTCGAGTAATCTGTAACCGCGATAGATTGAACGGTCATGGTGAATGGACCGTCGGCGTAGTTGGTAGGTCCTCGAGCCCAAGCTATCGTTCCTGCTGCATTTGACGGATCTCCTCCTGACCAAGCACCAAATTTAATCTGCATGGGCGTTTGCGGGTACTGATTTGTATCGGCCGTTGCAGGCGTAAGGACTCGCACAATATTACCTCCAACTGACCAGGTAACTTGTGTCGCCGTCCATTCCACGGTATATGTAATGAACTCATTCTGGTTGTTCGCGGCGGGGTTGAAAGCTCCACGGTTGTATGTTGTAACGTCGCCTTTGCCAAAGTAATTGGTCTGAACCTCTGTACCATCCGCTCCAAGCCATTCCATGTCAATCTCGTCGAGGTCGTCCGATTGTAGTACGAGTGTGCTAACAATTCCAGCACCCGGAGCCGCCTTCATTGTGATCGAGACCTTCCCAAACATAATGTAGAATACGCTGCTGAGGGTCGGGGCATCGCCGGATTTTGCAACTGTAAAGTGGGCTCCGCTCGAATCGTAGGTAACTGAACCTGAAGAAGTGAAGGAATTGACAGCGCCTTTCGTAAAGTCGACATTGATTGCTTTTCCTAGAGCAGTATCTGCAGGGCAGCCGGCTATCTCATGTCAATATCCGTGACTGGAAAGCTGGTGGGGGCACTTACTGGAGTACAGAGGATTGCAGGAAGAGTAGGTCTGGGCAGCTGCCCATTGGCAGAGCAGTGATGCTACTGTGAGAATTGATCGTGGAAACATCGTGTAGAAGAGGGATGGTATGTACAAGAAAGAAAGGACGAGAAAAGGGATCTGTCAAGAGATGGGCAACGGTGACGGTCGCACCACTCTGCTACGAATAATGGAAAACTTGGCAGACGAGGTTGTGTCGGTACTTGAAAGTGCGCAGAATGCCTGTCTTATTGTTTCCCGAAGTCGGTCAGTACTGGTAGAGGAATGCCTCTGTTGGATGAGTTGTATAATGAGGTGAATGGATATGCGGGTTCATGCAGCTACCGGTGCAGTCTTTAAAAGGTTGCAGAAGATTAGTTGCCTTCCAGCCACCGACCAAGTCTTTCAATGTCGGCAGCAGCATATTAGTACAGGGTTCAATCTGTGATAGCAAGATTTGTATGTGGCGGGACAGCAAGATTCGATGTCGTATAATTGAGAAGAGGCTGGGAGCTGATGCTCAAGTGGTGATGTTTCTCGCTCAGCCTTGACTCGGAGAAAGAGGAGGCTGGAGTCCGGCAAAAAACGAGGCTGGGGTTTGCGCCCGCCTTTTAGCGGCCGCGCGTGTCACTGCTGTGAGACACCACAAGGACCCCCTTATTCATTTTCTATGTGGAACAGATTTGTGGACTAGCTCTCAAAAATCAAATAGTCTGGAAAGCAGATCTGGATCTCCCATTATTTGCAAGGGCCGGGGTGCAGTGTTGGCAGAAGCATGGTGTGCTGTCCCGCCGCCGACTCCCAAGCAAATGCGCTTCGCTTCGTAGCAAACGGAGATCTTGCTGTAACCCTTCTGCTGCAAGGACAAAGTCCTTTTTGATGCAGAGCATCTGATCGCATCTCGAGTCTCCGGTTTATAGTTCTCTGTCTGTGTGTGGCTGCAGACGCTGCCGTCTGCTATTGAGCTTGGGTCCCGATATCTGGCTGTTTTTGAGGTTGCAGTGGCACGGGAATAACCTCTATTTTCAGGACCAATTCTGTCCGCCCTTCTCCATCGGCGGAGCTGTTTTGTTGCACAGAACGCACCAATCACAGGGCGGTGAGCGCCGCTCGAATCTTGGTAGGATCGTTTGATCGTTTGCATCAAAGGGGCCATGTGTGTGTGAGTGTGAGAGGGTTTCAGGGAGGGCGCACGCAACGTTTTCAACTTTGCAGGACCGAGTCAGCCCAAGCCGCCATAGTCGTGATCATCTGGAAGTGCCGGGCCCGCGATGGCAAGACGGACTTCAGACGGCCAGGCCCAGAGACAGATAGATAGATGCACCTCACGCAGCTGTTGCCCATATACTCCATCTCCATTCCAGGCCGACGTTTGCGGCGCCGCCGGATGCTCTCCGGCCCTTCTCCGCTTCCTCGCCAGCCCGCGGTGGCCATGACACAAACAGCCTTTCTGGCTCTGGCTCTGGCCTGACCTTCGATTCATCGTCGTTTGATGTGGGTGCTGAGCGTGAGGCGTGCGAGTAGCAAGTTGGAGAAAGCGACCGAGCGAGCGGGTGAGGGCAGGGCCTTGCTCCTCTTGCCTTGCCTTGTTGCGGGCGTAGCCGAGCTCCTCACTTGAACCACTGACTGAGCCCGTCCCCGTCCCTACCCACGACACAACCCATGCAATCTTCCATGACATCCTCAAGCCTCACCACCACCACCACCTCCACTCCACCACCCCACGATACACTTCACTCCCCTCCCGGCCTGCTCCCAGCGATCGCAGAGCATCACCGCACCTCTCCCAAGACTTATGGCCGCCTCTTAACCAAAATTGCTGGTCAATGATGACCAGAAAGGATGGAGCTGTCCGCAACAGCTCTGCGACGAGCTCGAGCACGGACAGCTGGAAGTCTACCGATACCATCAAACCAGGCTCGCTCTTTCGCGGCCCATCGCGCCGCGGAGCCCCAATGAGCGTCAAGACGGATGGCAGAAACAAGTGAGCTGTTCCTTCCCAGATCCGTGTCTTGGACGAGATCCAAGCAGCTGGAGAGATCGAAGCCGTGAACATGTTCTTGGCTAACGGGTGCTTGCATTTGCGCCGGTCCTAGGCCTGAGACTGATCCTCAAGTCTCCCCAACTACCGCCGCCCCGCGCACCGCGATTTCCCCTACTTCGATATCTCCTAATGTATCCCCCCGGGATCATAGGATGAGCGATTTTGGTAACTACCGACGCGATCTTGCAGTACTGGAAACTTCCGGAGGACGAATACCACAGATTCAGCACAACCCCCCAACTGCGTTGGGCTCGCCGAACCAAATCACCCCTTGGATGTCAAGCAACGGGTCAATCCCGACTCCCTCGAGTACTTTTGGCACGAGTTTTTACAATGATTCGAGCGACAACTTATCGCAGGCCTCCCAATTGTCCCCAGGCTTTCGGCCGGGAACTGGGTTGACGGGGAACACTAATAACACCAATGCAAGCGACTCACCGGCCGATGCGTATTTTGGGGATGAAAGGCGGCCTTCAGTTGCCAGTGTGACAACTGCAAGTAGTCAGGGTTCGAAGTCGAGTGTGAGTCGAACAGGCATACACAAGAAGCTGCACACTTTCTTTGGGGAGGACTTTCCCGGGAAAGATGGGTCTGATACGAGCCTTCCTTCGCACGGCAAGGACGTTCGATCGCACTCCTTCGCCCGAAGCCATCGAGACCGGAATCATTCAAGTACCACCGATCACACTCAAAGAGACGCTTCGCCAGCAGGCTCTCGACCACGAACTCCAGTTCCCTCCAGTGACGTAGTTCCATTTTTATATCAAGACTCACAGGTTCGTAAATATCCAGTAGTCGGGATGGCGCCTCTGGCATGCAATTCTTCCCCCACCAACATTCACCATGAGTGATTGTGGCAGCAATCCATGCCAACTTCCGCATATCCGGCATTTACTAACTTGTATGATATAGGATATTTCCAAGTACGGCGAGGCACCTGTCCGGCAAAATCTCTCAGGCCCGGACAAAGATCGGTATACAGAGAATTCCCAAAACCCTCCCAAGACCTCTTCTTCTGGACGCTCTGGGCATTCCCATGTTCATCTACCAGGGCACCACCATCGACACAACAAGAGCTCCGACGATACTAGAGCTCTAAGGCCGTCAGTAAGCAGGGAGGACTCGGGACTCAGTGCAAGACAGAAGGATCGTGCCCCCACGTCTATGGGAACAGCGCTGGCAAATTCATCCAATACTAGTCTATCGAAGAGGTCAAAGAGTCCCACCCCCAGTGGATTGAGCAATTGGAGTCAGGTCACCGCCATGGGGAAGAACAATGATGGATCTACTTCTCCAACTGAGGGTCATAGGAAAGGAGGGATTCTCGGGCGCTTCAGAAAGCACAAGGAGAAGGAGACTCCATATCGATTGAAAGAACCACCGGGAGCCAGTACATCTGTTCGCTCGTTTAAATCTCCAGCGACCAGGTCAGAGAATGGCAAAGGACCGGTCTCTCCCGAATTTGGTCAATGGAGCCGCGAGGGGAGTGTTACGGGATCAGAAGTCAATCTTCCGAAAGCCGTCTCTGGCGCAAATAGGCAAGGAACTTTTACCAAGCTGCCATTTGGCAGGAAAGGGAGAGGGAAGACCACTGAGGAAGTAGAACCATATTACGAACCGCACGAGAGACACAACGGTTCCCCTGGAGCGGTTTACAATCTCGACACGAATTTATCGAACATGGAAGGGATCTTAGCAAAGCCCGCGCCGCTGACCCCGCTTGACAACAGTATTTTCATTGGGAATGTGGAGGATGAGGCGAAGATAGAGGCTGAGAGCGCAGTAGGCGGTCAAGACTGGAATCCTCCTGATAGTTGGGCGGTTAAGAGGGTCAATGATGATAATATGTCTCGACTGCCTGAAATCGACGAAGTAGGAGTTCCACCAAAGGCCGATGAGAAGTCTAACCCATATTGCATTCGCATATTCAGGATCGATGGAACGTTCGCTACTCTGTCAACTCCACTCAACGCTACTGTAACGGAGATCATGAGTCAACTAGGGAAGAAGACCTACATGACGGACAGTCTCGAAAATTACCAGATTGTCATGAAAAAGCACGACCTACAGCGGATTCTTGGAGCTGGCGAGCGTCCGGTAGTGATTCAGAGGCGTCTACTCGAGCAGGCAGGATACGAAGAACGGGATAGAATTGAAGATGTTGGCAGGGAAGACAACAGCTACCTCTGTCGATTCTCTTTTGTCCCGGCTCGAGAAAGTGGCTATGCGAGTGTCACTAATGACTTGGGTGCACACCGAGTGCAAAAGTACAGTCACGTCGACCTATCTGGACGAAATCTCGTCACTATCCCGATTGCTCTCTACTCGAAGGCATCTGAAATCATATCTCTCAACCTGTCCCGAAACCTATCTCTGGATCTACCCAAAGACTTCATCCAATCGTGTCAGAACTTACGCGACATCAAGTTCATTAATAATGAGGCATGGAAGCTGCCTCCCAGCCTGTCCAAAGCCAGTCGCCTCACAATACTCGACGTATCCAATAACAGGTTGGAGCAACTTGAACATGCAGAGTTGTCAAGATTGCAGGGCTTGATCAGTCTCAAGCTTGCCAATAATCGGTTGAGAAGTCTTCCTGCCTATTTTGGTGGATTCAAGTCCATGAGAACGTTGAATGTGTCTTCGAATTTCTTGGATTCCTTCCCTACCTTCCTCTGTGGCCTTGAGGGACTCGTCGACATTGATATGAGCTTCAACGGTATCGCAACACTACCAGACCAAATTGGCCAATTAAGGAATCTCGAGCGTTTTGTCATTACAAACAATCGGCTTACAGGTTCCTTGCCAGTGAATTTTGGACAGCTTTTGAACCTCAAAGAGGTCGATATTCGATACAACGCTCTATCCAGTATCGATGTCATCGCCAAATTGCCAAAAGTTGAGCAAATATCCGCGGATCACAATTCCGTCTCTGTTTGCGAATCGGAGTTCACCAAGATCCGAGTATTGCGCCTCAACTCAAATCCAGTCACCAAATTTGAAATCAAAAACTCCGTCCCAACTCTCACAACCTTGATCTTATCCAATGCCAAGCTTGCACATATCCCTGATGCAGTATTTGACAAGATGCCAAATCTTGTCAAACTTGTGCTGGATATCAACCACTTCGTCTCTTTGCCTAGCCATGTAGGCAAGTTACGAAAACTGGAGCATTTCAGCATTGCTAGGAATGCATTGAGCACTCTGCCACCGGAAATCGGATGTCTTACGGAGCTGCGTTTCTTGGACATAAGACAGAATAACTTGAAGAAGCTGCCCATGGAAATATGGTGGGCAAATAAGCTTGAGACGTTGAACATCTCGTCAAACGTGCTTGACAACTTCCCTAAGCCAGCTTCACGAGCACCACAAGTGCCCGGAGATGTTGCCCCGCTGACAGGACAGTTGAATGGATCGCCTGGGCAAAATTCGAATAATTCGAGCTTTGAAGAATTAGGTCCTCTGGAAGCCTTCGGGCAAAGGAGACCTAGCCAAGCATCAAGCGGTCTTCTCAGTGTTGGTGGTTCTCCAGTGCCAGGATCCGGTGACAGAAAGGGGTCAGTCGTGTCCGTGTATGGGAAAGGAGGCAGGAAAACGTCGGTGGTATCGAGAAGTGCATCAGAGACCACTGTTGGGACAATGACCCCGCCATCACAAGGTGGAAGAAAAGATTCGGTCATGTCGGCCAGACTGATCAACACCTTTGCTGGGTCATTGCGAAATCTCTACCTGGCGGACAATCAGCTCGACGATGATGTTTTCGATGAAATCACTCTCTTGGGCGAGCTCCGAATTTTGAATCTGTCTTACAACGATCTTAACGACATGCCACAAAGGTCTATCAAGAGCTGGCCGCAGCTTGTTGAGCTCTATTTGTCCGGAAACGAGTTGACATCTCTCCCAGCTGATGATTTCGAGGAGTTCAGCCTGCTCCAAGTCCTTCATCTCAATGGCAACAAGTTCCAGACTCTTCCTGCCGAACTTGGTAAAGCACACAGACTAGCCGTACTTGACTGCGGCAGCAACTCCCTTAAGTACAACGTTTCGAACTGGCCATATGACTGGAATTGGAACTGGAACACCAACTTGAAATATCTGAATCTCTCAGGGAACAAGCGTCTTGAGATCAAGCCGTCGTTGCCAGGAGGCGCTAGCAGTCGGGATGGCCGTGATCTCACCGATTTCAGTGCCTTGCAACATATGCGTATCCTGGGCCTGATGGATGTGACCTTGACGATTCCAACAATCCCAGACCAGACTGAGGATCGAAGGGTGCGAACTTCTGGCTCGCTCGCTGGTCAGCTGGCATACGGAATGGCAGATACTTTGGGGAAGAATGACCATCTGTCTATTATTGATATGGTGGTTCCAAGATTCAATTCTACCGAGACAGAGACTCTTCTTGGAATGTTTGACGGACAAGCCTTGTCTAGCGGGGGATCGAAGATTGCAAAGTATCTCCACGAGAATTTTGGCCATATTTTCAGCGAGGAGCTGAGGAAACTGAACTCCAGTCTCAGCGAGACACCAGTTGATGCGCTTCGGCGAGCTTTTCTGTCTCTCAACAAGGATCTAGCCACAGCCGCGACACATCACACAGAAGAGAGATCACTTCTATCCCATAGAGGGTCAGCAGCACCTGCAGTTCTCAGCCAAGCAGATTTGCACTCCGGTGGTGTTGCAACGGTTATGTTTTTGCAGCAATCAGAACTTTATGTTGCAAACGTTGGCGATGCACAGGCAATGCTCATTCATTCCGAAGGCGGTCACCGCATCCTAACAAGAAAGCACGATCCCGCTGAACCAAACGAGAGACAACGCATTCGGGATGCAGGTGGTTGGGTTTCTCGACAAGGAAAGTTGAATGACATCTTAGAAGTCTCTCGAGCCTTCGGTTATGTTCAGATCACGCCCGCTGTGCAGGCTGCGCCGCATATTACGCAGATCACCATCAAAGAACAGGACGAGATGATTTTAATTGCCTCGCGAGAACTTTGGGAATACCTGTCTCCTGAACTTGTTGTTGATGTTGCGAGATACGAACGTGGTGATCTCATGAGAGCCGCTCAGCGTTTGCGAGATTTAGCTATGGCGTTCGGGGCAACGAACAAGCTTATGGTGATGATGATCGGTGTTAGCGATCTAAAGAAGAGGGCACAAATTCGGCCACATCGTGTTCAAAGCTTATCATTGGCTTCACAACTCGTCGACGATGGATATACCCCGAATACCAAGAAGCCTAAGAGAAAGGGTGAAACAGTCCAGGATTCCATGCTTCGTCGACTCCAAGCCGAAGTGCAAGCTCCGATTGGCGATGTCAGCATTGTCTTTACTGATATCAAGAGCTCGACCCTTCTCTGGGAAACTTATCCTAGTGCTATGCAATCTGCCATCAAACTCCACAACGAGGTCATGCGACGACAACTTCGAATCATTGGAGGTTACGAAGTCAAGACTGAAGGAGATGCATTCATGGTCTCATTCCCGACTGCAACATCTGCACTTCTTTGGTGCTTTGCCGTACAGCAACAACTTTTAGAGGTCCAATGGCCGTCTGAGATTCTTTCTAGCGTGCTCGGTCAGGAGATTTACGATAATGATCAGACCCTGATATTCAAGGGCTTGAGTGTACGAATGGGCATACATTGGGGTCGGCCTGTGTGCGAGAATGATCCTGTTACCAGGCGGATGGACTACTTTGGACCAATGGTCAACCGTGCCTCCAGAATTTCAGGAGTTGCGGATGGTGGCCAAGTCACTGTTTCAGCCGATTTTATTTCCGAAATCCAGCGTTGCCTCGAGACTTACAGCGAGAGTGATCGATCTGGTTCGACAGGTTCCGAAGAGGCTTTCGACAATGATCTCGTCACCCAGGCTATCCGTCGTGAGCTCCGTTCTCTCAGTAGTCAAGGTTTCGAGGTCAAAGATATGGGGGAGCGGAAATTGAAGGGTCTCGAAAATCCGGAGTACATTTACCTGATGTATCCACACACTCTGTCCGGCCGTATCCACTATCAACAACGACTGGCCGAAGGAGACAAGCTTGTCATGGTCGAAGAACCTGCTACATTGTCGCAGCAATCAACATTGAGCATCGACACTGAGTGCGTTTGGGCGTTATGGAGCGTAAGTCTGAGATTGGAGATGCTGTGCTCGAGCTTGGAAGTGAACAAGGGACAGGGGGTCGCACTGCAACCTCCTGAGACCGCTATGCTAGAGAAGATGAAGTACAGAGGCGGAGAGGTGACTGATCGATTCCTGGTCAATTTCATGACCCATCAGGTTTCAAGGATTGAGGTACGCCCTTTTCTCGTGCTATTAAATATTTACTAATTTGATATCAGACATGTATCTCCACCCTCGCAACCCGTCATCTAGCAATCGGTCGCTGCGATCTCTACGACCTCGACCAGCTCAGGGCACCAATGGACGACGTCCTCAGTGCCCTAGAAGCACAACTGGCAGAACTAAAGAAATACAAGGCTAAATTCGGCGAGCTTGAGCCTGAAGGTTCAAACAGTACTTCAGTCGCAACAGCAACCGCAAACCTTAGGAAGAAATCAACGAGGACGTCGAGCAGGCAGAGTAGGACGAGTAAACCCGATACGCCAACGAACGGCGCATGATATCACTGATAGGGAACTTTCTTTTTGGGTGACAGCATGGCGTTTGGGATTCTCAGGATGAGAAGGATGGATTGGGTTGGGTTGGGATGGCTGTATTGATGATGACCACTGTCGCATTGGATATCTTTTCTTGTCGCTTTATTGGTCGTACAAAATGGGACACATTAGGTTTGGGAATTAGGTATGGAAGGGAAGGGACTTTTGCTATGATGACTGTATGGACTGGACTACCACGCTTCGAATGCTTAGTGTTGAATGCAATGGAGGAGGGGTTTTTGCATGCGGTTAGGAGGTGGCTAGCTTATGATTTTATGATTGAGGAAGTGGTGCATACTTGTTACGATGGAAGAGAGTGAGGGGTGTGTATATAGTTTATCTAAGAATGGTGTGTGGGCACACAATGAGGAGTGTTAGTCCTCTTCCCATCCATATACCCAAAGCCATAGCAGGCGAGCCCTGTGTGTTCCTCTCCCCGACGTCGTCTCAGTTCCCTCAGCCTCGTCCTCAGCTGCTTTCTGCTCCGCTTCCCTCTCGCCCGATTCCTCCTCCACCATCTGTTCCTCGAGCATCTCCTCGTAGATCTCCTCGAAGTGGTCGTCGAAGTAGTTCATGGTTGGAGTTGGGTGCCTGCCTTTCGTTTGGGGAGGATGAGGTTAGAATTGCGCTATTAGGAATGGAAATGAGACGATGAGGCACATGCTGCGAAGCTCGATGTTTGTTTCCAGCATTTCGATGATAATTTTTTGGCTGTGCTGAGATGAATAGAGGTCGGATTCATACAGATGAGGTACGGGTTGAAAGAGGGTGTGAGCACAGACAGATGACAACGTCGCCAATACTTGCTTGTTGAAGTTTCCATCAGATCATGCCCCTTTTGATAACTTGACCGACAGGACCTAGGTTATCTTAAGCCAAGCATACAAGTAAAGGCACCTTTATTCATTTTCACTTATATTACACCCCCTCTCGATTCCTTCCCTCCCTCTCACACAGCAGCAAACTTAACATGGAAAACCTCTGCACCTCTATTATTCCCCCTCAAAAGCCCAATATTCTCCTTAAAAAGCTCTGTCTCGCGGAACGCCAAATGCTTCTCTTTACTCTCCCAGCCCAGGAATCCCACAACCGCCTTTCCCGTCTCCCCCTCGCCCTTCCCCTCAAGAATCTCAGCATGCTTCACAACTCCCTCTTCAACACCCTCTCCATAACTCCCACCATAGTACCCGTCAATCTTCCCCGCTTTTCTGTCCCCTTCAAGAATTGATACGAATTGCGACATGTTGCCGAGGAACGAGGCGTCCGGGGAATAGAAGGCGCAGAATTCTATCACGGGTGCCTATACCATCCATCAGTACAGAAATTTCCTTTCCTGAATTCTAATTCTTGAGAGGGAGAGAGGGTAACAGCTGGCAGCCTCCCCAAGATAAATAAAGGGACATGGGGCTCTCATCACAGACCCTGCTTGGCAAACAGAAAGAACAATGCGGCATAAACGGAGCTAAACTCACCTCTGACAGAATCGTAGGCGGAAACGGGGTAGGCGTGATGTGGAAAAGATGGACGCCTTCCATTATCAAGCCCAATGTCTTCTTAAACGGGCCGTATGAGGGGTTGTCCATGAATTTCTGGTGGCTTCCTACGCCATCCCAATCTACCTCTCTCATCAGTACTGCTCTACTCTCAAACGCACTTTCGGCACTGCTTGAAAGGGAAGGGACGGAGGGAGGAAATACCAATCAAAAGCATAAGCAAACTCTCATTCTCAATACTCACACCCCAGTGCAGCCGCTGATATCCATCCTGCGCCTGAATCGTTTTGATCGTATCCGCCCATGCTTTTGCTCCGTCGCTCGACCCCGTAAGCTGAATGCCGGGTTTTAATGATATGTACGCGATTTCTGTTACGGGTGCCATGATTGCGAATTTGTGAGCGCAAGTTGAGAGGGGACAGGTGAGCAAGGAGTTGGGGCGAGGTGAGGTTGTGAGGCGTGAAGGAAGAGTTTTGAGAAGGTGGTGGGGTCATGGTGGGGTATTTATATCGGCTCGGAGATAAAGGCACGAAGTGTAGCACAAACCTCACGTCATTGTAAGGAGATAGGGAAGTTAGCACAGTATGCTTTAGGTCCTTTCATTGATTGGTCAGGTCAGGAAAGGAATCCAAGGCATAAGGCTTATAACGTCCATCCATGTGTAACGAGAAACCAACCGTGCCGAGAAAATCTTCGGGTACTTCACCTTCTAACTTAAAAAAAATTGAACACACATAGGCGATCCCTATATTTTGTGTATTAGCTATGTTCTATAGTCAATTCTAAAAACATTAAGCCCCTTTACCAAGGAAAAAAATTGTACAAGCTTGTCTCAGCTTGATTTATAGGATGCCTTCGCTTGAAGCCTATAATATAGTTCCTTCGCTATACCTCCACCGTAGTACTTTTTCACTTTTACTCTCATTTAGAGTATCACCTGAATTATATATATGCAACACCATGCCTGAAATCATTTTCAAGCCTTGTGGCGGCTATACTATGCAGATTTATCTAAACTCGCCACGCAGATGAGAACTTTTACCGATGTGGCGAACCGTTTTTGGAATAGCGTGCTGAAAGCTACACCCATGACATCTGGGTAATTTCGTAACAAGAAAATCGACACGTGACTCCAATTTACAGCCCTAATTTTCAGGCAAGTGTCGTGAAGCCTTTTCTGGCTGACGTCCAATTCAAGAGGGCACACAACATTCAGGCTGACACGCCTGTTATCACATTCTCTTCTACCCTCCGCAAGGAGTTGGACGGATTACTCACGATCATCCTAGCAGACGGCCAATATCGCCGTGTCTGGTCAGCCGTGCTGAAAATCCCCAGCACAAGATATTCGGGGTCATTGCCGCTTTCCAAGAAAGACATCTTCCAGTCTATGCCTTCCTCTGTCAACTCATTATCGCCGTCGTAACCTTCTACTGCACGATTGTAATCCCACACTATGACCCCATCTCCGCGTCAACACCAAGAGCAGTTGCGGTACGAAGTTCGTTCAACGATGCAAATTCGACGATACCACATTGCAAGACCGGCGTTCGTGAATCCCTTGGAGGTCTTAATGCTTTGCTGATCGTAAGCTCTTCCCCCATTTCTTCCTTGTTACCCTTTATACTACACCATAGATTAGAAGAGCATATTTATAGTCGCAAGTACAGAAAATTACACCCCACAGCGTGCTCTGTCCTACCACAGCCTTATTCCTCCTCTCCTTCGTCTCCTTCTGGTTCGGCATATTCACGTTCAACTTCCTGTATACGGAAGATATCGACTTCGTTGGCGGCTGCTCGTACTTCATTATGGCAGGTCTGATATGCCTCCACTGGTCCCGCGACTCGCAGAACATGTTAGAAAGCCTGCAGGTTACTCTACTGATACTGATTTGGAGTGCTACTTTACTTCTACCAATCGGGCATTGGCTTTGCAAGACGTTTCTGCCCGGGATATACTGGAGATACAGGCAATGGTCGCAGAGAGAGGCGGTTTGGAAGATAATCGATTGTCGAGGAGCGACAGTACATGAAATTGATAGCGAATGGGAAGCTGTAGTTAACGAGGAGATACCATTGATGACAGGCGAAGGGAGGACGCAGATACATGGACATACATGAGTAGCAAGCTGGCGAGGGAGTGGAAGTCGGAACGTCTTGGGAGACAACAGAAATGAGGGACCTAAACCTCCTCTAAGACGTATACAAAAGAGTTACCCATTGACAGTTGGTACGAGTTGATCCATTATTACTTCTATTGCGCCATGCATGCTACCTAGTCTAACTCTATTTCACAGCGATCCAGTGCGTACGCGATTCTGCCATGAGAAATCTAATTGGAAACGAACAAAGAGCAATACAGTCGCTAACAAATCGGCTTCCCTGTAAACTCGTTGTGAACGTTATGCAATGGTGTCGAAGGAGAAGATGATAATGTCGATAACGAGGAGGAAGATCTGCGGCCTAATTAGCGACACGGAGAACGCTACTGTATCTAATATTAGCACGAAGGAGTGATGGCGTCCTTCCATCAGGAGTAGTCGGCGCCCTGGTCGAGAGGCAGCCAGACGACAGCCTCAACCCCATTCTATACAAACGCAAGGTGCTGACATTAGCGCGAAATGGCGCTGATTTTCACAACTCGTTGTAAAGCCACACCCCGTGCGCTAAAACCTTGTTCTGAACTGCCAGAGCCGATGAAATATCCGTTCAACTATATAGATAGATGGTTACCACAATTCCTCTTTCTATGCTGCTCTGTACAGGAGCTTATTTTAAAGACTCAATATCCTTTCATTGGATCTGGCTCTATACAGTATGGTCGACTACGCCAGGTATGGAAGATGACGTGGCGACGCAGCCACAGCTGGGCCGCAATACGCCCAACATCCGCCAGAATCAGCCCATCGAGCTGAAAAGTCTCACCCCTCCATTTTCTTCACCCTTTTGATCATAATCTCGTCGAAACGATTCTCTGTTCTGGCGATCTTGATCCGAGATTTGCTTTCGAAGTCTTTCCTGCTTTATACATACCTAATCATCTCTCGAACGAAGCGCTGTAAACGACGAAATTACATGGGATATACAATCACTCAGAACCCCTCTTCCCGGAGATCTTTCGAATCCGGTCTGGATAATGCGTCTTCTGAAATGTGATGGAGATGGCGAGGTCAGCCTGACCAATCATCCTGCTAACAATGTTCCCTCCTATGCTATACTTTCGCATAGATGGGGAGAAGATAGTGAGGAAGTCACTTTCGGAGACATCAATGATCGTACTAGCAAGAGCAAGGCTGGCTACCACAAGATTCGCTTTTGTGCGCAGCAGGCTGCTTGCGATAACCTGCCCTACTTCTGGGTGGACACCTGCTGTATCGATAAAACAAGTAGCTCCGAGCTGCAGGAGGCGATCAACTCAATGTTTAGCTGGTACAGGAAGGCGGATAAATGTTACGTCTATTTACGGGATGTGCCGCCGGCAGGAGAGCGGTACGAGAATCATTGGGAACACTATTTCCGGAGAAGCGAATGGTTCAAACGCGGCTGGACCCTTCAAGAACTTCTTGCCCCGGACCCGGAGTCATTAGAATTTTTCTCCCGAGACGGCGAGCGGCTAGGTAATAAGAGAGAATTAGAGCAACAAATCCACGACATAACGGGAATTCCTCTCACAGCACTTCGAGGAACCCCCCTCTCTCAATTTAACGTCGAGCAACGATTTTCATGGGCAAAAAGCCGTCGGACCACGCGTGGAGAAGACAAGGCATACTCTCTATTTGGCATTTTCGATGTCCTGATACCTTTGCTGCCTTGCGAAGGAGAAGAGAAGGCGCTCAAGCGACTCAAGAAGGAGGTCGACAAGCCTTTGAAGAGTAGGCGCTTACCATCGACATGAACACGGAATACTAATAATATTGTAGAGGCACGGCAATACCAGAAAAGGGTTATGAATTGGCTCTCAAACACTCCATATGAAACGCATCATCGTTATAATAGCAAGAACAGATCTCAGGGATCTGGGGAGTGGCTCCTGCAAACAACGGAGTTCAAGGACTGGAAGACTTGTCCTAGATCAAATATTTTGTGGCTACGGGGCTCACGTATGTCCTCGCTCGAATTGTTTCCATTTTCTTATCTATCCTTTTCTTAGTTACGACCATCGTCTGGTATATAATATCGCCATCCTGTTTCTAACTGCGGCTTATTGTAGCCGGATCAGGGAAGACATTCGTGACGTAAGTTCGTTACCTGACCGCTCAAATTAAGAGCTAATATAATTTGTGTTAGATCGAGAGTTATAGACTCTTTTCTCCCAGAGGAAAAGACAGCCCAGAGCTCGGCTCGAATCGCGTACTTCTACTGTTCAAGGACGTCTGATGATACCAAACGAGGCGATCCGTCCAATGTTCTCCGCTCTATAGCGAAACAGCTAGCTGAATCTGGGGATTTGGCTTCTTCGGCATACACTGCAGTAGCCCGCCGCTACGAGGAGATTATCGATTCAGAGCAGGAGCGAGATCTCGAGATCGGCGAGACTATTAACCTCATCATTGAATTGAAAGAAATCAACTCATGCACTATCATCATTGACGGTCTCGATGAGTGCCAAAACAGAACGCGCGGAGACCTGCTGCACGGCCTCAACACCATAGCATCCTCTCCTGGAAAGGCTGTTAAGATATTTGTCGCTAGTCGGGATGACAATGACATTAATGGGGCTTTGTTACGTTACCCAAATCGTTGCATTGATGCTCAGGACAATGAAGCAGATATTCGGAGGTATGTCGGGGAGGAATTAGAGAAGGCGATACAAAATAGATTGAAATCTTATCCTCAACGTATCTTGGCCAAGCTTGAGAAGAAAATACAGAATACGCTGGTTGATGAAGCCGGGGGCATGTAAGTGTTTCTTCTTCCTTGTCTAAACCCGACTAATTTTACAAGATTCCGCTGGGTCTCGCTGCAGCTGGAGGCTTTGTTTGACACAAGCAGAAATAGAATAGAGGCAGACATGGAGTATCAGCTGTCAAGACTTCCACCGGACCTCAAGGCCAGTTACGACGTCATCTACGAGCAACTTCTGGCGCAAGGTGGACCTAGTCAAATCATCGCACATAAGGCAATTGCTTGGTTACTATGTGCAAGGCAGCCAATCTCGACCCTTGATTTTATTCAAGCTCTCAATGTGGGTGATGGCTCTCCTAAGATCAGAACCAAGGAGGAGGTCTTAGCTATCTGTGGTAATTTCGTCAAGCACGACGAAGATCTCGACCGATTTCGGATCTTTCACCTGTCAGTCACCAATTATTTCGAAGAACAGCGATCCGATTGGCCAAAAGAACTGCTAAACCGAGTCGTGGCTGATATGTGCCTCGGCCAATGTCTATCACAACATACTGGGCAACGCAACTCAATGTCGAACAGAGATAACAAGACTTTCGAAGACTACGCAAATGTCTATTGGTCGTATCATTGCGAACATGCAGGGCCAAATCAAAAGCTTGGTATTCTCGAGGTGAAACTTGAAGAGAAAAAACACAATTTCCTCCTCGGTGGCCCGAGAACATCTCGTGAATTCGCTATGTGGCATAGCACATTACCTGAATCTATCGCTCGTATAGATCTCGATGCCAAAGATATCGACTCGAAGCAGTTGAAAACTAAGCTAGGTGACAGCTTAAGCCCATACGACGCCAATCCACCTAGTCGAGCGTTTGTTGCATGCGCATTTGGCTTCTCGGAAATTGTCGAGGATATGCTGGATAATGGCGCAGATTTCACTGTTCGCACAAGAGGATTCAGACTGCCGCCTCTCTATGTTGCGATTCGGCATGACCAGGGGAGAGTTCGAGAGGTAATCAGAGCAAGGATTCCTGAAAATGACTCAATTTACATTCGATCCACGGAAATACATGCAGCTGTACGTACTGGCAAGGACGCTTTCGTGGAATTGCTCCTTCGTCAGCGCTCAGAGAATTTCATTACATATGGTATCTTGGAAGAAGCTGCTCGCCAGTGTAATGCGACTACTTTCAAGCTTCTCCAAAGCTATGTCACTAGCCCGATGACCCAGGGTGACTTTTGGAAAGAAGATCTACTCGCGGCCGCAGCACGTAATGAGGACCACGGAGACAAGATTGTTCGATTGCTTTTACCAGAAGTGCAGACATGCAATGAGCAGGTGTATTCTGCTGCTGCTTCGAATAAGAACCACGGCCTTCCAGTGTTTCGTTGGTTGTTAGATAAATTCAAACCTACGAACATAGATCACGAGACAGTCGAAGCTGCTGCAAGGAACCAAGAGACAGGGAGGGCAATATTACGGCTAATATTTGATCGTTTTCCGGATTGGAAGCCAGACGAAGAAGTGATCGCCAGAAGCGCTGCAACAGCCAATTTTGAGACATTCAAGACTCTGTTGAATTCCTCTTCACCAATTAATATCACTCAGGAGGTCTTTGTAGCTGCTGCAGGCAACCAAGAAAATGGACTGGAGCTGGTTGAGCTGCTCTTAAACTACGAAGTCAAACTTACAGACCCCAACGATGTTATTATCGCTGCTGCTGGAAATGAAAAAAGTGGACTAGAGCTCGTGAAGTTGCTCTTGATCAACAACTTCGAAGTTTCAGACATCGATAATGTTATAATAGCTGCGATGAGAAACCACGAGTCTGGCTACGAGATCGTGATAGCGCTACTAGAACATTTTCAGGGCGTTACTTCTGTGGCCATGGAGGCAGCAACATCTATGCCTTCCCCCAATATGAGAGCCTTCAAAAAGCTTCTCAGCTTGCCTCTGGCTCTTGATGATACGATTATTGAAAGTGGTGCACGTCACATGACCTTAGGTAGCGAGTTCATGAAACTAATTCGCGAGTTACGCAAGGATGAACTTGCCACGAGAAGTGGCCTGCTTGCGGAAGCATTGTGTCGCAACTACAAAATTGAAGCAGAGATCCTGAAAGATGCTCTGCGCTTGGCCAAAAATCCCTCTCTCGTGCGGGATACGTTGTGGAATGTAGACATGTTTCCTATCGCCGAGCTACTCAATGTCTTTCTCGATTTCATCGATCCACGGGAAGAACTAAGCTGGCTAGTCGAGAGGGTTGTAGCAAACGAGAATTGTGGACTAGAGCTGATCAACATTATTTTCACAAAGATCTCTGGAGTTACTATCACACCTGAAGCGATTGAAATTGCCTCACAGAATGAGGCTTATGGGGATAAGATCGTTGAACATTTGCTCGACCATGATAAAGAGGTGGCTATTTCGATATATGCAGTATTGGCAGCGATTAAGAACCGAGATAAGGGAAGATTGGTCCTGGATGTGCTTTTACCTCGCTTTCCTGGAGTGGTCCCTTTGAATGAAGAGACTACCATTGCATGCGCTTCTAATCTGGCACATGCACTCGATTTGATGCAAGTACTACTTGAGCAAAACGGGACTGATTGGCCAGAAAAGGCAGCCTTGACGAAACTCTTTGGCGAGAGCTTAGTCCAGCGAGGTAATTTCCAATGCCTAAAGTTGTTTTTAGGTAAGGTCAGAGATCTTTGTATCGATATGAAGGTGTATGAATTTGGCAACTCACCATATATTGATTCGAACCTGGTCGAAGAGTTACTTGGATTTTGCGACGACGATTATATCAACTATGACCTGGTATATAAGGTGGTGTCTGGAGCATATCACGAAGACGATCTCAGCTTTGTACAGAAATTGTTACCTCGTTCCGACCGAAGTGCCTTCTCAGAAGATTCAATCTATCAGTTAGCTGCCAGGAGGACTGAGGGAGCTGCACAAATGTTAGGACTTTTGAAGACTGAGGGATTCAACTCCGTTGTTGAACGAGAGACAATATTGACCACGGTCAGATCTGCCTCTATGGACGTGCTAGTTGCACTGGATTTCACCAAATGGGAGGTTGAGTGTAGCGAAGAGGTTTTACAGGCCGCTGCGAACAATACCGAAGTGGGATTAAGATTGCTGCAGCTTCTTTCAAGAAAAGACGCTTCCCTCGAGATTACGGAAGCCGTACTCACGGCCGCGGCTGGGAACTGGGGCCATGGCCAGGCAGTACAGATCCTTCAATTCCTGTGGAGAAAAGACGCTTCTCTCGAGATCACGGAAGCCATACTTATAGCCGCGGCTGGGAACCTAGGCTATGGCCAGGCAGTACAGATCCTTTAATTCCTGTGGAGAAAAGACGCTTCTCTCGAGATCACGGAAGCCGTACTTACAGCCGCGGCTGGGAACCTAGGCCATGGCCAGGCAGTACAGATCCTTCAATTCCTGTGGAGAAAAGACGCTTCTCTCGAGATTACGGAAGCCGTACTCACGGCCGCGGCTGGGAACTGGGGCCATGGCCAGGCAGTACAGATCCTTCAATTCCTGTGGAGAAAAGACGCTTCTCTCGAGATCACGGAAGCCGTACTCACGGCCGCGGCTGAGAACTATAACCAGGCAGTACAGGTCCTTCAATTCCTCTGGATACAAGCTACCGCTTTCAAGGTTACAGATAATATTCTCATAGCAGCTGCTCAGAATCCAAAGCAGGCAGTACAGGTCCTCCAATTCCTATGGAGAAAAGACGCTTCTCTCGAGATTACAGAAGATATACTTATGGCTAGTGCTGAGAACGGCAGCCAAGCATTAAGGGTCCTTCAATTCCTCTGGACACAAGCTACCGCTTTCAAGATTACAGATAATATTCTCGTAGCAGCTGCTCAGAATCCAAAGCAGGCAGTACAGGTCCTCCAATTCCTGTGGAAACAAGAACCCTTGCTCCAGATTACGGAAGACATACTTACGGCTAGTGCTCAAAACGGCAGCCAAGCATTAAGGATCCTTCAATTCCTCTGGATACAAGATACTGCTCTTAAGGTTACAAATAATATTCTCGTAGGAGCTGCTCAGAATCCAAAGCAGGCAGTACAGGTCCTCCAATTCCTGTGGAAACAAGAACCCTTGCTCCAGATTACGGAAGACATACTTACGGCTAGTGCTCAAAACGGCAGCCAAGCATTAAGGGTCCTTCAATTCCTCTGGATACAAGATACTGCTCTTAAGGTTACAAATAATATTCTCGTAGCAGCTGCTCAGAATCCAAAGCAGGCAGTACAGGTCCTCCAATTCCTGTGGAAACAAGAACCCTTGCTCCAGATTACGGAAGACATACTTACGGCTAGTGCTCAGAACGGCAGCCAAGCAGTTCAAGTCCTCCGATTCTTGTGGAGAAAAGACCCGTCTCTTCAGATTTCAAAAGATATGCTCGTTGCTACTGCTAGGAACGGGTACCAGGCAGTAGAGGTCTTCCGGTTCTTGTGGAGAAAAGACCCGTCTCTTCAGATTTCAAAAGATATGCTCGTTGCTACTGCTAGGAACGGGTACCAGGCAGTAGAGGTCTTCCGGTTCTTGTGGAGAAAAGATGCTTCCCTCCATATTACAGAAGACGTACTCGTGGCTGCTGTTCAAAATTTGTTACAGGCATTGCTAATTTTCAAATTTCTTTGGAGTCAACCAGGGAAAATTGAGATCATCGATCAATTACTTGACCTTAGTAATAAAAGTAGAGACCACGATCTGGAAATTCTTCAGAAGCATTGGGAGAAACGATTTGGGCTTTCTACTCCACGGGTAGTCCATTCGCAACTCCGTTTTCAGAAAGAACAACGGAAACAAGTTTTCGTATTTCTCCACAATAAGAAAAAACTAGAGGATCGGAAGAGAAAGAGTATATTGTCTGGACCTGCAGATACAGGTTCAAAACACAGGCGCCTTTAGGTCGGAGCCTCAGCATCCTGCGGTTCAACGTAGCCTAATACCACCAGTACGACCGGTCTAGGAGTCGCAAAACCGCTGCCGTGAGCTCCAACGATTGCACTAGCACCTGTTCTGCTTCGATATCATTCCGCATCTAGAGCATGCTCCGGAACGCTAACTTCTCCCCTCGTTGGACCTATTTGGAGAGCCATGGTATCGATGTCACTAAGTAGGCTTGAACTCAATTGACTAGAAAGAACTACACTGATTTGTGACCATTCATAGATTACCCATCATTCCAGTCTCTGCGATTGAAGGCGAGAACTTGGTTGAGTTATCATCCAACAACAGTTGGTATCAAGGATGGGTGACATAGTCAACAACCTCGGGAACCTCTACGTAGATCAGGGCAAGCTCGACTTAGCCGAGCAGATGTACTAGCGGGCACGGCGTACCTAGTCTTTGCAGTAGTTGCTTGCTATATAATACCCAAGAGAAGGTTTCTTTCGATTCTTTAAGGTGCTTCTTTGGACTTCATATTATTTTAACAACTTTAATAGAGAGGATCTTAGGGGAGGTGAACTTTAAATATTAGTCACAAAACAGCCTAGAACATTCCAGAGCCTTCACTTTTACTCTTCTAGCTGCGATCACACGCTTCTTGACGACATATATAACGCGATGCAGCACGTGATCTTGCTCGCCTGACCTACAGTACTGCAGTGGCTCAAGCAGAGCAGGGGCATTGTGGAAGCAAACTTGCTGCTCGCTAAGACCTTGCAGTTATCTAACCCTTTCTGGTAAGGCTTTAGACGTCCCTGTTTAGCAAGCGACGCTGAAACTTTCGCAGTGAGTTTAAGGGGGAAGCCGATTTCGTTAGCGACTGTAACTCCCTACTCCTCTTGCAACAATATACGGAGCTGTCCTCCACAACCTGAACTTTAATACATCTGCGCAACGGGTGCGCTCCATGTTTCTAGGGGGACGTCCTGAGTCAATTCTAAGTCTAGTACTGGCTCTGCCTCTGGCGTTGGTTCTGGCAGGTCTGCCTCTGCAATACTCGTTCGCTTCGGAGCACGTCTCCCTGTGCTCTTTCTGACTTTTTTCGCAGCACGCACCATTTCCGGCTCTGGCTCTTTTTCTAGTCCTGGTTCTGGCTCCGGTTCTGGCTCTAGCTCTAGCTCTGGGTTTGGTTCTGGGTCTGACTCTGGCTTACCTTCGTCTGGCAAAACACTCTTACGCTTCCGGCCACGTTTTCCCTTGCCTTTAACGACATCTCTCGCAGCACGCGCGGCTCGTGCTGCTACGATATCCTCAAAGCTCATTACCTTCCCCTGGCCCTTCCCAAGTACAATTGACTTGGTCGATCTTCGAACTTTGGCTTCGCTGTTTATTTTCTTTAATAGCTGCTTTTCATGATCGAGGAGGGCACAGTAGGCTATAGCTTTCTGGCCGGCATTGGCAAGCTTCTGTATACGCCTCTGGAGTCGAAGTGTGCTTGTCTTGTCAAGTGTAGAAGTATCCTATTGGATCATATTATGCAACGACATAAAAGCCTCTGCTGAAACTGGCGTTATAGGCGTTTGTGGTACTTCGTCTAGCAGACCAGAATCCGTCCTTATCTCCTCCGGTCCCGGCATAATCAGTTGAGCAGGAGGCTTCGGTATACGTCTAAGAACTCTATCTCGGTTGAGCGGAAACAAACCAGTTATAGCCCAGGCGCTGGTGATATTTCTCTTCGAAAACGCCTTGTCCATTGCAGGGCTATATAGAAGGGTGAAATGCTCCTTACCGACTGTATTTATACCTCCTCGGAATAGTCATTCAACTTCGTTACGATACATAGCCTTTAAGGGTGCAAAAACCCCAATATTGCAAGGCTGGAGCTTGTGCGAGATGTGAGAGGGCAGGCGACATAGAATAATATTATTTTCAAAACAAAACTCCAGAATTTCAAGGGTCTCGTGTGTCCCAAAGCCGTTACATATCAGCACGCGTGGCTTGCCGTTTGCCTGTTATTTGGTTTTGGGATCAAATATACGCTTGAGCCACTCGAAGCTAATCTTTGAGTCCGTATATCCAGATTCAGAACACGTATAGTACTATCCGGGGGTGGGAAACGTAGTCTAGTTGCTTCAATGGGTAGTAGCTAGCCAAATTATTATAGGTAACAAGGACCTACCGTTTGTACATATATATTCGATGGCAGTTACCATCGTACGCTTAACGGCTGCACCTCTATAGTCTCGCAGATCGTCCTTACATACAAGGACTTTAACGGAGCCGAGCATGCATAACATGACTCCCGTCTCGTTCATATTATAGACATTCTCTAGTAGGATGGCCGGATCTTGTAATACCTTTTCAATCACATTAAACCAATAAATAATCTTATTATATATGTTATTTTCGTAACGCTTCCAGTCCATCGCTTGTACTCTTCTGGATTTGAGTTCTGGGTAACGCTTCTGAAAGCCTTGAGCCCAGTTCTTGTTTGGAGGCTTGATTGCTTCATCATTTGTTATAGAACGCTGGCGGGCGATAATAAAGGCAAGGGAAGCTAGAAACTTTATTGGAATAGAGTTTCCGAGGTCAGCCTCTAATATCAAATACTTTACAAGGGCTTCCTCCTCTGGAGGTTTGAGATACAGTTAGCCTCGGACCTTAGCTTCAATCGATCGTCGCCTGAGTATACGGTGATTCAGGGTAGAGATAGGAACATTGCTTCGTTTCGATATAGCATCGTATGTTCGAGGCTTTCCTGGCAGATCGCTTTCTGCAAGAGCTCGACTGGCACGATCGGTCATGGCAACCTATCTCAATTAATAGATAAAAGAGGGAATAGCAGAGGACAGGTGGGAAGACTTCTGCCAGCCAACCAAAATAGTCACGTGATGCTCCATCGAAACTTCTAGAAGAACGTTCTATTATTTACCAAAATTTTATGATTTACCAATATACTATCAAATGTGCAGGAATACCGTATTATACGAGTAGCATAACTGGAATTATCATATTAGCTAAGCTGGAAACTCGCTAATTCGCTTGGCGTACTTTTTGCCCCTCTTCCTTCTATCTAGATAAACTCAGCAACCCGATTATCTTGTGCTTTGTATCTTGAAGCTTAGGGAATATATTCTTCTTGAGTATAAGTTTCTTGCTAAAGTGCCGAAAGCCAGAGATTAGCCAATTACTGTGATAAAGCAGGGGGAAACGCAAATGCGACTTCCTGACGCCGTCGACGGCATGTGATGGGCACACGTGACGGCGCATGGCCAGGTGTCAGATGTCGTGGATCTAGTTTCCTATTTTAGGTAAAGCTTGCGATCGGAATCGTACGGGCGATCGGAATCATACGGATCGCATGGGATCGTATTTCCTAGTTAAGTAAAGTGCTTCGCAGGCTTGGCTAAGTACTAGGGAACATATAGGGAGACGCTCCTAGCTTTAGAAAGGGGTATCAATTAGTCTTTTATTGGAATTAACTCTTGGAATCAGTTACACTTGCAAGCGTCACTCTGCAGCTTACTTACCTTGACTACTTATATATTACCCTGCTATTATATACCTTATATTCTAATTAATCCAATCTTCAGAGAGTAGTTTATTACGAGATAGTTAAGCTATTAATAGATAAAATATTAATAGCTGGAGTATTAACCAGGAGAAGCGCCTCTACTACTACTAGGGTAACCCAACCGGGTATCCAGGGGAGCGCCTAGTTAAGTACTCTTTATACTACCTAATTAGGAGAAGAAAGTAGAACTCAAATACTTCCAGAACCGGTAAATAGAATAATAATAACAGAGAAATTAGTAGCGGTTTACTATTATATTACTAAGTTAGAAATAGAGATATAATAGAGAGAAGATCTAGAGGAGCTAGAAGCTCAGATCTATTATCTTAAAGATATTCGGATATCCGGTATAGAATCCGTTATACCCCCGGTAATATCCTTGGTTTAGAAGGCTCCAAAAACCCGAAAACTGCCTATTTACTAGAGAAAGAATATTAAAGAAGTCCAGAACTTCTTCTATTAGATAGAATTAAAATAGTATAAAAATAATAGAATTATCTGAGCTATTAATATAATAAAGATTATATATTATATTTCCTATTTTGAGAATATAACTAGAAATATCTAGAAATATAGAAAGTAATTAGTAGATATTAATACTATGAATTAGAAGACCTTTATTAAATTTATAAAGAATTCTATCTTAGATCTAGAAAACTATAGTAATAATACTCTTACTAAATTTAAGAATACTAAATAATAGCCAGGCTAAAATATCTAAAGCTTTATATTTTATTTAGATAGCTTATTAAATAACTTGGGATATACGAGTTTACTATAAAAGTAGAATAACTTATTTAGTAGTTTAAGGTAAGAGATTCGGAATAAGATTAATTATTAAGGAAATATTCTATAAAAAAGAAAGAAGCTTATTTCTATAGCTATAAGAGTTAAGAATAATTTAAATCTATTTATTTAATAGAAATATAATAATAAGCTAACGGGATAGTAAAAGAAGAGAAATAGAAAAAAAAAGAAAAGAAATAATAAAGAGAAATGAAAAAGAAATATATTCCTATTATAAGATTTATAAAACCGGAATAGTAAAGATATAATAATAGGGTCTAATATAGTACCTATATTGGGATTTATAAAACCGGATATATTTTATTTTATTTACTAGAAAAAGAGTTATTATATTACTATTTATTCTAATTAAAAGAAACCGATTTATTATAACTATAATAAGTCTAGCTATAAAATATATAAATATCTAGAATTAAAGAAACCGGGAAATAGATATATTTTATAATAGTTATATTTATTTATATTATAAAAAATAAGGCTTCTAAAACAAGAATAGTAATTAAGATTATTATTAAGACAATAAAAAATAAATAAAGAATTAAAATATTAGTAGATTCAAATATAAAAGCTAATTATATAAAGAGGAAATTAGCTTTAAATATAGGTATTCTATTAATATTAAAAGTAATTCTTTTATTTTTATTAGAAGAAAGAAGAATTTATTTATATAGAAATTATATTTTTAGGATTATTACTAAAAATATACTAGGAGACTAAAAGAAGGCTAATATATATTTTATATTATATAATTTTAATCTAAACTATATTAATATAATATTTGAATTCCTATAGCTTTACTAGATTAATCTTCTAATTTCTTTTAAAAAAGTAATATAAAAATACTAGATTTAATTATAAAAGATTAAAATTCTAAATACTAGAAAGTTTACTAAAATAATAAAATATAAAATATATATTTTTCTATTAATTACCTATTTTATAATAAATAGCTAAAGAATTACTACTATTACTATTAATAGGATAGCTATATTTCCTAAGAAGTATTAGAACCTTTTCTAAATATTTTCTATAAAAACTGTCATAGAGTGCCCAAGCATCCTAGCGAGCACGTGCGTGCGCGTGGTCCGTGCGCAAGCCCATAAGGCTTCGCACCTCCCACGACTCACTTGCTTCTTCAAGTTTCAGTCACAATACTACTTTGGATTGCTCCCTGACTTGCTGCCCTTTTGGTGACCACTATTATAAAAACTATAGATATATTATCTAACTATTATATAATAAAGTATTATATAGATCTAAAACCAGAATTCTAATTACTATATAGTCCTATATATACTTTATTAGAAAGGGAACTTGAAATTCTTTAGGAATATTTTAATACTAGCCTAAAAAAGAAATAGATCTATTATTTTACTAGCCTAGCTAATATTTTAATTATATTTATTTCAAAAAAAGAAAATAGCTTATATCTATATATTAACTACCGGAATCTAAATAGGATTACTATTAAAAATCAAATACTATTATTATTTATTAATAAGACTATAGATAGGCTTTATAAAATAAAGATATATATAAAGCTAGACTTAAAAAATACTTATTATTAGTTATAAATATAGGAAAGTAATAAATAGAAAACGGTATTTCAAATATATTATAAATATTTTAAATATTATATTATATTTTTTAGACTATCTAATACTCTAGTAATATTTCAAATATATATTAATTATATACTAATAGATCTTATAAATATTATTTATATAGTCTATTTAGATAATATTTTAATTTATTTAGAAGATCTAGAATAATATATAGTAATAGTCTAATATATATTTAAATAATTATAATAATATTAGCTTTTTATAAGTTTAATATAGAAAGAATAGAATTCCTAGGGTTTATAATTTATTACGGTTATTATAATATATAATACTAGTAGGAATTAGACTAGAGCTAGAAAGGCATCTGGTATCTAAATAAGGTATCTATAGTTACCTGATTATTATATATAACCCCGAGCTTAAGCTAGTATATAAGCCCGTATATAGCTTGTAATTATTTAGATCCGAGGCTTCTTTAGGATCCTCTTCTTTCTTTAGCTTTAAATCATTAAAATAGAGATAGTCTAACCATGCCTTCTAGGCCCTAGATCTTATACTTGTAATATAATTCAAAGCTTATCTATTTCTTAATTCTATAGAGAATTTAAATAATACCTACCTAATCAGTTTTTAATAAGTATAGATATAATATACTATAGCTACTCCCGAACCGGTTAACTAATATTAGAATAAAAGAAAGCCCTAGAATAACTAGGTAAGAAAGCCCTAGACCGGCCAGGCAAGTAGATAGGCTAGTAACCTTATTATTAAATAAAGATCTATAAGAAAGCAAGTCCCGGAATAACTAGGCAAGTTAGAAGAAGCTATAATATAAGATACTACTAGTATATTACTAGAAGATAAACCAGAGCCTCTTATTAAGTCTCCTGAGAAGTCCGAGTATTCTATTAATATTTATAATAGAAGAAATACTCTTTTCCAGAGAATAGAGGAAAAAGAGAGACCTGCCTTATTAAAGGCAGAGTTCTAAGAATTACTTTAGAACCCAGAGGCTTTATATAAAGAGATTATTAAGCTAAT